CACACACACACACACACACTCACACACTGCTGCCTCTGCCAGTAACATAGGATGTGTCCCTTGTGGTTCCCAGAAGTGCAGGGCCAAGCTTTGCTGTATCGCTGTGCCCTAACAGTCAGTAGTCAACGGTCCAGCGTGATTGGCAAGAATCACTTGGGTATCACCGTGCCCCCCCAACCCTCCGGAAAAAAATTACATAATGAAAGTTAATGTAAGCTGATACTGGCACAAAGTTCACATTTTAGCTTACAGTGGATTCGTTGTGACTTCATTTTGAAATGTATCCCATACCTTGATCATTTTAAAATAATAATCATCCAAGAGGACTGTCAAGTTCTTGAATGAAACTATTGAAAACAGCTTCCTGGCACGTCAGAAAAAGGACCTGGTCCCGTGGTCAGTCAGACTGTAGGTGACCGAACATGTTAGAAGGACAAATGCCTATGACTTTGGCTGAAATAATTTGATCTGACGTTAAAATGATAGAACTGGGTTCTTTTCTTTTCATTCTAGAAGTCATAATAAAAGAAGGTTAAAGAGGCCACAGGCTCATAAAGATGAGCCGAGCCCGAGTTTTAGCCACCATTTCATTTTCATTTTAGAAGCGAGAAAGTCTAATCAGGAAGGAAGGATCGTCCTTGACTGAAAGTGCAGTTTGCAAGCCTTATAACTCAGTACCTTAGGTTTTCTTTTACAGGAGCTAGATTCATCCAGCGTAATGATCAGGGTGCATCCAGACTTAGTTGTTCATCTTTCATCTTGTCAGTGACTAGAATAGAAGATCAGAACAAAGGTGTTAACTTGCTGGCTTAGGCTCTGTGTGTTTGATCTGGACTCAGCACTTCTACAACACTGCGATTTCTGCCATTCTTTAAATATTTATTTTATATATATTTTATATGCATGCATACACACACTTATAAAGTTGCTTCTTTACCTGAACTCTCACTTCTAAGGACTTTCTTTTTCCTTACACGCTCCTTGTAACAGTCATTGTTTTATAGTTGAGACATTCAGTGGCTGATTGCAGCCCAGTGTCCCAAGCGGGGATTTTTGGACTGTGGTTGTACGTGGGTCACCATCCGAATGAGGTGATGCATCAGATCTTTGCTTAGGATTTGTCAGAGTTACTAGAGAAGGGTTTTCAGTCCCCTCACAGAGCTTGGGCCTGTGTGCATGCACACAGGGGGTCTTGAGGCAGAAGCGTATGGGGTTTTCAGTCTCTGGTATATAAGCCCCCATCTCTGCAGTATTTGTCTTCAGCAGTAGTATTGCACACACCTCTTCAGTTTGGTCCTTGCATAAGGCGACAGTTCATCTGCAGGTGTAACCTTGAGAGCCACCCTAGTAGACCAGTGAGCAAAGGACATTCAGTGGCTGATTGCAGCCCAGTGTCCCAAGCGGGGATTTTTGGACTGTGGTTGTACGTGGGTCACCATCCGAATGAGGTGATGCATCAGATCTTTGCTCAGGATTTGTCAGAGTTCCTAGAGAAGGGTTTTCAGTCCCCTCACAGAGCTTGGGCCTGTGTGCATGCACACAGGGGGTCTTGAGGCAGAAGTGTATGGGGTTTTCAGTCTCTGGTGTATAAGCCCCCATCTCTCCAGTATTTGTCTTCAGCAGTAGTATTGCACACACCTCTTCAGTTTGGTCCTTGCATAAGGCGACAGTTCATCTGCAGGTGTAACCTTGAGAGCCACCCTAGTAGACCCAGTGAGCAAAGGAGAAAATAAGAGGGAGAAGTTAATTTTTCTTCACCCGTCATTCACCGGCCTTCAAAGATCATCTTCACCTTCATCCTGCTTCCAAGTGCTTCAGTTCACCAATTCCCAGGCCTTTGGGGAGTGCCAGGCTGCCAGTTGGGTTTCCCCAGCCTTCTCTCTGCATGGCCAGGTCACTCCCTTCTCTGCTGGACCGCTCAGACAAAATCTCCTCCCTCATGATTCTGAAATCTCCATCCCAGCTCATTCCAGCTTTCTAAACCTGTTCCAGAAAGAAATATCGTTTTCTCTGCTCTGTCATTGGATTTTTAGCTCCATGAGGGTAGAGTTATTGATCAAGTGCTACCTTTTAATCACAAATTATTGAGGGACTATTAACCATGTCAGAGTCATTGTTAGCCTGCCAATCTTTATGGTGCGTTCTCCTCTACTCTCCTGCTTTCCCTGGGAGCTGTATGATATTCAAGCTGCTCCATGTATACACTAAAAAATCAGATGGGGTTATGAAGGATTGTGGACCCTAGAATCATTATTGCGAAATAAAATAAAAAGTAGGAATAGTTCTGAAAGCTGGACAATAAAAAATTAAGACTCTTTCAGATTTAAGATAATCACTGTCCATAGTTGTTAGTCAGCCGTTTTCCATCCCTGTGTATTATTTATTCACCTCTGGTATTTGCCTCCTTCAATCTCTCTGTCTTTCTGTCTCTCTCACACACACAAATGGGAGAGATGTGTGTGTATATTATATCTGTATTGTAATTAATATCATTTTGTTGATGTGGCTACACTTCTAAGATACCTGTGAGTAGAATTTTTTGCTGAGTAGAGATGTGTACCTTTACAGACTTTGACAGATATTGCCAAGTAATGTTCTACAGATGTTGTTGGCTGTTCACTATCCCACTGTTTCAAAGTTCTCATGTGGTACCCTCACTAGCACATGGTACTGTCAGACTTTTTTGAGCTTCACAAGTGTGAAAGGTATAATTTGTGTTTTTAACCTGCATTTCTCTTTGAGTAAGGCTAAGTGCATGAACATATATTTATTAGCTGAAATTGTGTGTGTGTGTGAACTATTGATTCTTTGTTCTTTATTTGCTCATTGACCCCCCCTCAGCCAAGCTGTAGAAGCTCTTTATTATGTAAATGAGACTTTTGTCATAATATCTGTTACAAATTTTTAAACTGTTTATCATTTTATTTTTATTCTAAATGTTGCACTTTTCTAAAACTATGTATATACTTTTATATATGCTTGAGTGTCTTTTTGTTTATCTTGTTATTCATTTTATTATCATATTTAGAAAGATCTGAGCTTGTTTTATTAATTAATTAATTAATTATTGGTTATTGGGCCAAACCTGGCAATGCTTAAGGGTTACTCCTAGATCTGTGCTCAGGAATCACTCCTGGTGGGCTTGAAGTACCATTTAGGGTGCCCGGTATCAAATCTGGTTGGCCACGTGCAAGGCAAACACCCTACCCGCTGAACTATTGCTCCAGCATCAGATCTGAGCTTATTTTCACAAAGTACAAAACTCTTCAAGGAATTCTGTTTTTCCTTGGAATTTTTATGATTTCATTTTCCTATTTAAATAATTGGGCTGGAGTGATAGCACAGCGGGTAGGGCGCTTGCCTTGCACGCAGCCAACCCCGCGGACCCTGGTTCATCTTCTACGCCCTCTCGGAGAGCCTGGCAAGCTACCGGATATCTTACCCACAAGGCAAAGCCTGGCAAGGTACCTGTGATGTATTCAGTATGCCAAACACAGTAACAAGTCTCAAAATGGAGACGTTACTGGGCCTATTCGAGCAAATTGATGAACAATGGGAAGACAGGGACATTGACAGTTATTTAAATAATTAAAACATGAATAGTTTGAGAGAATATTCACCATTGAATTTTTGTCCACAATCTGTTGTCACTATGCTAAATTTTACATCTTTTCCCCAGTATTTGAAGTTCAACCTTTACTATTTTCTCATATATATTTGGACCTATTTCTGTATTTTCATTTGTTATTAAGTCATCTTTTTCTTATTTTGGTTTTTAGGCCACACCCAGAAGTGTTCAGGGGTCTGTGCATTGTTGGGGATTGAACCAAGGGCTTCCACATGCCAAGTCTGCACTCCAGTGCTTTGAATTTCCTGGTCCCTGAGTCCTCTGATTTATGAGAGCTCCAAATTATGAATTTCTTATTTGTAATTTTTTTCTAAACATTGTATTAGTTTGTTGAATTAATTATATAAAACATGTGCCTGGTTTCTGATTTTCAGAAGGAGACCGTTTTTAATTTGTAGGCTTTTAGGGATTATTGATACAATTTATTTCATTTTGCTTTGTTTTGTGCCATCTGGATATATACTAGGCTGCTCCCATTTGTGCTTGGACATTATGCCTCATGGTGCTCAGGAGGAAATGTGGTGAAGAGAGTCAAATTCTGGCCTCTCACATGTAAAACATGTGCTTAGCCCATTGAACTACTTATAGTTACAGTTTATAGACTTTCACTATTAGTTTCTCCTCCCAAACTTCTTTTTGTTCAGAAAATGGTAGGACCATCCCACCATCTTTCCCTCCCAACATCCACACACCCAACCACCCACCCACCCATCTCCCCAGCCCTCCATCCACTCACTCAACCCTTCTTCCTTCCATCCTGCCGTCCACTCACCCTTCCATCCATGCACTGTCATAAAATGGAATCCTAGGAGCCATCCTTGATCTCTGTTCTTCTCCTTCTGTGGGCTACTCCTTGCAGCCCCTCCCTGATGTTTCTCACTGTACTTTCTTGGACTATGTCATGGGGAGAGCGCTGGCTCTCAGCTACACTGCTGCTGCAACTTGATTCCTAATTGTGTGTCCCTGAGCAAAGGGAGACTTAACCTCACATTAACACAGTCTGCTTGCAGACTGGGGAGAGGTTTCAAAGGTCTAGAGTGAATGCATGGGCCCTGACTTTGATTCTTGGCACCAAATGGCAACTGAGCACTGCTGGGGTGACCCTGGTGGCCTCCAAGTACAGCTTACCTTGTCCTGGTGTCTTTCCCATAGGGCTGGTCGCCAGCAGTACTACGCTATTGGGCTGAACTTGGAAGTGTTAGACTGATCAGCCAGGTTGACTGTCACTGGGAATGACCCTTGTGTCCTTGAACATTTCTTGAGTGGTCTCTCAGGGGTGGGAAAATTAAGACAGAAACCTCTCATGACTTAACTACTTATCATAGATGCTTCCAAACATTTTATAAAAGTATTCTTTTTGTTTTCATTACAGGAGAAGCCGTTGTCTAGATCTCTTCAGAGAGGTGAAGATCTTCAGTTTGATCAGGTATGTCAATTTGGGGAGATATTTTTCCCTAAAAAGAAAATGTTTTGGCCTAAGAGTCTGTTCCGGATATTAAGAAATTTCCGTTCAAGGTATTTTTTTATTTGTTTTGATTTTTGGCCACACCCAGCAGTGCACTGGGCTTACTCCTGGTGGGGCTCAAGGGGGGTCATATGGGGTCCCCAAGGATCAAACTTGGGTACCAGGCAAATACCTTGTCCATTGTACTAATTTTCCAGTCCCATTATTACTAATTTTTAGGGTTTTTTGCTTTTTTTTTTTTGGGTGGGGGCACATCCAGCAGTGCTCAGGGATCACTCCTGGTTGGCTCAAGGAGCCTTATGTGATGCTGGTGATTAAACCTGAGTTGACATATGCAAGGCAAGCGCTCTGCCCTCTCTACTATCATTCCAGCCCCCACTACATTTTAAAAACTATATAGAGTGAGTAAGCAACTATGAACTTTATAGCTTCATAAATGAACTATAAACTTTACTTTTGCTCATTTGCAATTTAATCATTTTAGTGTTATTTTTCTTTATTTTTGGGTTTGTGGCTACACTGGACAATGCTCAGGGGTTACTTCTGTCTCTGCACTTAGGAATTACCTCTGGCAGTGCTCGGGAGACCATATGGGTTGCTGGGAATGGAACCCAGGTCAGCTGCATGCAGAGCAAGGCAAGCATCCTACCCACTGTACACTTCAGTCCCTAGCATTTAATTGGAAAAAAACTTTTTTGGTTTCTATTTTGGTCCTTTTCCTGGTTTGGTGGCTACAGAGCCAGTGTTCAAGAGCTACTCTTGCTCGGAATAGTGCTGGGAGGACCATGCTGTGCCACGGAACCAATTCCGCACCTCCTGCATTCAATGCATGCACGCATTAGCTATTTGAGCTACCTTCTAGAATCTCTCTTTCCATTAAAATTTTTTCTTGGAACATTATCTAACTGAAACCCAATCATGAGCAACCTTGTAACTGTGTAGCTCACTGTGATACAATTAAAATATAAAAAGTAAAAAGGCCGGAGTGATAGCACAGCAGGGAGGGCGCTTGCCTTGCACGCGGCCGACCCAGGTTCGATTCTCAGCATCCCATACGGTCCCCCGAGCACCGCCAGGAGTAACTCCTGAGTGTAGAGCCAGGAGTAAGACCAGTAGATTAAGTTCAACAGGATGAATGACTTATTTAAGAAAACTGGCAGCAAACTGAAGCGCATACAATTAAAATATATATAATAAATTTTTTTCTTTCAAAAAAATTTTCACCCTTTCCCTTCCTTCCTTTTCTATTGTTACAGTGACTGGGGTTTGTACACTGGTTATGGTGTCTGCTCTCTTGCTTGCCAGGGTCATGCTTCGGTGGTGGTGGTGGTGGTGGTGCTTGTGCATATTATGGGGGCGACATCACCAGAAGTCGCTGCCCTGCTTACTCCCACCCTCAGAGGGGTCTCCCCACTCCCTGAAGACTCACACTCCCATCAGTGAATGGTCACACCTACACATCTTGTCAGAGCATCAGTGGGTGGCCCCGGCCCTAGACCACAAGTGCAGAGACTCCTCCTACCCTATCAAAACGTAAAAAAAAATTTTAAAAAAAGGATTTGCAGAAGGAATCACAAAACACCATCTGCTGCTATAAATCTATTAAACAGTTTATACCACACGGTAGATTTTTGTTGTGAAAAACAACTCAAGGATGCACCGTGGCCATTTATAGTCCTGTTTTCCATTTACATAAGAAAAAGGAGCCATTGTGGTGCTCTGGGTCTGTGCTTCAGATGCCCAGATGCCCGCCCTGCCCGCACCTGGCTATGCACAGAGCTGGCCCTCTCTGATCCCTGTCCCAGCCTGGGTCAGCAGAGCTGCCTGGATAAGGCCTATGGAGGTGGCAGCAGAGGTCAGACTCAGGGCTCTCTCCCGGACAGCCATTACTGTTGCCACAGTGCCAGTAGCTGCCTTCTACTTACAGTTTCTTTCTTTTTTCTTTTTTTTTATTTTTTATTTTTTTGCTTTTGGGGTCACACCCGGCGATGCACAGGAGTTACTCCTGGTTCATGCACTCAGGAATTACTCCTGGCAGTGCTCCGGGGACCATATGGGATGCTGGGAATCGAACCTAGTTTGGCTGCATGCAAGGCAAATGCCCTACCCGCTGTGCTATTGCTCCAGCCCCTAATTTTTTTTTCAATTGAATCACTGCAAGATCAGTTACAGGCTTTCATGTTTGAGTTTCAATCATGCAATGATCAAACTCCCGTCTCTCCACCAGTGCACAATCCCCACCACCAATGTCCCCAGTATACCCCCCCTTTCCAACCCTCTTTCTGCCTCCATGGCAGACAATTTCCCCTATACTCTGTCTTTAGTTTTAGACATTATGGTTTGCAATACAGACCCTGAGAGGTTATCATGTTTGGTCCTTTATCTACTTTCTGCACACATCTCCCATCCCGACCGGTTCCTGCAATCATCATTTTCTTAGTGATCCCTTCTCAATTCCAGCTGCCTTCTCCCCCAGCCCATGAAACAGGCTTCCAATTATGGAGCAGTTTTCCTGGCCCTTGTGTCTATTGTCTTTGGGTGTCAGTCTCATATTATGTTATTTTAGAATCCACAAATGAGTACAGTCATTCTATGTCTGTGCCTCTCTTTCTGATTCATTTCACTTAGCATGATACTCTTCATGTCCATACACTTATAAGCAAATTTCATAACTTCATCTCTCCTAATAGTTGCATAGTATTCCATTACATCTATACCAAAGTTTGTTTGTTTGTTTGTTTGTTTCTTTCTTTCTCTCTCTCTCTCTCTCTCTCTCTCTCTCTCTCTCTCCATTTGGAAGTCTTTATTCCCTTTAGACAGTCAAGTTTGACAGAATTCTTCCATAACTCATTTTGAGTGCAATAGGTCAGTCATGTTTATCTGGAGTTCTTTGTGGTATGAAACACTAGGAGAACTATGGACTTTTGAAATATGCTCAACATTAAATGCAGTTTTTTTTTAAACATACAAAAATACTGGTCTCATAATAAATATGACTTTAGCATTGGGGAAAAAACTGGATAATCACCCAAATGAAATGAAAGGGATGTAGACTTGGAAATTAAAGAAATAGCTTAATATTAAAAGATTTCCCTCAAACAACATTTGTAGTTACTATAAGTAAGCTTTATTTTTATTATGAAAGTCTCTAAAGTAGTCATTTTAATTAATACAATGGTAATGTTGACAATAAGCTAGACACAATCTCTTTTAAAACTCTCATAACGATAATGAACAGGAGTCATTTATATAAAATTATTTCACTTTCATGGTTTTCAAGCTTCAAAGATTTCTAAAAGATCCCTTAAACCTGTATAAAGAGGTATTAAAAAAAAAAAAACTCTACCAAAGTTTCTTTAACCAGTCATCTGTTCTCGGGCACTTGGGTTGTTTCCAGATTCTGGCTATTGTGAACAGTGCTGCAGTGAACATACAAGTGCAGATAATCATTTCTACTCAGTTTTTTTGCACCCTTGGGATATATTCCCACAAGTGGTATTGTGGGGTCATATGAAAGCTCAATTTCCAATTTCTTTCTTATACCCTGTGAAATTCTCTTAACCCATACCTCATCCTATTCCTCAATCTCACATGATGGTTCCCTTCAGTTTTTCATGCAATAATATTTCTACCATTTTTAATAAAAATGTATTTTTTTCTCAGTGGGGCTCACAGAACCTATATATCAAATAGCAATATCTACGAATGCATGAGGTATCCTTCTAGTGCACGTTTTTCTCCCCAGCTAAGATTGGCTTGTCTGATTGTTATTTATATGTTGAATGCAAAAAAAATCAGTAACTCAGATGAGCTTTTTTTAAATCATAGAGTATTCCTGGCTGCTTTTTGCATATTTGTCCATGTAGGAAATAGAGGCTTGTACTTATAATCATCTCCTTAATTAGGACAAGATGGTTGGTTAGAATTTCCTGGTGCAGGGGCTGGAGTGACAGTAGGACATTTGGCTTGCACACAGTCAACAGATTGATCCCCAGCATCCCATATGGTCCCTCAACCATGCCAGGAGTGATCCCTGAGTGCAGAGTCAGGAGTAACTCCTGAGCACTGCCAGGTGTGGCCCAAGAACAAACAAAACATTTCTTGGTGCAGTGAACTTTGATTTTGTGTTTCTGGATCTCACTGTAGTTCTCTGGAATCAGAATCACTGCTCGTGGCTTTCTGCCACCTGCACTGACCAGGCTTGCCCAGGGAATCTAATGTGCACTGTTAAGGTCATCATTCAGAGGAGCCAGGAATAGGAAGACTGGTCCTCGATTGCAGGATACTGAGATTACCTTCTATAATGCTATTCAAATTTTAATGTCATTGCAACCGTTATCATTGCTAATATTTCATTGTTATTATTAAGTGACTAAATGTTCCTAAAATACTCATTCATGTCATAAATTTGCTTTACTATTTTGAATGAATGAGTATAGAATTAGAGTTTAAAGTCCTGTTAAATAACACTTGGAGAAAACTTTTCATTATTCTTATGTAAATGATGAATAAAACTATAAATGATCATGCCTCATAACTTGGGTTGTTTTTCACAGTGAAAAACTATGTGTGTGAACTGTTTATATATATTTACAGTTGCAGATGGTGTTTTGTTGTTCCTTCTGCGAATTGCTTTCTCTTTTGGTAGTGTGGGAGGGCCTCTTTTCCAGTGCCCTGGGGCCCATAGCCAGGCAATGCTGTTCTGGCCGGGTGTGACAGTTTGATGCTTAAACAAGGAGGTGTTTGGAACCACCAGGGATATACCTGGCAGTGCTAGGGGATGGGAATAGGTAGTTCAGGGGATTAGACTTGGAGTCTTTCACATGCAAGACATGTACTCCAGCCCTTTGAGCAACCTCCCCAACCCCAATTCTTAAATTATAAATTTAAATTAAAAGAATACAGTTACAAAAAGCTAGAATCTTATTTTTACAGTAGTTTCCTATATTTGAAAACAATTATCTTTGAAACTATGATAATTTATAAATGAGATAGTTTTTTTCTTTTTGGGTCACATCAGAGATGCTCAGAGGTTACTCCTGGCTCTGCCCTCAGGAATTATTCTTGGCCGTGCTTGGAGGACCGTATGGGATTGCTGTTGATTGAACCCGGTCAGCTGCTTGCAAGGCAAATGCCCTACCCACTGTATTAATGCTCCAGCCCTGAGAGATAATTTTTTTTTAAAGGAACCTACAACAGTCACTTTGTTTCGATCATTTGTGTTTTCTCCTGGATGAAGACTATTTTGAACTTACATGCAGAATGTAAGATTAAAAATTGCTTCTTAGCAATAAGAACTTGGCAATAAGAGAATAGCTTCTTAGCAATAAGAACTTAGCAATAAGAACAGTAAGAACTTAGCTAAGAAGCAATAAGAACTCATCTTTAATGGTTGGTCCTTCTTATAACTATGGAACTGATTGTTCCTGTCAACTGCTGAATTTTGGTGAAGAAAAAGTTAAGCATTTGGTGAATTAAATATATTAAATATATTAATTTTATATCATATACTAGTAAATTGACTCAGGATTCTTTTATTATTTATTTATTTTTGCTTTTTGGGTCACACCCAATGTTACACAGGGGTTATTCCTGTTTCTGCACTCAGGAATTGCTCCTGGCGGAGCTTGGGGGACCATATGGGTTTCTGGGAATTGAACCCAGGTTGGCCGTGTGCAAGGCAAACACCCTACCTGCTGTGCTATCGCTCCGGCTCTTGACTCAAGGTTCTTAAGATGAAAAGTGTTTACGTTGGGACTAGGGAACTAGTGATGGTAGCTGGGGTATTGGGTTCTCTTCTCATTGCACCTGGTACTCACCTAAAATTCTCATAGTTTCAGGGATACTTCTACTTGAGTGCTAGTTCCTGTTATCACGTTTTTATATTCTAAGCTTTCAAGGCTTGCTTGCAACACCTATCTATTATGTTTATTTCTGGATATGACTGGAATTACATATTTAATTCCTCTTTCCTCTCTGCCTGCCAGTCCAGAGTAAATTGAAGCTTTCACTACAGTGTTTACACACTGTGCTTCCTCCACCTGCTTGAGGGTTGCTTGGTTGTGGTGTGATCACCAGGGGTCCTACCCATTTGTCGCAGTGCCAACTTGATTGGGAGGTGCTCACATTTCAGTTACTTTGCTCACTCACATTTCTCTGGGCACTAGAAATTACACATGCCTTTGTGGCAGGTAGGGAACCAGACTGCAGAGTGCTGTGATTATGGCTTGCAGTGGCACTGGGAATCGAACTCAAAGCCTCATCCTTACAAGGAAAAGATATACATAGCCACTGAATCAATCCCAAGGCCCCATAATGTACTCTTGGTTTCTCCATCTCTTCACCACTTTGAGTGGCAATCTCTGAGAACCTGATATTCAAAGGAGCAGAGAAGGACAAAGTGTGAGTAGTCTGTAGAGGCAAGGACAAAACTGGATGTGACCAAGGAGCTAGACTTTGAAGTACATCCACTGCATTAGAGTTAGGCTGTTTAATTTTTTTTATTCTCAAAATGCCATTGCTTTTGAAATTATTGCTAGCTGAGTTGGGAATACGGCACTTGGCTGTTGTGTTTCACCTTCTGGAATCTTCTTTCTTTCCAGTTGATAAGCTCTATGAGCTCAGTAGCAGAGCACTGCCTCCCTTCCCTCCTCCGCACCTTGTTTGACTGGTACCGACGCCAGAATGGAGCTGAAGATGAATCCTACGAGTACAGGCCTCGATCTAGCACAAAGTCTAAGGGGTGAGTGCTTTTTGGGCCACTTTTCTACCTGGAATCACATCTCTGTGCAGGGAGTGCTAGTGTGCCCCATTGATGGTTTTATTGCTTAGTTTCTAAGCAAAAACATGGGTGACTTATGCAGGTGCCTTAGTAAGAGAAGGGCAAGTCTGTACTTATGAAGGAGAAGAAAAGGAGAGGTGCCCGTTCAGTGAGGTAGCCCCACGTGACTCATCACCAGGGTTAATCATGCAAAACCCACCTTCAGCAATGCCCCTTCAGTAGCGGATTGAGGAGCACAAATTGCCAAAGGATAGGTTCTGACTATGAGATTTGTGAAGGAAGCCAGTTGTGGTTCAGGAAGCCACACAAACAACTCGGTACTTGCCATCTCCTTCCACTCCCTGGGGAGATCTTTGCTTTTTGTCACACACCTGGCAGTGCAGGTGTTGGCACATGGTTTAGACTTGGACTTTAGTAGATGCCACTTGTGATTTTCTTCAGCTTAGATTCCTGAAACAGCGGATAGTGCATACACATCAGAAAAGCTATACTTTTGCTCTAATTCTTAATAAAGCAAAGTAATATTAAACAGGGAGTGAGAGTTTCTAAAGGCAAATCCAAAAGTTTTTCTTTTTACTTCTATTGGCTTTACGTTTTATTAAACTATTCTTTTTTAGAAGCATTATTATTTATGGTGTTTCGACACTGACCCCTTCACTGACCCCTGCATCTACTTCTCTCCACCAGTGTCTTTGTCCCCAGTTTAGGCTTTATTTTTGACAGATACAGTAGTGTGTCTATAAATACCTCATTTACAAAAATAAGAAAGAATGTAGCACTGTCCTCCCATTGGTCGATTTGCTCAAGCGGGCACCAGTAACGTCTCCATTGTGAGACTTGTTGTTACTGTTTTTGGCATATAGAATACACCACGGGGAGCTTGCCAGGCTCTGCTGTGCAGGCAGGATACTCTCGGTAGCTTGCCGGGCTCTCTGAGAGGGACAGAGGAATCGGACCCGTGTTGGCCGCATGCAAGGCGAATGCCCTACCCGCTGTGCTGTTGCTCTCTGTGTGTTTAGTAAGTAAACACACTCAGTTGCGATAACATATTCTGTGTTATTAAGGAACTCAGTGAAGACTGTGAATTGCTAATCAATTGCTGTTTTAAATCATAGAGTCTTGATGCATTTCTAATTTGGCTTTTTTCAGGGATGAACAGCAACGTGAAAGAGATTATCTTCTCGAAAGAAGAGATTTAGCCGTAGATTTCATTTTTTGTTTAGTTTTAGTTGAAGTTCTAAAGCAGGTAAGCTTTCATTACTGTAAAATATCTATTTCTTATTTCGACTTGTTAGATCTTAATGTATCCATTATCATAAGATGTTCTGCCTAAAATTCTGTCCCATATGTACTAAGTCCCCATCATCTAGTTAAATTTCTTTTGGTTGCCTTTTGGGTTTTCCTGTCTTGTATCTCTCTCTCTCTCTCTCTCTCTCTCTCTCTCTCTCTCTCTCTCTCTCCCCCCCCCCCCATTCTTTCTACTTTACTGTGACATTCAAGATAGGAAATCTTGTTAGCAAAATGGAACTGAATATAAATTATGTTAAATGTAGGCTTTTCACTGCAGTCAAACTCAGTCTGTCTGTCATTTATCTACTCAATCCCCTTTTTACTTCCACTTTCAACGAATTTTTTTTTCTTAAGCCCTCAAGCCTATATTCTAACATGTAATGCAGTGGGATTTGACATATGGGGTTGGAATGGAATGATTATTTGACATGAGTAGGACTGACTCACTGAGTGCAGATCATTTTTCAGACAGTTGAAGCCTCCTCGGGGTAATATATAATAGATGTTTTTTCATTCATTCAGTATTAGGTTACCTGACATTGTTCTAGGCTCTGTGCTCAAGAGCTTAACATCTGAATGGTGTGGGCAGTAAAGACTTACATATATAATATATCAGGCGTCATATCTTTTCAGTGTGCAAAATCAGTACGAGTACATAGTATGTACTGACATTGAAGGTGTTTTTTTAGTAGTTTGTAGTCATTAAAAAGTTGCATAACCAAGACTGGAAAGTTAGTGCAGAGGTTAAGGCACTTGCATGCAACGGACCCTGTTTCAATCCCTGGCACTACATATAGTTCCCTGAGCAGTGCTAGAGGTGATTCCTGAGCACTAAGCCAGGAGTAAACCCTGTGCACAGCTGTGTGTGACACCCTTACCCTCTCCCACAAATTGCATATTCTTCAGAGCCACATATTTCTAGCCATGGAACTAGGGATGGGTGTTACTGAGGACCTGCTGTGGACATTGGCCGTGAGTGAACTTTGATGATGGATCATCGTGATGGATCCTCAGGGTCTCTTGTAGATCTTGTGTGCTAAATGGAAGTTCTTTGGGTGGTTTGGTAACCAGCTTTTGCCTGTCTTTGATGAAATGCAACAGGGTTTCTTTTTCCAGCAAGAGAAAGTACAAACTCCCTACCTGGATACTTAGGGCTTTTCCCTACCCAGACTTCACTCCTTTGCTTCCTATGACATTCTCCCGCCAGTGATCAATTTCACTTCTTATTTGAAAATGACTCATAATTCCACTGGCTGCAGAGCTCTAGTGCACTCTAGAATTCTAGTTCATGGCGCTTTTTCATTTCCTTCTAGTCCTATTCTTTCCTCCTCCCGCTGTCTTTGTCTTCATCCCCCCGCCTCATTCTCCTCTTTTCAGAAATAATACAGACAGCCATTCTAGACTGAAAAAAAACACCAGTATCTCTAGACTCAAGCACATTCTTTTGGTCCAGAGGGATAGTCCAGAGGGGTAGGGCTCTTGCCTCGCATGCAGTTCAGATCCCTCCCACCACATAGAAACTCCTGAGCGCTGCCAGGAGTAAGCCCTGAGCGCCACTGATTGTGGCCTTCCTAAACAACAACAAAAAAGAACATTCCTCCAGCAGGCGTATTTTTATGGCGCTCTGTATAAAATACACTCAAACATGGGCTCAAAGTGTGAGGAGGACAAGCATAGTGGTTCAGACTCCAGTAGCTACTCTTGGATTTTTGTTCTGTTGCAATTGTTCCAACCCAGTGTCTGCCCACTGACCCTTTTCTCTCTTTACCATTATCCTCATACTTTCATTCAAATACACCCACTGAAGAATAAAATAAGACCACTGAGCACCTAGATCTCCTTCATTTAATGTCCTCTGTAGGATGTTTCTTTGCTATGAGAAATAAGTCGGGCTGAGGAGAGATGACTCAAGGGTTGGAGTGAAGGCCTGGAATAGGGATTCCTTGAGTTTGATCCCCAGAACCACATGCTTCCCCAAGCACTACTTATAATCAAACCCCAATAAATAAATAAATATGCATATTATATCTAATAATAGCATAATAATGAGGAAGAAACATTAAAATGTCACAGTTTTGTAGCTGCTAATCGAGGGGTCCAGGTACAGATTGTCAATGGTATTAAGTTGACAAGAAAGATTAGAGGTAGCCGATATGTGACCTTGATGGAAGGACCAGATTCTATACCTAGAAGGTAATTTTGCCAGAAGGGGAAGAAAGGGCAAATCTCTTCAGCTTCTTCAAAGCTAATAAAATTATGGAAAAATGAAGTAAAGATCAATAGAACATTACAGACTATCATGACAAACTAACCCAATTTTCTTCCATGTCAAAATGATACAGAGTTTAGTAGATCTGGAGAGTAGTAAATATATCTTGAATGTAATAGGACCTTTACTTTTATTGTCTTTAATACATACATATTAAAATATGTTCCTATTTTATTTTGATAAATCAGCACTAGGATAGTCCTAGGAATATTGGTACATATTAAAGAAGAATAAATATTCTTGGTGGTGTTGGTCCTTGTTCTCACATACTATAAGTGATTTTTTTCTTAATTAATTGGTATGCCTTCAGTGATAATCATGAATGCTTCATAATACGTAAAGATCTCGTTCTTCTTTGTATGTCTGATCACTATAACAGAGTGAGGGAGATAGCTACTGGAAGTTTCGGCATCATGGCTGTTTTATTTACTTTCCTTGAAACCAATTTCAAGCTATTACCCACACATCCTTTCCTCCGCAAAATCTGGAAGATCATATCATTTTGCAAAATGATGAGATTACATAAAATAATGCTTCAGACATATAAAGTGCCTTCAAAATGTTATCTTTTTTAAAAAATTTATTTATTTATTGAATCACTGTGGGAAAGGTTACAAAGCTTTCAGGTTTATGTCTCAGTCATGCAAATATCAAACACATTTCCCTTTACCAATACTTATTTTTTACCATGAAGAACCCCAATAAAACCCCACCCCCACCCCTCCCAGTCCCTGTGAGGCAGATGAATTCTAGTTAACACTCTATCTGCTTTGATTAGATTCATTGTTTCAATAAAAGATTCACCACTATTATTTAGAGTTTACCCCCCCCCCCAAATCAGACATGCTGAAAAAGCATTGTGAAGTGATTTGCTTTCTACAGCTGGGTTCAAGAATTAATTGTTGGTTTTGGATTTCTGCTATTTTACTTATTGACCCTGGAAGTATTTCTACTGAAAGTCAGATAGTTAAGAAATTGGTTTCTGTGCTCTGGAGTCGTGGCCGTGCTGGAGAGCCGCTCGTGAGGGGCAACTGGTGGCCTCGGTAGGGCATGAAGGGCGGACCGAAACGCCCCCTTTCCCATGAGTTTTTAGTCGCCCCCACACCCCCCGGCTCATACCTGCTGTCCACAAGTCTCCCATGCGGCCGCCATCTTTCTTTCCAGAGAGGAGAGGGCAAATGGGGCAATACACTTTCCCCTCCGGACAGACATGATGGCCTGGATTAATGCATAGTCCGTTCACTTTTCTGCTCCAAGCTGCCGGGTTCTGCATTAAGTCCTTGTACTTCTGGGGCCGTGGCTGTGCTGGAGAGCTGCTCGCGGGGGGCAACTGGTGACCTCGGTAGGGCGTGAAGGACGGACTGGAATGCCCCCCTTCCCATGAGGTCAAAATGTTATCTTTAATTTTTATTTTGTGAGTGAAAAATATACTTAATTATAGTGACTTGCTGAAGATTGTAAACTAGTTCACATGGTTTGCCTGCAGGAGGCCAGGTTTGATTTTCAGCACTGTGGTTTCCTAAGCATTGCCAGGTGTGGCAAAAAAAAAAAGTAAAATTAGTTATTTTTTCACACTTAAGCCAGAGAGATGTAAAATAGCTGTGGCACTTGCCTTACATACAGCTGATCCAGGTTTGATCCCCATCACATATGGTTCTCAAGCCATGCCTAAGTGCAGAACCATGAGTAAGACCAAAACCAAAAAACAAAAACCAAAATGAATTGCTGACATATGCAATTAAATACAGACAGTTGTCAAAATAGTAATTATGACTTGGTATGCTAGATCGGTCTAGAAACTTATTTGAAATTAAATTCTTGTCCTCAATGCAATATATATTCTAAGTGAAGATTTTTTTAAAAAAGAAAACTGAACACTTTATTATGAAATATTCAAGAATATAATTCAGATTAATTTAGTACATAACCTGGAAGTGCTTTGTGTGATTTCAAAATTATGGGGTTTTTTTTAAAAAAAACTTTTTTATTGAATCACTGTGAGATGGACCATTACGAAGACGTTCATGATTGGATTTCAGTCATACAGTATTCTAATACCCATCCTTCTACCAGTGTATATTTCCCAGCACCAGTGTCCCCAGCTTCCCTCCCATCACCCTAATCCTCCTCCCCCTGCCTGCCTCTATGGCAGTCACTTTCCCTATCTCTCTTTCTCTCTCTCTCTTTCTCTATCTGTGTCTCTGTCTCTCTCCTTTCTCTTTCTTTCTCTTTCTCTCTCCCCCCCACATTGTGATTTGCAATATTGATACTGAAAGGTTATCAGTAATATCCTTTTACCTACTTTAAACACTCAGTTTTTGTCCATCATGATCATTCCCAGCTATTATTGTCACACCAGTCTCTTCTCTATCTTGTCTCATCCCCACCCCCCTTGTGATTAGATCCAACCATTGACCAGTCCTCCTAACCCCTGTTTTCCCTGGCCATGGATATTAGTCTTTTATTATATATATATATATATATATATATAGAGAGAGAGAGAGAGAGAGAGTAAATGAATGCAGTTATTCCATATCTGTCCCTTTCCTTCTGACTCATTTCACTCCTGGTGGGGCTCAGAAGACCATACAGGGTGCCAGGGACCAAACCAGGTCAGCCGCATGCAGGACAAGCCCCCCACCTGCTGTACTTTCTCACTAGCCTCTCCCTGGCCCCTCCTCTGTCAAGCCCCCGAGAAGCATTCTGACCATCTCTGGGTAATTATAATTCTCTCTTTCACCTGGTCTAGTTTGTGCTTGCTTACATTTATTATCTCCACGGCAATTTGTTCCTACTGAAGAGATGATGTGTATAGGTTATTTATAAAGGGAAAAAAAGTATAATTTCTGTGTGTTTTAATTGGACCCCAGGCCCACAGAGTTGGGCGAATTGTAATGCTGGTTCAAGACACACAGCTCTCACTGGTCTCCGCATGACAGCTTGCATGTTTGTGATGTTCCTTGTGAGCCCTCCATCTGAGGCAGAATCAAATTGTCACCTACCGTTTCAGCTCACCCAATGTGAGTCTGTCTTACTTGATTCCCCAGAAACACTCTTGCCATTCATACTCTTTCGTGTTCATTGTCTTTAAAACTATAAAAATATTTAAGTCCTTTTAAACTTTCTAACAGAATTGCCTGCTATTGTTTATTGTCCCCCAGGGCTTGCCCCCCTCCCCCAATACAGATAATCCCACTTAAGTAAGACAGCTATCTATCTATCTATCTATCTATCTATCATTGTTTTCTTAGTTCTTTAATTGCTAGTACTTTCTTGGGTGCAGTGCCTGGGGCTCTGCAAATCAAATGCACAAAAGGCAGATTAACCACAGAGAAACTTTATTATGTTTGTATGCTTCATATAAGTGCAAGAGCGATAGCACAGTGGGTAGTTCATTTGCCTTGCACACAGCCGACCCAGGTTCGATTCCTCCGCCCCTCTTGGAAAAACCCAGCAAGCTACTGAGAGTATCTCGCCCACACGGCGAAGCCTGGCAAGCTCCCCGTGACGTATTCGATAGGCCAAAAACAGTAACAACAAGTCTCACAGTGGAGACATTGCTGGTGCCCACTCGAGCAAATCGATGAACAATGGGAGGACAGTGCTACAGTGCTTCATATGAAAGAAGTGAAACGCTAAAGAAAGGTTAGACAATGTACTTTTAACAAAGAGCAGGACACATTAGAAGTGACAAGACAAAGGGAAAGAGTTTGAGCTTCTAGGACAAACTGCAGGACAATACAGGGGGAAACTTGTAGAAGAGAAAGGCTACTGAGAAAGGTGTATGTTCGCTTTTTAGTATCAACTATTTTCCATGATGGTGATTGTTACCTTCTTGGTATGGGAAAAAAGTAAAACTGCTTTTAGGCAGGAAGTGGAAGGTATGTTTTCCTGTATCTGCTATTTGTCAGTTGCATTTACCTCACAATAATTCTTATACTGAAAACAAAAAAAGAGAACTGATCTTCAGTAGGAAGCCTACCTAGGATAGAGGGGTGGGGAGATATTGAGTCAGTGCTGGAGGGGAGTGGGCACGTTGTGGGAAGGGGTCGTCCTGGATTGTGTAATAAATGCATGAAACCCTACCTTTACAGTATCGCACACCATTTTGCCTTTTTTTTTCTTTCTGGGTCACACCTGATGATGCACAGGGGTTACTCCTGGCTCTGCACTCAGGAATTATTCCTGGCGGTGCTCAGGGGACCATATGGGATGCTGGGAATCAAATCCGTTCTGCCATGTGCAAGGCAAATGCCCTACCCACTGTGCTATTGCTCCAGACCCGTTTGCCTAAATTTTTAAAAAATTATAAAAAAATTTTGTTTAATTACTCAGCCAAAGAGCAGTGTTTTTCTGGTGGCATATTTTGACAAGCTAAATTTATTTAAATTTCAATCAGCAGTGTCTATGAAACCTCATTTATGCATGTTTATCTCTACTATTTGATATTTTCAGACTCCATTTTCCTCTTACCAAGTATAAAACAGTAGCAGTATAGCACTATCCTCCTGTTGTTCATCGATTTGCTCAAGCGGGCACCAGTAACGTCTCCATTGTGAGACTTGTTACTGTTTTTGGCATATTGAATATGCCACGGGTAACTTGCCAGGCTTTGCCATGCGGGCAGGATACTCTTGGTAGCTTGCCGGGCTCTCCAAGAGAGAGGCAGAGAAATGAAACCTGGGTCGGCTGCATGTAAGGCAAACACCCTACCCACTGTGCCATCACTCCAGCCCAATTAATATAAGAGTACCTTGTATATTTTCATTCTTTGTATTAATCACATTAAATTTTTCTTCATAACAAAGGGGAATTTACAATACCAGGCATCAGAACTTACTGTTAAATTCTAGTAAGATGGAATGATACAGACTTTTACATGCAAAGAATTAAACAACAGACCGTTCAGTGAAGCCAACCATAATACATGTCCACGTTGAACTATACAACCCTCTCCTGATCAGTTCCTCCTTTGTACTTTATCCTGTGGATATATACAATGTATAATGTTGAATGCACATATAAGCATTAAGTTTTGAAAACTATGAATGTGTGTGTGTGTGTGCGTGTACATGAGTGTGTACATATATATGTGTATATGGACAGTGGGGACAGAGAGACCGTAGAGGGGTAGGAACTTGTCTTGCACATAGCCCACACCCACTTGGTTCCGCCACATATAATTTATTGAGCATCACCAGGACTGAGCCCTGAGCACAGAACAGGAGTAAGCCCTGAGCACTGCTAGATGTGTCTTCAAAACAAAAGAAGGAATAAGGTAGAGGACTAGCTCAAGGGACTAAGCACTTGCTTTTGTATGCTGGGGCCTGGGTTTGATCCCTGGCACCACACAGTCCCTGAGCACTGAGCCAGGATTTGCCCCCTGAGATCCATAGACTATGGCACAAAATCAAAGAATACAGAAGCACTGTGATCTTGGACGTGGAAAGAGGCATGATTAAGCCGAGAAAAAAATCAGAGTTGTGTATGTACATACGGAAGAGTCTAGTAGGATGTGAGCCAAGTAAAAGGATTTTACTCTTTGTTTAAATATTTTTATATATTAAAAACTAGTGTATAATTTTTAAAAACACTAAACAAACATATTTAAATGACGTTTTTGATGTTAATAAACCTGCAGGAAGTTTAAAATTCTATGAAGGGTTGGTGTACCTTTGACCCCTGTCCTTTAAAGGCAGTGGGAGTAGGTGGAGGGAAGGTAGCTGACTCAATGGGAAGGTCACTTTCCTGTAGGTGCTGTGAGTGAGCATCCTTTGAACTCGCTGGCCATAGTAATTACAGTCACAGCAGGATGACTAATGATTTGTGATGGTGAAGCTCACATTCTTAAATTTAGAGCTTGCTAAATTAGATGCGTACGCTGGAGCAGAAAAGAACATCCTGAGCAAGGGAAGATTTGCAGATTAGTGATCAATTATACCATGAAAAATAAAATTCAATTCATTGAAATGATGAGAAACTTGTAAATGACTCGTCACTTATTTTGCCCTTACCTGATTGACGCTTTCGTAATTTTAGATTCCTGTTCATCCTGTGCCTGATCCCTTAATCCATGAAGTTCTAAATTTAGCTTTTAAGCACTTTAAACATAAGGAAGGGTAAGTAGAATACTAACTTGTTATTCTTGCTTTTGTCTGCAGTTCAGATGCATATTGTCTAAATCTAATTTGAACTCTCATTGAATTCTCACTTTTAGAGTTTAAAATTAATCTCTTTTTATACCCATGAAAAATTGGCTTATTAGAATATTTATATATCCTTAATTTTTTAAAACCATTATAGAAAACTATTTAAAGACATTTTAAACAAAAAGAAATTACTATATCCATAAAAATTCTTTCTTAAAATTTAGTGGATTTATAAGATTGAATTTTGAAATTATTGGGTTTATTTGAACCAGGAGGCTAATCATGTCGATTAAAGCCTTCTTAGAGAAAAGCTTCATGAGCTCATATCTTTTATATGCCTATTCAGAGAAAAATACACTTTGATAAGGAATTTTTAGATTTTTTTGGTAAAAATGTATGAAATATTTAATGAAAAAATCTTTGTTCTCTTTTCATTTTAGATATTCAGGAACCAACACTGGGAATGTGCATATTATTGCAGATTTATATGCAGAGGTGATAGGGGTTCTTGCCCAATCAAAGTAAGTTTTAAGACACTGATTTTGATTTGCTTTGTATGTTAGAACACTCCCGTGCTGCTGTGAGGATGCACAGGAGAGATTGAGGTCACTTCTCTCCTAAAGTTACCGTAGAATCTGTCCTTTTTATTACTTTGTTGCTCTTTTTCTCTGAAAGAAAATCATAGAGGATTTTGAAGGAATACTCCTAAGTCAGTTTCACAACCTATTTTCGTTTATTGGATGTTTTCCATTAATATCCCAGTGGAGAATGTCAGAAATTGCCTTGGAGAGTCAGGGCATTATTTTCTATTTTTAACAATTCTTAGAGTATTTTTAAAACTCTTTCAAAACCCTTAGCAAAGCTAATAATTACTTTTAATACCTTCCAGCTGAGTGCTTTTATCATTGAGACAGAAATGCAACGTCTTCCTTATGTTCCTCTGCTTGTTTTAATTCTAAACAGAGTTTTGAATGGGTAAAAGTGTGCCAGAAAGGAAAGATAAAATGTGGTATATTAGTACTCCATAAAAATGTTACTCATTTGGAGTTACATTTATTCAGTCATACCGAAACCGTCTTTATAAAAAAAAAAAATCAGAATGAAAGTTTGTAATCGATTGTGGTTGTTCTAAAAATTGTGGGACATTTTGAATTTCCTTTGTTATTACTAGAAAATGTGAAGGAAAGTACCAATTCCAGTTTCCTTGGGTTTAATTAAAGAGTCTTTGATCCTAAAATCCTATAACAAAACTAAATTCTAAGAAGACAGGCACAATTATTTTTAGTGTTTAGGAATTCAGATTTTTGTATTAGATATTTTATTCTGTGAACTTCAGTGTTTCTTGATATTTTTCTGCCCATGACACCCTTCTGAGCTTCTTTCCTTCCTGTGGTCCCCATTTTTTACTACTTGTCCTGAGTTTCATGCCGTGGGTCGTCATTGACATGATTTTTTCCTGTAACCCCATTGGAATATCCTGGGTACCTACAGGGGCCATATGACTTCTGTCTATACTTTTCCTTGTTGCTAATATACTGGGGTCCCTTGTCCTCTAATGCTATGGAATTCAAAACGTAGTTTGATTATTTTAAATGATTTCTAATTAGTCTCTATTTTCTTACATGCTTACTTTTCCTTATTTAAAATTATGAATGTGTATTTAGGTTTTGTTGTTGTTGTTGTTATGGTGCCAGGATCAAATCCAGGCCCTCACCCATGTGAGTCATATACTCTCCCATTGACTTTCATTCTCAGCTCAGAAGATCTTTATAAGATCTTTATACCTGAAGCATAAAATAAGATCTTCATACCTCAAGCACAAAAACAAAGACTCCAGCGATGGGATATTTCTTTTAAAGGCATAATAGTTTTGATATTTATCAAAAATGAATTTCTGTAATATAGATCCTAAATCCACAATAACTACATGAGGTGCTTGCATCCAGGAGAAGACTGCATCCTTGTAAATTGAACTCTAGGATATTAAGATGGTAAATCCCTGTGAATGGGAAATACATGAAATGAAACTCAGGCTAAATTAGCCTAGCAATAGAGAAACACCACTTATGAGTGAGATGTTCTCCACCCGTATATATAATGAATCTGGGCAAAAGCATGACCAGATAGATGTCAGGAGAGGCTGACATTTGAGGGGCAAAAGGTAAGGAGGAGTGGGGATGAGAAGGGACTACGGAGAGAGAAGAAGGGGTATATTCAATTCTTGCATATGCATTTTTGTCACTTCTTTGTCATAAAGATAACTCATCACCTTATGAGAATTTAATAAAAGAGACTAGAATTCTAGTATTATTGCAATGAGAAAATTTTTTATTCACTGGTCAAAGACATTACAAAACAAGAAAGAAATGCTTTCATGGATAATGGCAATATATTCTCCAAGATTCAAATGGAACTAGATAAGTTGCTTTGGCTTTGATGTGCCATCTTTCATTAATGGGCAATTTTCTTTTTTCCCCCACTCTTGTCAGTGACCATTGTAAGGCACACTTCCAAGGGAAGAACGCAAAACTTTTCAGTGTAATTACTAGCCTTGATGGTTGTAGTTGTCTGAATCCAGAATGAGACCCATCCTTAAAGATTCATTCTTTAGCTTATTCATTCTGAGACTAGTGACTTTCCATGATTGAGAATTCCTTCAGTCATATGTCATTGTAATTATTAAAAAATATAGGGGCTGGACCGGTAGCACAGCAGATAGGGCATTTACCTTGCACGTGGCCGACCGGGGTTTGATTCCTCTACTCCTCTCGGAGAGCCCGGCAAGCTACCGGGAGTATCTCGCCTGCACGGTAAAGCCTGGCAAGCTACCTTTGACGTATTCAATATGCCAAACACAGTAACAACAAGTCTGACAATGGAGACGTTACTGGGCCCACTCGAGCAAATCGATGAACAATGGGAGGACAGTGCTGTGATTGATGCTGAATTTGTACTAAATAAATCCCATTATTTCTTCATAAGTAATTGGTAATGCTCAGGTAACTGGGGTCTGGTGAGGGAGCTCAGTGGGCTGAGCGCGTGCTTACATGCAGGAGACCAGGTTCAGTTCCTGACACCTCATGGTCCCCTGGGAAGTGAACTGGGTACAGCTCCCAGCACTGCCAGGTGAATCTCCGGCTTCCAGAAAAATAAAGAATGATAGATACCTTTTGATTTCTTAACTGTGTGGAAAATGAGTTTCTAATTCAGGCCATACTCTGTGTCTCTATGCATTAAAGATTTCAGGCTGTGAGAAAGAAGTTTGTGACAGAACTAAAAGAACTGAGACAAAAGGAACCGAGTCCACATGTGGTGCAAAGTGTCATCAGCTTAATAATGGGAATGAAGTTTTTCCGAGTAAAAATGTATCCTGTAGAAGATTTTGAAGCATCATTTCAGTTCATGCAGGTAGCAGACCATTTTGGTTACAGCCTTTGGAATGACCCTAAGTGCAGGTGGCTTTGCTTATCTGGGTTCTTTTTTAAAAGTAACATATTTAAGCTAATGACATTGTTACTTAAGACCTAATCCCAAGCGCTAAAGTGTCACAAGTATGAATTCATTTTCTTTTTCAACAAGGGCATAAAAAAAATTAAAAATTCCTCTTCTTTTCCCTTGTGGTGGTGGCGATGCACTCACAATGCTCGTACCTGTGGTTGTGTGCCAGATATCACACTCAGCAGTGTGGGGCGGTTTGTGGATCAGATCTGCTCCTTCACACCTTCACATGTGACAAGGCGCATCAGTGCCCTAACACTGAGCCACTAGGTCCTAGGGCCACTAGGAGCAGATTTTGTATCGGGGATAGGGAGAGGGGTGTAAAATTAGACTATTTACTGGAGCCATAGCACAGCGGTAGGGCGTTTGCCTTGCACGCAGCCAACGTGGCCGACCCGAGTTCGATTCCTCCGCCCCTCTCGGAGAGCCCGGCAAGCTACCGAGAGTATCTTGCCCGAACGGCAGAGCCTGGCAAGCTCCCCGTGACGTATTCGATATGCCAAACACAGTAACAACAAAGTCTCCAATGGACACGTTACTGGGCCTGCTTGAGCAAATCGATGATCAACGGGAGGGCCTTTACCTTTACCTTTACCAAATTACTGTGATTAAAAAAAAAATCTGCAGTTTTTGTTAATCTAACGTATTTTTTCCTTCCTCCCCCCCCCCCCCCAAGGAATGTGCTCAATATTTCTTAGAAGTAAAAGACAAAGATATAAAACATGCGCTGGCTGGTTTATTTGTGGAAATCCTTATTCCTGTAGCTGCTGTAAGTACATGATTGTGTTGCGATGGTATTTCAAAAGTTCCCTTCTGTGCAGAAAGTTGCCAGATGAAATATCCTACTTCCCTGTCATCTCACAGACAGTGGAATGAAGCGGAAAATCTGCGTGTGTCTTAATGGGAATGTGTTAATTAGGCAAATAGTAGAAGCACATATGCCAGTCTTTTCATTAAAAGATGATGCCCCCATCCTTGGACCCCTGGGCTGTGAAGAGAGCAGGGCTGTCACCTGGCGCTAACGGCCACCTGGCAGAGCTCGGTTTCCTCTCTGTGGCTTCTGCTCTGTGCTCATGGCTGCCACCTCAGGGAATTTGAAAGGGCTGTGACAAATACGGGAATTTACAGGGTTGTCTCAATTTTAAATTTTCCATTCTGTGGGTTGTTCTAAAGTTCATCACCCATGTCAAAATACACACTCCAAATTATTTAGAAAATATGATATCATAAAGATGATATTATCATAAGTTGCTTGTAGGTAGGTAGATTTATAGCCTCCCCCCCCTTGGTATAAATGCAGTGTGTTATTAAAAGTAATTTTGCAGTTGTTATAACATAGCATCATTTAAATAGCACTAGAGGATTTTAGAATCCTTAGATTCCTGGTAATTTTACTCCACACAGCTTTTCTCAGTGGTGTATGATATGCTACTTGCTTTCAGAATGCTACACATTGACCTCTAAACAATATTGTTTATAATATGTGGTATTTTATGAAAGACTTACGGAAATAAAAGCAGCGAAGTAGTACAATGCGTAGGGCATTTGCCTTCCCCATGGAACTCTGGCTATAAATAGGTCTTGCCTCTCTAATCCTTGCCCCCCCCCCCCCCCATCCTGGCCAGCCTTTCTGATGATTCATCACATGCCCTGAGTGTTTTCTCCCTCTTATGGACCCAAGGACAGCATGGTGGTCAGGGTAGGGAAGACTCCTGGCTTTCCCGAGCTGCTTCTGTGGGAAACGCAAGACGTAGTGTGTGGATAGGTAGTATGTCAGTATATGGTGGCTGGAAGGTACCTGAAAGTGAGTAGAGAAAAAGAAAGGATCCCTGAATGGGTGATGGAGGTTACATTTTAAATAGTGTCTCGGAAAGAACCCCACCTTGTATGAGATCTTGGCGTTTGAGCCAAAGCTAAAGAAAGTAAAGTAAAGTAAAGTAAAGTAAAGGCCCTCCCGTTGATCATCGATTTGCTCGAGCGGGCCCAGTAACGTCTCCATTGGAGACTTTGTTGTTACTGTGTTTGACATATCGAGAAATGAGCGTGAATAGGGGCCGGAGCGATAGCACAGTGGGGAGGGTGTTTGCCTTGCACGTGGCTTACCTGGATTCTATCCCTGGCATTCCATATGAGCCTCCAAGCACCGCCAGGAGTATTTCCTGAGTGCATGACCCAGGAGTAAACTCTGAGCATTGCCGGGTATGACCCAAAAAGCAATAAGAAAGAAAGAAAGAAAGAAAGAAAGAAAGAAAGAAAGAAAGAAAGAAAGAAAGAAAGAAAGAAAGGGAAGAAAGGGAAGGAAGGAAGGAAGGAAGGAAGGAAGGAAGGAAGGAAGGAAGGAATCATGCTGTTTGGGGGTGGGAGGGGGGAGAACCTGCCCCAGCAGAGCGAACAAGGTGCAGACCCCTCCCGAAGCAAGAGCACATTTGCTTCTCAAACAGCCAGAAGGAACACCGAGTCCCGGAAATAAGGCCAGAGAGGCCCACTAGGAAAGCATTGCTCCATGTCAGGTAGAGAAATGCCAGATTCAGCATGGATGTTACTTCTGTGTGAAGCTTTTGCAAGGGTCCCCTTCTGAGGCTCTCAGGAGTGCAGAGGATTTCCTCAAAAGTCCTTTGTTGTCCCACATACCAAGAGTCTCTTGTCGCTGGCTTACCATCTCCACCCTGCGCTCAGGGCAGGGACCCTGTTTCTCCCCCGTTACTTCATCTTTGACCCGTCAGGGTGCTTCTCCATGAGACGGCTGGTCTCAGACCTCCCCGAGAGCATCTGTGGTCGTTGTACAGCTTTAGCTTAATGTCTGTAACCCTTTTCTTTGTGCTTATCTTTTATACCTAGGCTGTTAAAAATGAAGTGAATGTTCCCTGTTTGAAGAATTTTGTGGAGATGCTTTATCAGACTACTTTTGAACTGAGCTCCAGAAAGAAGCACTCATTGGTACCGAGAAATACTTCAAGCCTTTACACATTTAAGTTGCAGTTTTAGTTGTTGTTTTAAAAAGGAATGTGATAGTCTTAAGAGAATTGTAAACATTGAAATGCTATAAAGTGCCCAAATATAACAAAGGACAAATTTTTCATATCTATAGTTTCCTGCTTTAAACAAAAAAAAATGCTGTTCATGCTTCTACTAGCTCTGTATTTGATAAATTATTTATTCTAGGTACATACCTATTTTATAGGTGCTTTAACTTACTGTCATAAGGTGAAAGTTGGATATGTTCTTACATTAATTAAATTATAAGTTCCTATATTTTACATTATAGTAAAATGTATTTGTAAGTACCAGATTACTTAGGAACCAATTACATCTCAACCAATCACATTCAGTTACATCTCTTCAGTCATAGTTGTTTTGGGTGTATTTTTATTTGTGGTACCAGGTCTCATACCCAGAGTGCACTGTCCTTGTGCTATGACCTCCAGCCTTCTAGCCATAGGTTGTAGCCTCCAATTTACAAAAACCCCTTTCTCCCAGAGGGATTTCTGCAAATCTTCTCTAAGTTTGTACGCAGATAGGTGAGTTGGACAATTGACCACTTGAGATAAAAACATAACAACGACAAATTCTGTGCCTTACATTGAGCTAAGCTCTTTGTATTCCTTGTCTGGAAATCTCTCAACCCTCTAGTGTGTGTGTGTGAAATCATTTTCCACTTTTCATGTTTGGAAAGAGAGGCCGAGAGCATTAAATGTCACTCCTTAAGTCGCACACTTGGCAGATGGAAAGCTGAAACCTTTCTGCCTAGCTGGGCTCTGGGGTCCCAACCTGTGTGCTGGGTATAGCCAGTCGGCTGATCTCTTGTGGTCAGAAGATAGTACAGCAGGGAAGGAGCTTGTCTAGCACGTGGCAGAGTATGACCTCTGCACCACAGTGTGGACTCATGAGACCCACCAGGAATGATCCCTGGGTGCAGGCCAGGATTAAGTCCTAAGCATCACCAAGTGTTGCCCCAAATGCCTCCCCCTGCACCAAAAAAAATCTTTAAAGAAAACTTTTACTTCATCACGCTTGGTTGATTATTAAGAGGTTCTGTTTCTTATCACAAATGGAAAACTACAGAAGCTTTTTGTTGGTTTGTTTCTGTGTTTTATGAGACTAAATGAAATTTAACTTATGCCCGTATTTTTATGAGAGAAGTGTTAATTTTCTCTTTTTTCTTGTCTTTTCTAGGCTCTGTACCCCCTAATTACCTGCCTTTTATGTGTCAGTCAGAAACAATTTTTTTTAAATAACTGGCATATTTTCCTACAGAACTGTTTATCCCATCTGAAGGTAAGATGTGATCTCCTTTCTGACCTAAACTAATGGCTGTCTCTCAAATGTTCATTTAAGCAGATACACTGAACAGCAACCATGATCTAATACAGTTTCTTTGCTCTTGGTACATTCCATTAGTACTCTGCTACGTACTTGGTTCCTTGTAATGGAATCACATCTAGACGTATATACATTTCTGATTGAAAATTTAGTTTGTCTTAGTGCAAAATGATACATTTTGTTATGCAAAATGATATATTTTGTTATGCAAAATGATACATTTTAATGATCATTATTTGTATTACGATGATCGTTATTTCTTATTTTTTTTTATTTAGAAACACTTGTCAATTAACCTCTTTCAGAATTGTAGTCTTCATTTCAGACCACTCTCCAGATACTTATTTTGTGTTTGTTTGAGAAAATTCAGTATTGGCTCAAGTTTAAGCACAATGGAAAAAAACCTTGGTAATATGATATCACTAAAAGCAAATTTAATGTAAGTATGCCTAGCCAAATAGGAAAGTGTAGGGCCAGATCTCCATGGCTATCAAAACTCCTAAAATGATTGTGACTCGAATTAAGGAATAATTGTTTCTAATGCTCCTTGGCATATCCAGCATCTTTAATATCGAAAACGGCTGAATGGAAAGGATCATTTTCTTTCAGAGTTGCTCCACCGCTGGATCTTTTTTCTTTGGGGGATCGGGACATAGTGTACTTTTTCACATATTGACAATAAATATGCTTAATTCATTGTTTATGGCTTACAGAAATATGGCAAGCCTGAGATTTTGTTTCTTATTCCTCCTCTAAGATGGAGTTAAGACTAAAAACGATGCACTTTGAAGACATTGAAATTAAGGCAGCAGTAGATGAGAAAGCTGGTTTCTCACGAAGCTGCTCGCTGTAATTCTGTGAGAAGCAGCGTGGGTTCTTCTTTCTCACTTCAGGGATGGCCTGGCTGACACTGTGATGCTTGCCATCGCTTTCAGGATTATAGATCTCATTTTCAAAAATGCCTTGTTTTTCTGTCAGTTGGACAGAAAATATGTCTTTGAAAAGGATTTTTTTCCTGTCTTCCTCTGAGTTAGATTTTGACATAATATTCCTGTTTGGATAAGAATTGAGATGCTCTATTAGCTGTATTTATGAAATTTCCCAGAACCAAATCAAACTGGTCAAGTACTTTGTCATGCAGCCAGAAAATGTTTCATTTAATTAATTGCACTAGACTATCATCTGTCCCTTATTTCAATTATTCATACAGATACTGAAAGAGAATTGATTATTTGGGGGCAGTATGATTTTTCATACACTGAAGAAGATATTAAAACATTGACTTGTTTATGGAAGGTTGCTTTGTTTCACAACAGTTCATACTTTTCTTTTGCTTGTTGGAATTTTTTTATATGTATACGTTTTCACCTAACATATTTGCAGTTCTTTCGCAGTACCTTAACTTTTTTTTAATTTTTTTTTTATTTTTGTCTTGAGGCTTTCATTTAAAATGCTCTATTTTCTTTAAACCCTTACCTCCTGTTAAATATTTCTGGCATATTGTCCATTTTCATTAATGGTTATGTCAATCTGCCAGGCTTATAGGAGATAAGAGCCACTTAGCATGAATATTTGGAATTTAGTTGTCTTGGCCATTAACCCTTACATTAAGGCTCTATTCAGCAGAAATTTTATGAGTTTATCTCTGCTCATTAGGTTTTAGATACTGCAGCTGAGCTACATCGTTGAGTTATAGATTTGAGTAGTCAGGGGGAAAAGTCACGCTTGTTCTCTATTGCACAGATATAATTTACTTGTTTTTAATACAGTAAGAAAATGATTTAAGACCTTAAAGTTGAATTTCTTTTGAGATTCAAGTAGTCTCTAAACACTGCGGCTCAGTTCATGGTTTGGGTAACAGGCTGGAAGATCAGCCTCCCCTAATTAAATGGGAGCCAAACAGTGATCAGGGATGGAATTTCCTTCTGAAACCACCTTGTTTCATAACATTTGTTCTTTCTGGTACAGTTTGCCTTTCACTGTCCTCTAAGAAATGTGGCTCTTCTAAATAATATGGGGACAGTAGAAAGCATTATTCTGGGGCAAAGTGCAGGCTTTGCGGCAGACCGCCGGCCTCCATCCCTCAGCACTGCAGGGAGTGACCTCCAAACACCAAGTCAGGGGGTAGTCGCTGAGCACTCCTGGAGATTGCTACCCACCCACCAAAGCTCTCTGCTTTCAAGTCTTAAGAACAAACACACTTGAGGAAACCAGTTTTGAGAATGGCCCCAGGGGCAGGGTTGGTGGCTCTGGGAGCTGGCGTGCATGCCTGATACACACGGATCAGATGTTTTGTACCCTGGCACCTCATAGCCTCCCAGCACCACCAGGTGGGACTCCCGTAGTCCCCCAAATATTTTGGGGAAATCAACCCCTCTCCCGACCAAAAAAAAATATATTGAACAGTAGTAACCGAAATTGTTTTATTCATCTTTGAAGTTGGTAGCTGTGAAATATGGGTGTTGGGTCTTTGGGCCCATAAAGTAGCAGTCTTATTTTAACTTGAGTTTAGTCTGGTTTAACTGAATGTTAAATCTATTGCTTTTTGCACTTGAGGTCATTATGTGAATAATTATTTCACATTTCCTCAAGAATTCTTGAGGGAGCAAAAGATGACTAGGGACATCATAAAAAGAAAAAAGAAAACACTTTTTGCCTAGTGCACACTTATTTTCCTCTAGCAATTTAAGCTTGTTCAAAATCAAAATGTAGTATTTTGTGAGGAAAACTTAGGTAGTTAAATATTCACCTCTTTTCTCTCTGTTTTGAATATTATAGATGGATCCCATGATACCCAAATTACAGGATTTTTTTTTTCCTCTTAGTGGTTACTGCCACTATCTTGGCAATTTCAAATTTCTTCTAAATAGAGACCTTGGTGAAGAGCTGTCTTGTTTTGTGCTTATTTTCATCTAACATGCATGTGCTGCATCTCATGTTTATGTTTGCTGTCTCACGTTGCTTTATTTAGATGCCATCTAACAACAGTATCAGAAAACAAATAGAAACCCTCCAGGTGAGTCTTGCTGTGTTCCAAAGTAAAATGTTGCTTTATCCCCTTTCAGTGTGGCTTCCCCCTCCCAGCTCACCCCCAGCCATTGTTGCATTGCATGTCCAATTTATTTGTGCCAACCTGCCTCTCCTATTGTAAAAGAAGTACAGCGCCCTGGAGGAACCTTCTGCGGAAGGTGTCATGTTAGTACGACCCCAGGAAGACAATGAAGAGACAGAAGTGATGCTCAGTGTCTATTTCTTAATTGGAAATCTCAGTTTTAAGATACTCTATTAAGTTCACATTAACGATTATGAGAGAAACCTCCAAAAAAAAGTTTTTCCCAAAATGAAAGAAGTGGGTGGCTTAGAATTTTTAGTATGATTTTGGTGCATATTGGTTCAGGTTCTAAACAGATGCTTTGCTTCGCATGTACAAGAAAACACGAGGGAAGACATTAAAGTGATAGCTGCTACGTTTTCTGACATGCCAAAATTTTGTTCATAGTAAGAACATTGGATTTTTATCTATGTAGTTTTTATTATTCAAATCAGACTTGTAAGTGTGGATAATTGTATATTTTTATGACCCAGATTACTTTAGGATGCTTTTATTATTATGTACACATGGGCAGCAGCTTTGAAGTGGCCTAATAAATAATTAATAATGGAATTTTAACACTCATCACCTTGCTTTGACATTGTTCAGTATCTGGAGAGTCTGCTTTGTAAATAGTGTCCATTTTAGAACGTTTGAAGTCAAGGTGTTGCTTTTTTCATGACTGATTCCTTAGCACTTATGGATAATCCAAATATCTCATTAAACTATATGAGAACAATTTTATATATGAAATTGGATATAACTATTTTAATATTCAATTTCTATAATCAAAGTGAAAGTATTTAGTTTTGTCAGAAAGCTAATTGAACTCATCTTGGTATCTGATATCTTGGGCTTTCTATGGTAGAAAGTACTGTGATGATTGTTTTACTAGTGGTATTATATAGGTTACTTTAGTCTCATTAAAGGTAAAGGTAAAGGCCCTCCCGTTGATCGTCGATTTGCTCGAGCGGGCCCAGTAACGTCTCCATTGGAGACTTTGTTGTTACTGTGTCTGGCATATCAAATACTCTCGGTAGCTTGCCGGGCTCTCCGAGAGGGGCGGAGGAATCGAACTCGGGTCGGCCATGTTGGCTGCTTGTAAGGCAAACGCCCTACCGCTGTGTAAAAAGTTAATGAGCAACTACGTGGGGGAAATGTATTTGAATTGGTATCATTGCAGATGAGGCCTTGGAAGGGATTAATGTAGAACAATTGATCATCTATTCTTAATCTTATTTCACATAGATGTGCAAACTATATTTTCTAATGGTCATCTTTAAAAACATCCTTAGTTGTTGGCTTTTTTGTATTGCACATAATCATACATAGGTGAAGTCCATAATTCAGTATCATAAAAGATAAAATACAGTGACTGAACTACCTGCTAATTAAAAGTTCACTTTCGTTCACAACTATATATATAAAAGAATTTCTCAATAGTAAGCACTACTCAAATCAAATTAAATACTTATTCATGGTAAACAAGAACTACTGCGAATTAGAAGTTGTTATAGAAATCATCTTCTGCCAAAGGTACATTAATACATTTTCAAAGGTATGTAAAGATACATTCGGTGTGTTTTCAGATTATACCATTAAATCTCAAATGACTGTTCATTTGAGAACTTTACCTGTAATAGTACTGAATCTGAAGAACAGCTTGCCGATCAGATTGTGTTTCACAATCAAATACTTTTGATTTGAAAATCAAATACTTTTCTGATTTTAAATATAATCTAAATATTGATGCTCTGATTCTAAGTAAAAATCAAAGGTAATGAATGCTTGACTTTCATTGACTTTAACACATGCCAGATAGTTTTCCTAGTGCATTTTCACTTAATAGTGTCTTTATTTGTGAACTAGATACTACCATGTTATCCCAAGTTCAGGGATGAGGAAGTTGTGGCAGCCAATGTAGTGCAGTGCCCCAGCCTGGGAATGAATTTGATGCTGCTCTTCTTCTGTTTTTCCATATCACACTTACACAATTATGAGCACCTCAGTAATATTTTATACTATTTCATAAATATGTATACTGACATTTGAATCCTAAATTTTAACAATATGTGGGCTACAGTGATTGCTGCTAAGATGAGTAATCCTTCCATCATTGTATCAATAATGTGGGCCAAAATGTCATGTTAATTAAAGGTGCATGATTTTGGAGTTCCTATAAATATTAATATAGTTCAGTCTTTCATTACTTTGTCTTGAGGGTATTAGGGGAAAGCTTGGAATTAACTTGTTTATGGTACATTTTGAGCTATAACTTAACAAAAACTAATTAAATACTTAGATGCTTAAACCTGTTTTGAATTAAATACACAAAGGGGGACTAATGGGACTTAGTTACTGAGAAAGGATATGTTTGATCTTAAATGATTGCAAGTACTTTAATAATAATAAGTAACACTATTTTTTCATTCCTAAACAGAATAAAGATCCTAAAATGTCCCGAGTTGCACTGGAATCTTTGTATAGATTATTGTGGGTTTATGTAATCAGAATAAAATGTGAAAGCAACACTGTAACTCAGAGGTAAGTGTGCTTATTTTAAGGTGATTTAAAATTAAACCTTGGTTATTTTTTTAAAAAATCACATTAATGGAACTTTAACATTATAAATACTCTGAGGGGGTATTATAAATTCTCTTAACATAAGAATATTTTGCTAATAGCCTGTTTATTTCCTTCCCTCATTGTGACTCCATTTTTTTCTCCTCTAGTCGTCTTAATAGCATAGTGTCAGCACTTTTTCCCAAAGGTTCTCGGAGTGTGGTTCCTCGTGACACACCTCTCAATATATTTGTGAAAATTATTCAGTTCATTGCTCAGGTAAGTGCTATACTTCATAATCCATATTAGCATATAAGTTACAAAAGCCTTCTGTTATAATAATTTGGAAGTTTAAACTTGTTAATCATTCAAACATTTTATTACTATGAATTATGAAAGTAAAAGTATGCTTATAAAGTAAAAATTTTGAAATGTGAAGGGTTTTTTTATGACAAAAAGAAAAATAAAGCTTTTGTACTCTGGGGAGCGCCTTTGCTTGGCATGCAACTGCCTCAGGTTTGACCCCCAGCATTGCATCCTGTCCCCTTGCCCTGCCAAGAGTGAATCCTGAGTACAGAGCCTGGTGGGCCCCCTCACCTCAACCCCTCCCCACAAAAAAATAAAAGAAGAAAAAGAGAGTTTAGGTTTGGGATTTGTTTTGATACTTTTTGTGGTGGAACCCAGATCCTAACATATTTGAGACACGATCCCCTCAGCACTGAGTTATAATCCTTGCCCTAGGAAATGTCATGTCCTTTGACCCTAAACCAAACCTCACCCAGAGAAGGAAAAGACCCGGTCAGTTGAAGCACTTTTAGGAAGGATCACAGTGGCTCCTATTTATCCGGGGACATAGCTCTGTGGTGGCGCATGCTCCTTAGCTTTTGTAAAGTTCTGGGGTTGATCTCCAGCACCACATAAATAAGTTTCTCATCATTTAATTAAATTACTAGTTAATTACTTCCAGGAAATCTGGAAAGATTTTGTAACATTGTCACTAGGGGCCTGGGGAGATGGTCAGATTAGTAAAACATGTGCTCTGTGTGTGTGTACTTGAGGGCCTATCTATAGCATTCCAGCACCCAAAAACCAAAAGAAAAGAATTATTTTCATAAGTTTTTCCAAACACAGAAAAAAGTCTGTATTTTTCTTGGTTCTTAGGTACAGGTTCTAGGATGCTCTAAAATTAGTTAAACCCAAGAGTCCTTTATTTATTGCAGTGGGAGGCAATGAGGGAAGGGAACCTTTGAAAATCATATTTTATTCCGTGAATTTTTAGATGGTTAACCATGCCAACCAAAATGCCCTCTACAGGACTAGGACAATTCATTGAGTCAGGAAGGTGCTTGGAATCCCTATTGCCCCCATGAGCCATGCCAGTAAAATAGAGACTGCTCCCCCTGCCCTCCTTCTTCTTCCTGTGAACCCCAGTTCCTAAAGACATGCATACTTGTACCACTTGACAAGCATTGTCCTCCCATTGTCATCGATTTGCTTAAGCGGGCCCAGTAACGTCTCCATTGTGAGACTTGTTACTGTGTTTGGCAAATCAAATACGTCACGGGTAGCTTGCCAGGCTTTGCCGTGATCTAAACTATATTCTGAAGCCTGTTTCGAGGCATCCTGGGAAATTCTGGTGTAGACAAGGCAGTTAAGGAAGGTGCATTGGTAGGGGATTGGGGGCATGTAAATGAGGACTGACGGGAGTAATCCTGGCTTCTGGTGACATTTGCTCTTGGGAATCAGCCTTGGGGAAACATGGGTAGGATTACCCCCTCAATTTACGGAGATGTTTTCATTTTAAAGCATTCTTTGGCATTCTCTTTAATGTGATGCCAATTCTGATGATCCATGTGCAATTATTTTTGACAGTGAAGAAATACAAAATACTTAAGATTAATAACTTGCAATTCTTTTGAGTACAAAAGTTATCATCATTAGGTGGGTGTACATGTGCCAGTAAGATGAATAGGGACAAACTGCTTTAAATCCCATGTTTAGAAACCATTTACTAATAGGTTGCATTTCTTCCCTTTTTTTTTCTCTCCCAAATTTGTACCCACTATCTTAGATTTATCACCTCACACCAGCCAGAACTATAAAATACCTTTCAAACATCAGTTACTCTTATTAGTTATGTTCCCCTTTGGGAATTTCCTTTCCCAGCCCTATTCTTCTTGTCCTAATACGAACTCACTGCTCCCTAAGCCTGCTCCCAGCTATTGTCCTTGGACTTCCTTTCATTATCATTCTAGAAATTCCTTCACTTAGATTTTGAATATGATTTTTGGTGAATGGTGTTTAAAACTTTCATCCTTTGGTGGGGAGTTTAAAATCATCTGATACATGTGTTACATGTGTTGTCATGTGTGATACAAGTAATACATGTTCTGTCATATTTTTCAACATAACTGGCCCATTTTTCCTTTGCCCAGCTAGACTTATCATTTATCACATTTGTCACACATATTACATGTGTGATACAGGTGATACATGTGTTGTCATATTTTTTACCATAACTGGCTCATTTTTCCTTTGCCCAGCTAGATTTTTCATTTTAGAAATTGATAAGTTGAGCTGTGTTTTTGCTGATATGTATAATTCATAGCATGATACCTAATGAATGTAGTGGTAGCAAGCTCTAAGGGTTTATTAATGTTTCATTTTTCTAGGAACGTTTGGATTTTGCAATGAAAGAAATAATATTTGATCTTCTCAGTGTTGGAAAATCCACTAAAACTTTCACCATTAATCCAGAGGTAAAAAGATGATTATTTAATATGCTTGCTATTCCAGATCAAGCACACATACATGTTTACATCACTTTTATAAATATTCTTTCGAAGTTATTTCCTGTTAGGGTTTGGTGGCTGCACCCATCAGTACTCAGGGCTTACTCCTGGCTCTCTGCTCAGGGATCATTCCTGATGGTGCTGGGGGACAATCCGTGGTGCTGGGGACTGAACCTAAGTTGGCTGTGTGCAAGCGAATTGCTTTATCCACTGTACTATCTTTTCAGCCCCACAGACATTATTTTAGAAAGCATAATTTCTGAAATCATAATTCTTAGCTCCAAATTTTTTATTTGGAGCTCTACTTTTCGCCTCTGAGAGAGCTCTGAGGGCTGATTGCATGCTTTACACGCGGGAACCCCGCGTTTGATCCGTGCACTTTGTGGTCACCTGAACGCTGCCAAGAGCAACTCATGAGTTCTCCCAGATATGGCCCAAAACCAAAACTACAAACAAAACAGTCAAATGAGCATATAGGAAGGGTTTTTTGGTAAACGACATACTTAATACAGTAATAAGTAAGTGAAAGGTAATAAAAGACATTTCCCTCAATATCCCTTTGCAGATAGAGTCTCTCCATTGAACAATTCTATTATGACAACAAGCTTTTTCCAGACTGAACATTTCATACTAAGAGTAGCCAAAGTGTTGGTTCTGTTATTTTGTTGTTGGTTATTATTTAGATGTAGAATTCTCTTCAGACTGAATTTTTTCAGAGTATATTTTTAAGCTGCTGAGAGCTAGTTTACCTAAAGCCAGATCTAATTACTTAATTAATCCACTTAATAATATGTGTGTGTGAATTGTAGTACATGGAAGGGATGGATAGGTGAAGGCTCCCTGAGTTTCTGCATGTGTTCTGTGAGTGTGATGTCATCTCTTAGTTTAGACTATAGGAAGAGCACAGGATAGGTGATGTATAAAGATGAGAAGAATTTAAGGCTTCAATCTTCTGAAAACAAAATGGGGCCAGAAAGACAGTACAATGGGTAGGGCACTTGCCTTGCACACAGTTGATCTGGATTTAATCCTCCACACTGAATATGGTCCACCAAGCCCCACCAGAAGTCACTCCTGAGTATAGAGCCAGGAGTAAGCCCTGAGCATAGCCAGGTGTGACTCAAAAACAACCCAAAAAAAAAAATTTGAAAACAAAAATTATCTGTTTTCTGGATCATGTGAGGTGATCATTGTGACTTCCAACTTGAGATGTCAGAGGGATGTGAAGATCTGGGTTCAGAGAAGTGAAGTTTAAAATTGCCCCATGGCCTGATGTGGGTGGTCACTAAATCTCTGGGAATATGCTGCCTTGCTTCAGGAGAATGCAACTCAGAGAGGCAGGTTAGGGGCTTCTATGGAAGCGTTGCTTATCCCAGTGAGGAAGAGGCAGGTCTAAAGGTAGAGCAAGGTCTTAGCCGTGGAGGCACAGACCTCCTGATGGAAGCAGGTTCCGGCCACGGAGGATTGACAAAGCATTGACATTGCCGGAAGTCAGGTAAGAGCCAGGGAGGTGCCCCCTGTGTGGACTCTGCACAGTTATGGATGCCTGTTATGAGTGGGCATTTATTTCTGTAAGGATTTGGACATGAGGGCCAGAGCAGTAGCCCAGCGTTTGCCTTGCATGCAGCCAACCTGGATTCAATCCCAAGCATCCTATGGTCCCCTGAGCACCACCAGGAGTAATTGCTGAGTGCAGAGCCAGGAGTAAGCCCTGAACAGGTGTGCGCCCCCCCCCCCAACACAAACAGAACAGCAACAGCAAAAAGATATCCCAAATATTGTTAACTGAGATGAAATTTGCATAGGAGAAAGGGAAAGGTTAAAAATACAAGAAAGGCGCATATGCTGCCTGAGCCCATGTGCTGCTTGCGCCCACGTGGCTGAGCACATGTGGCAGCTGAGCACATGTGTTGCCCGCATCTCCCCTCTTGAGATGCGTACTTTCATGCTTTCGTGTCTAATGCTGGTATGTGTGTAGGGGCTCGCTCCGCCCTTGGAGAAGTCCATGTCCTCTCTTTAGTATGTGACTCTCTCTCACTCTCTTCCCCTCCACACCTTAAAAATCCTCCAAATAAAATCTGTTTATTTCAAAAAATAAAAAAATAAATATAAATAAAAAAATAAAAATACACAAAAGAGAAAAAATCGTGCATCGTATTGCCTTCCCAAAAATGAAGATGGAGTTCTAACACCAGGACCATCTACACCTCCTCACCCTTGAAAAATATGTAGGAGTGGAAGAAGCAGCGCAGCTTGAACCAGCCTTTGGGAGTGAGGGGCAGAGGGGCTTTGATAGGCTCTTTAGTTTCCTGGGAGGTGGGAAACAATACATCGTCATTGGTGAAGAGCCTGGCATGGGAGTTGAAGGGGAAGGAGCGGGGTTTGAGGTCAGCATTGTGGAGGAGTCAGTGGACCCTTGAGCATGGGGACCCGAGAGCATGGGGGAATGTGATAGCAGAGTGAAGGGCACTGCTTAGAAATTGGACTGATGAGAAATGTCACACAGAAATACCAGGGGTCCCTCCTCCACTTCCCCCACCCCACCCCCCGCCCCACCTTTCTTTCTTTTATTGAAAATTTTCTTCCTCTGTAGAGAATGAACATTGGCCTCAGAGTCTTCCTGGTCATCGCGGACAGTTTGCAGCAGAAGGATGGGGAGCCGCCAATGCCGACAACCGGGGTCATTCTTCCCTCAGGAAACACGCTGCGTGTGAAGAAGATCTTTCTCAACAAGACCTTGACAGATGAAGAAGCCAAAGTCATAGGTGAGTGTGGGCGGAGAGGGAGCCCGGGCTCTGTGATGTGGTTGGGTAGTCTTTTGTTAAAGTTGATCCAGAAAAGAAAGTTCAAAGGAAGAGCAGATCTGCAGGGGGCAAAATTTTTTTCCTGTGCTTATTCCCAAAATATAGTGTTATGCAAAGACAAGTGCACTGTTGGCTATTATCTCTTAGCTCTTAATTTAATCCTCTAGTTACATCTTTACTTAGGTGGTACTGGTTTTTTTTCCTCATTTTGGTACATTTTCTACAGTAAAAGGAAGTGTATTGCCAGGGAGAAGAGGAGTATGGAAAGTCTTTTGGTAACAATAAGAAACTATTTAAACTTCATAAGGTTTGTTGTTGTTGAAAGTAACTATCCATTAATTTCTGACTTTTTATAACTGTGAGGTTCCCCCTTCCCCTTCCAGGAATGTCTGTTTACTATCCCCAAGTGAGGAAAGCATTAGATAGTATCCTCAGACATTTGGACAAAGAAGTTGGGAGGCCAATGTGTATGACAAGCATACAGATGTCCAACAAGGAGCCTGAAGACATGATCACGTACGTAATACATATTTTTTTTCCTTGGTTGCTGTTTCAGTTTGAGTAAGAGTCCAGCTGGTTGATCCATGCTTACATGTTGCCTTTTTCTTCCTTCCGGAGTTCTCCTGTATTGCCACCAGCTGCATTTATGAGTTAGTGGGGACCATACTGTTCCAAGGGTCACACTGGGGCTCCCATATGCAAAACCGTTTCTGCTCCAGCTCTTTGAATGGTTTCTCAGCCCCACTCACTCAGTTTCCCTGTTTGCAGTGCTGTCAAACTAGACCCAGTCACAGGGGTCATCTTGAGTGCAGTCTAGTTTATCAGCAGCAAGAAAGGCCCTCTTCTTATATCCTGAGTGACAGAGAGAAGTCGTGGTCCAGCCAGGTATGTGTGGACATGACTGGTTTACTGAGTCAGACAAATATTCGTCTCCAGAAACCTGATAATGAGAAAGGAAACCCCACTATCTCCAGAGAATAAAGGAACGTCTGGTCTGGCTTTCGAAACAATACCTCATTCATTCTCTCGAGCCCTTGTCATCCAAACATCTTTCCTCCTTATTGTTACAGACTTCCTCCTCAGTAATATATTTTGTACCTGTAACTTCTCTTACTTGCTGGATAGTACAGATTCTGTATGAGAGGACACTGTTTCAGATACTGATATCTACTTTATGGTTTTAGACTACCAAATTAAAGATTTGGCCTCTAATTCATATGCAGTTGTTACCTAGTAATATACCCTAACATATTGGGATTACCTAGTTATATACCCTAATGGGCTGGAGTGATAGCAAAGCGGGTAGGGCATTTGCCTTGCATGTGGCCGACATGCCCGACCCAGGTTCAATTCCTCTGCCCCTCTCAGAGAGCCTGGCAAGCTACCGAGAGTATCTCGTCCACAAGGCAAAGCCTGGCAAGCTACCTGTGATGTATTCAATATGCCAAACACAGTAACGATTGTCACAGTGGAGACGTTACTGGGCCCGCTCAAGCAAATTGATAAACAACGGGAGGACAATTACAGTATTTAAAATAAATCACTGAAAAGCTAGGGGGGAGAATGCAGTAGATTTAAATTGTATCATGCTTTTGAACAACCGGAATATTTTTTTAAAGCACATTTTATTACATAAAACATTCAAATATGTGGGCCTGTGTCATAGCTCAAGGGACTGGCACAGATGTTTGACACACTTGCTGAAGCTCTGGTTTTGAACCCTTGCCCTTCTTTTTCCCTTAAGCATTGATGGTATGACCTCTCAGAAAAATTCCAGTATCTGTATTTGCGTGTGAGAGATGTCTGAAACTAAAATATAATACCAGCAGAGGTTTATAAAAATGCCTTTTTTCAAAAACATTTGTAATTTATATTAAAGGAAAACCTATGCTAATGTTTTAGACCCTCCCAATTATATATACATATATGTCTGTCTGTATGTATACATATAGTAATTAAATATTAGTAAGTAAAAACCTTCCTTGCTCACTTATTCTCTTTTTTCCCTGAATTTTCTGTGCTTCCTTTGGTCCTTTTATAACTGTCATAGATTAGCTATCTATGAATACAATTATTTACTGGATGTATCACTATTTTTTATATTAAATACATGGAACCGTCTCAGGTGTGTTTCTGTTTTCTGCATTTTTTAAAGTTTGCTTTCATTGTCAGCGACGTACAACAGACTTGCTAAAATGCTCTTGTATGTTTTTCAGGGGAGAAAGAAAACCCAAAATTGATTTGTTTAGAACCTGTATTGCTGCTATTCCGAGACTGATTCCTGACGGCATGAGCAGGACCGACCTCATTGAGCTGTTAGCAAGGTGAGAATCGCCGTTTGCTTTGTTCTCTGCTTCCTAACCACTAAAAGAGCCAACATAACCCTGGTGCTCTCATTACTGGAAAGGTAATTATTATTCCTTCATTAGGACTTAAAAAAAAAACCCTCTGTGTCATTTCTAAACTCTTTATCTTTCATGTTCTGTAAAACATGCTCTTCCTGCTTACGTTTTTTTAAGCTGAGGTAAAATTGATAGATAAGATGATACTAGCCTCAGGTATACATCAAAATGATTCAAAATGTTCAACAGGTTAAGTCCAGATAACATCTTTTACCTTACATAGTTAAAATTTTTATGTTTTTCTTGTGATGGGAACTTTTAAGAGCCCCCTTCTTGGTAACTTCTAAATATGCCATCAGTATTTTAAACTCTAGTCACTGTGCTATATATTACATCCTCATGAATTAATCCATTCTATAACTAGAAACTCGACCCTTTGACACTCCCACTTTGTCCTTTTCTTCCCATCCCTACCCCAACCCCTGGCCTCTGGCAACCACCAGTCTGTTCTCTTTTGTCAACTCGGTTTTCATTTTATTTTTTTGATGTTGTATTTGCGATACTTGTGTACTTTGTGATATTGTATTTGTCTTTCTCTTACTCCACTTAACATAATGCCCCCAAGGTAATGTTGCATATGGCAAGATTTTATGACTTTATTATGGCTAAATAGTTGTGTGTGTGCATGCATGTATATAGACACGCACACGCATACTACTTATATTTTGTGTGTGTATATATACTAGTTATATATTCACATATGCATATGTAATTTGTGTGTGTGTGTATGTCTGTATATACAGACATACACACATTTTCTTTTTCTTTCATTTTCTTTCCCACTCATCTGTTGATGGGAATCTAGGCTGTCTCTATCTCTTGATTGCTGTGAGTAATGCCACAATGTAAGGGGGTGAAGGTATCCTCTCAATAGTAGCGTTTTTGTTTTTAGATAAATGCCCAGAAACAGAATCATTGATCAGAATCAGTACTGTTTTAAATTTTGGAAGCTCCATATTGTTTTCTATATTGACTGTACTGGCTTACACTTCCTCCAAGAACCACCAAGGTTCTCCTCCCCATGCCATCACCTGGTGCTTGTATGTCTTACCTCTTTGATGATAGGTGTGAGGTGGTGGTATCGATCTTCATTTCATCGTGATTGATGATGCTGAGCATTTTTTCATGAACCCATTGACTCCTTGCTCACTTTTTGACTTTTGTTTTTGTTTGTGTGGTTGGTTTGGGGGCCACATCTGATGGTGCCTAGGACTTCTGTGCTCAGGGATCACTCCTGACGGGCTCAGGAGACTCTATGGCATGCCAACGATTGGCCCTGTATCTGTTGTGTGTAAGGCAAGCACTCTGGCCCCTTTAACTTTTCTTCTGGGTTCCACTATAAATCCCGTTTTCCAATTCTCTACCTTTCCACCAATTAAGAGTTCTTGGGATTTATACGCCACATTATACCTTCACTTACGGACATTTTCAGTAACTGACAAGATAATACTCATTAGGCATCAGTAACTGGGTTCACTTCCCTGTCATTACTTTCACACTGGAAGCAACTCTCGTCTTCATCTTCATGTTCTCGTCTTATCTTCATGTTTTCACATACTGGAGAACGCATGGGGTTTACTCTTTTATCTGTGATCCCTCTAGTAGGTTCTATAAAGCAAGCAAATAACAGTGTAGCCAAATTTAAGCACTTACTTCCCAAACTAATTCAAAATTGCAGTGATTCTCTATTAGAAAATAAATTTGTGCTGATAGATATTTGCTTTCAGTAAGGGGTCAGGAAGAAGCTTTTTTCAGTAAAGTGATGGATGGCATACATTTTCGGACTTGCAGGTCATGTGGTCTGGCTCACAGCTGTTCTTCTCTGCCACCGGCAGGTGTGAGTAAGTGAGCAGGACTGTCTTATAGGATCCTGGCTCCACCTGGCCCTTGAGCCGTAGTCGGCCATCCCACCCAAATACCAACTGTAATACAGTGACTTATCGAGTGAGACTGAACTCCGTTGAAAGATGTGTAGTGGTTGCTGGGCACATCTCATTCAGTCCAAGTCCAAGTTCCAGTGCATAAACAGTGACTAGAAGGCTCCAGCTATGTTTTGCACCTTCTAAAAACCACTGCATTTTACACATCCCTGCACTGCCTTACCCTTGCCTATCTCAAATGGCCATCACAAACAGATAAATAGTATTATTTTTTATTTTGGGAGATAAAGTATTAGTAACTTTGCACTATGAACAAATATTACTTGCAGCTTTGCACTATAAGATACATTGATCCCTTCCCATCCCTCAGTTTTTGTTGTGAATTAAATTCAGAGTTAACGGAGTTCGGGTCATATTCGGATGGGGAAAAGACTCAATTGAATTCTCTTGCTTTCCTTAGGAAAGCAGTGCCCAATCAACTCTCATAAAATTCTGCTCTTACTCCTCCCACTTCAACCCACTCACCTGCTTCCTTATGGATTGTGATCCCAAACCCCTCATCCAGATGGAACTGCATCTATGAGGGATGGAGTGGGACAAGCCTGGTGAAGGCCAGATAGTGAAAAACAATTTGCATTGCAATGTGCCTTGCTTCCATTCCTTGTGATGCTCATTTACTAATTTACTTTACCAGAAGAATGAAAGGTTCTAGAACCTGTTCTATTTTGTTCCCTATTCCTGTATCTGAAATGCATAGTCTAAATCGTGGCTATTTAAAAATGAAATAAGGCTGGAGCTATAGTACAAAAAGGCAAGGCACTAGCTTGCACATAACCAACCCGAATTCTATCCCCTGCACCACATAGAGTCCCCCAAGTCCCCCAAGAACAATTCCGGAGCACAACAACAGGAGTAGGCCCTGAGCACTACTGGGTGTTACCTCACCCCTAAAAAATAAATTAAGTAAGCAAACAAACCAAAGCTCCATTGTAGATTTGTAGGTCCATTGGCTGACTCCAGTAAAGTTCATTTATTCTTCATGTCTAAACTGAGTTAACCAAGCTTTTTATTGCTTCCACACAGTGTGTTAATAGCATGCATATACCCAACAGATGTCCTTTTCATTCCACATTTGTGCATTTTGAAGGAATATGGAAATAAACTAGAAGGTCTGCATTATGGAGCATTATGGAGGCAGTGACTGCTTCCACAGGCTTCCTTTGGTGACACTGTCAGGGACAGACCACTGGGCTGACTTCCTCCTCCCAGCCCTGTGTGACCGGTCTCATGTGCTGCTCTGGTGACTGTGCTTCGCGGCTCCTCTGCCCATATCTCTCGGCTGCCATCTGTTTGTTCCCTCTCCAGCCTCCCTGTCAGTTGAAGGGTGATTTTAGGGACAACCAAGAGTAAGTTGAGCACGGTGAAGACTATCATGCTTCTTTCTCCTAAGCCACACAAATTCATTCCCATTTATTGAGGGTAACTCCAGCTTCCCAGGCATGTAACTGTGGCATCTTTTTAATTACTTACCTCATGCATCTGTTTCTAATGCTGATGCCTTTGTCTTGAGAGTCAGTCATCCAAATAATTCTTTTGTATCTATCATCAGCAACACTTATTCGCACAGTATTCTACAATAGTAGTTTTAATCATGGTCCTCCCATTGTTCATCGATTTGCTTGAGCGGGCCCAGTAACGTCTCCATCATAAGACTTGTTGTTACTGTGTTTGGCATATCGAATACGTCACTGCAGCGATTTTTCATGATTTTTTTTTCATTTATCATTCACTTCTGACATTCTGTTAGACTACTTTAACCATCTCTCCTTCTATTGTCTATAAACTCTTATTTTTTTGTGGGGTTTGGGGAAGGGTGTGTTTTTGGTTTTGTTGTTTTAATCTTTTGAGTCACACCTGACTGTGCTCGGGGCTCACTGCTGGCTCTGCACGTAGAGGTCACTCCTGGCAGTGCTCAGAGAACATAACGCAGTGCCAGTGATCAGAGCCTGGTTGCCGCAGGCTTGCCCAGTGAAGGCTAAGCTCCCTGCTTTATCTGTACTCTTTATCTGGCCTTGTAACCCCATGTTGTCTTGATGACTTGACCAAGTAATTTCATGTGGCTTCTCTGCTCATTTATTTATGCTTTCATTCTCCTTGGGGCCTTAGGTTCAATACTTTCTCATTTTTATTCTAGGCATACCTCATTTATGATGTTACCTCTGAATTTATTCTCATTCTCACCTTCAAGAATTACTTGTATTCTATTGATCCCATGTTGATTTGTAGGGTTCCCTTCACGTTCAGCCAGCTGTCTTACATATGCAGTATGAGAGTGAGCAAGATAAATCACGTCCTTTCCAGTAATGGGGAAGAACTAAAGAAATGTGAGATGGTGCTAAGCTGTTAGAAGATCATCTAGGGGCTGGAGCAATAGCACAGTGGGTAGGGCACTTGCCTTGCACGCAGCCGACCCGGGTTCGATTCCCAGCATCCCATATGGCCCCCTGAGCTCCTCCAGGAGTAATTCCTGAGTGCACAGCCAGGAGTAACCCCTGTGCATCGCCAGGTGTGACCCAAAAAGCAAAGAAAAAAAAAGAAGATTATATCTAATTTTTTATTGATTATAGAATAGCATGATATATTAAGGGTCCAACAATTCTCTAGAAACAATTCTGATTATATCAGGATGTATTTTCTCACATACAGCTTCTGGATTTGATGAAAATTACTCTGGATTATCTTAAGAGAACAATATTAAAGGGTTCATATGTTAGTTTGAGCAAATGAAAATAAAACAGCATATGGGTGAATGTGGCCTAAAAGTGAACTGTAGTTCTAATTCCCCTGCTTGTATAGACTAATACAGAGGACTTGCTTTCCAGAACTTCATCTTTCGCGTCAATGGTAAAGTTATCTGAAAGGGTTTGAGTGTGCTAATGGCCTTTTGGTCTTGGCAGACTCACAGTTCACATGGATGAAGAACTGCGCGCTCTGGCTTTCAATACTCTGCAGGCACTAATGCTGGATTTTCCAGATTGGCGGGAAGATGTTCTTTCAGGATTTGTCTATTTCATTGTTCGTGAAGTCACTGATATCCATCCCACGCTTCTTGATAATGCTGTAAAGATGTTGGTACAATTAATAAATCAGTGGAAACAAGCAATCCAGATGCATAACAAAAATCAGGATTCACAGGTACCAAATTCTTTTGTATTGTCCCTTTCTCTGGTCAGTGTCAAATGACCAATGGCCACATTTCTCTACTTGAACTTAAAAAAAAAGTAATTGTTTTATTAGCCTTATTTGCTTTCAATTTAGCCCATAAGTTCTTAAACTGAACTCTCCTGTAGCTCATATATTAAGTACATACAATTTGTCTGTCTGTTTTATCCTTCCTTTGGAAACAACTTATTTTTTTTTTAATTTTTATTAGCGAAACACCATGAGGTACAGTTGTAGATTTACAATGTTTTGTGCTTGGGTTTTGATTATACAATGATCAAATACCCATCCCTCCACCAGTGCCCATTTTCCACCACCATGGATAATATCCCTCCCACCCCCATCCCCCCCATCCCACCCTGCCTCTGTGGCAGGGCATTCCCTTTTGTTCTCTCTCCTTTTGGGTGTTGTGGTCTGCAAAAGAGGCATTGAGTGGCAAACATGTTCAGTCCATAGTCTACTTTAAACATGCATCTCCCCTCCTGGGAGGATCCTCCAAACACCCTTTATTTGGTGCTCCCTTCTCTATCTGAGCTGCCCTTTCCCCTAGAATGCCCGGCTGGCCTCCAAGCTATGGAGTAATCCTCCTGGTACTGATCTCAGCTATTCTTGGGTATTAATCTCATATTTTGGAAACAACTTATTTTTAATGAATATAGAAAGTGGAGATAATTCTTGATGACATTAAAATTGTGTCCAATAAGTTTAAAGTTCTTAGAGTCGAAAGCTGTGATAGTTTTCCACTGGAGGTATTTGTTTCACCCATGGTACTTTCCTGTTTCACCTGTGTCATCTGTGTGTGTACACTAAAAGGCACTCAGTTGTTTAGGGTACTATACACCACAGAACCTGGAGAGTTAAGAGTTGGGTCATCTAAGCCACTTCAGCTCTTGAATCTTTCAGGAGCATGAAAATTGCCAACGACTTGAGGGTTTCTATTTGTAGCGAGTTCCCTATGTGATGCTATGCTGCTTGTCCTTACTTTGAGTGTCAAAGATATGATCCTATCCCCTCGTTTTCTTTTTCCTTCCTTTTCCATTTTTTAAGGGGCACACCCATCCATGCTCAGAGGGGCTCTCTGATGCTGGGGAGCAAATCTAGGGCCCCACACATGCTCAGCATTTGCTCTACCTTTTGAGCCACATGCCTGGCCTCTCGTCCCTTCATTTCTCACATAATTCAGACCAAGAATAGTAGTTATGTCAGCTTCAGATTGCAAAGCAAGCAGAGAATGAGAGAAGTTAGGGAAGGGTTGCTGTTTAGAATGCCAGTTAAATGTCTCTTTCTCCTTGTGTACACAGTGATGTTTTAGCATGCTAAGTATTGTTGGAGCTGAGGTCAACCCGTTGCCATGATTTTTGTAATTTGCTCTGTGATTTGCTGTAATTATTTTAACTGTTTTTGCTGTAATATCTGCCGGTATTTGCATGTTAATTTTCCTTTCCCTTATGTGTATTTTTCAAGCATGGAGTAGTTAACGGAACCTCTCATCCCCCTCTTCTGGAAAGGAGCCCATATTCCAGTGTGTTTCATGTGGTCGAAGGCTTTGCTCTTGTCATTCTCTGTAGCAGTCGACCAGCCACCAGGAGATTAGCCGTCAGTGTCCTTAGAGAAATACGGGCTTTATTTGCACTTTTGGAAATACCTAAGGTAAGTTGAGGTATTTCACTTCGTCGTTGTGCTTTGGAAGTGCTTAAACACTACACACTGGCCTGTCCTTGCTCCATCTCAGATACTGCCCTGGAAGGAGCAGGAGTAACTTACTAGCAGGGTCTTTTTCACAGGGCTGGAGCAGCCCACCTGCTCTCAATTCCACCTGCAACAAATAGAGCAAAATAAAGTGAATTTCATTGCTTACTTGGGCTTGTCTACTTTGGTTAAATAGTCCTGCATGTTTTTACACCTCAGTGTCCTTTGTTACAGGGTGATGATGAATTAGCCATAGATGTGATGGACAGGCTGAGCCCATCCATTCTGGAGAGCTTTATACATCTCACTGGGGCTGATCAGGTAACTCTCATGACGTCAAGACACTCTGTTTTATTATTTTTAGAGGAAATTATTTTATTTAGTATTTTTTTTAATTTTTATTTTATTTTTTTTGGAGGGGGAGGGGTTTTTTTTAGTTTTTTATTAGTGAATCACCATGAGTTACAGTTACAAACTTATGAACTTTAGTATTTCAGTCATACAGTAATCATTTATCCATCTCTCCATCAGAGCTCGTTTTCCACCAATGTTCCCAGTATCCTTCCAACCCACCCCCACCCCATTTCACCACCCCTCCACCCCCATGGCAGGGCATTCCCTTTTGTTCTCTGTCCTTTTGGGTGTTGTAGTTTGCAATAGAGGTATTGAGTGGCCATCATGTTCGGTCTATAGTCTACTTTTGGCACGCATCTTCCAACTCAAATGGGTCCTTCCAACTTCCTTTACTTGATGTTCCCTTCTCTATCTGAGCTGCCTTTTTCCCCCAGCATGTGATGCCGGTCTCAAAGCCATGGAGCAGACCTCCTGGTCCTTATCTCTACACCCCTGGGAGTTAATATCCCAATCTGTTACTTTATATTCCACAGATGAGTGCAGTCTTTCTATGCTTGTCCCTCTCTTTCTGACTCATTTCACTTAACATGATACTTTCCATGTAGATCCACAAATTTCATGACTTCATCTTTTCTAACAGCTGCATAGTATTCCATTGTGTAGATGTATCAGAGTTTCTTTAACCAGTCATCTGTTCTTGAGCACTCGGGTTTTTTCCAGATTTTAAGCCACTGAGTTTTATTTTGGAGTTTAAGATATAGACACACAAATATATGCATACACACATCCATGAGTTTCCTTTACAACTAGAGGGCATCAGAAGTATTTTTGAAAACTATAATATGCTTTAAAAAATAGAAAAAAAAAATTTAAAAAGCAATACTAATTTATTCCATGGCTAGTACTCTAATTTGTAAAAATTATTTTTAAAAGTTTTTTAAAATTGCAGAATTCATTCTTTCCAGTCAATTTTCTACCATTGATGATAATTTTCTATATTTTATGGCATGTAATATTCTTGACATAAGTGTTTTGAATTAGACATCGTTGGAAACTGGTTCAAATTGAGAAGACAAGGCAAAAAATTGCACTCTGTGCCTTCAATAATTTTTTCTTTGCCATGTAAATATAAGTGCAGTGCAGTGGATGTGTAATACTTTTGGAAGTCTTTTTAAAATGAAATCTGACTCATTGAAATGAAAAAAAAAACTTTTGTCAGCACATACGTGAGTAAGCTTATGCAAACTTTCTCAGTTCCGTTTGGAAAAAAATTACCACGAATCCTGATTTCAAGATTCGTACAAAGAACAGCTCTCAGACTTAGCTACGTAAAATGTTTTTCTTCCTGATTGGAAGTCGCGGACAAGAGGTGTATGTGCCTTCTAGCATGCCTTTCCTTCTAGCATGCCTTTGATGCATACAGCCCATGAGTTCCATGGAAACAAGTGAGATAGAGTAAAATTTTATAAATCTTGAGATGTAGATCAATACAAATTTTTAAAATTCTGTTTTGATTATTAATGGGTCATGCTCGCCAAAACAAGAGAGCAATGAATGACTCTTTGGGGTCTAAAACAGTGCCTGCCTCAGGGAGAGAGGGAGGGTCCCTCATAAATGGCTGGTGAGCCATCAGGGGAATTGAGCCTCCATTCAGTTCAAGGCTCCACTTTTCATTGTTGTTTTATTCTTGTGTGGATGATATACAATCTTCTCTGAAGGTAAATTTATTTATCTCTTCCATGTAAAAGCTCATAATATTGAGCAAATGTTTACGATTATGTACCCCCTACAGTAGAAACCTTTTTCACATCTGAACCTTATCTCTGATGGGACAGGTTCATCAGCATGAAAATTAATGCTTTGTGTTTGTCTTCTCCCACAATTCTCTGTCTGCCCATTGAGGCTTCATATTCACACGTGAGTGACTCATGTGGTGGTTTGTAACTTTTTTGCTTTATAACTTTTCTAGGCCAATGAAAGCTGTGGTCTCTCCTCAGAGAAACATGTGAACACATGCACTTAAAACTTAATAGTAGCTTTTAGTGGTACTACATGGAAAGTATCATGCTAAGTGAAATGAGTCAGAAAGAGAGGGATAGACATAGAAAGATTGCTTTCATCTGGGGAACATGAAGTAACAAAATAGGAGACTAACACCCAAGAGTGGCCGAGATTAGTACCAGGAATTTTACTCCATGGCTTGGAGGCCAGCCACACATGCTAGGGGAAAAGGGAGCTCAGATAGAGAAGGGAGCACCAAATAAAGGGTGTTGGGAGGATCCTCCCAGGATGGGAGAAGCATGCTGAAAGTAGACTATAGACCAAACATGATTGCCATTCAATGCCTCTTTTGCAAACCACAACACCCAAAAGGAGAGAGAGAACAAAAGGGAGTGCCCTGCCACAGAGGCAGGGTGGGAAGCTGGGGGTGGGGGGTGGGAGGGATACTGGGACCCGTGGTGGTGGAAAATGGGCACGGGTGGAGGGATGGGTATTTGATCATTGTATAATTGAAATCCAAGCACAAAAATTTGTAAGTCTACAACTGTACCTCATGGTGTTTCACTAATAAAAAATTAAAAATAAAAAAAAATATATACATTAAAAAAAGAAAGAAAAAAAAACTTAATAGTAACTTTTAAGGATTCACTACTCCCTTGAGTTCAGGTTGGATCCCCAAAGAACCTGTTTAAGAGCCTCTGTTCTAGAAACTCTCTGGGAATCGCTTATAGTTTTAAGTAGCTCATAGGGCAAAATGTTGAAAGCTGTCAGAATGTGTACTAATTGACTGCTTTCTCTCTCTACCTAGACCACTTTGCTGTATTGCCCTAGCTCAATAGACTTACAGACGTTAGCAGAGTGGAATTCGTCCCCTATTAGCCACCAGTTTGATGTGATCAGTCCATCACACATATGGATATTTGCACATGTGACCCAAGGCCAAGACCCATGGATTATAAGTCTCTCTAGTTTTTTAAAGCAAGAAAACCTTCCCAAACACTGCTCTACAGCTGTGAGCTATGCATGGACGTTTGCATACACCAGACTTCAGTCATTGTCCCCCCAAGTTGATATAAAGTAAGTTCTTTTACTTTGTGTAAGATTCAGAATGCCATTTTTTCGTGATGTATGTTTTTGAAAGGTTGTGCAGACTGAAATTCCGTTTAAAAAGTTCCATAATGTTGATGAAGGAAGGAGGGAGATATCAGGTGTAAAGCATTAGGTCTTATAATCCTTCACCCTGATATATGTAATCTTGCTTTAGAAGTTGCACTTGTTAATTTACTTAGTAACACAGTGCTTGGTATAGTACATGCATGTTGAGTGAATTAATAGTGAGTGAAAGTAAGGAGAGGATAGGGTGAGTCTCAATGTTTTTAGATTGGGCTTGTGGGAGGAAAAAGTGAAATACAGAGAAATCAAAGTCTGGCTTTTCCTGAGATTCTCTCAAGAAGACCCTCTGCTGATAGGGTTCAATGATAACGTCACTTAATGGTTGTGGTTTGGGGTAAAATGGGAAAAGATTTGGAAGAAGGACATGAAGGACAGTTGACCAAGATCACAGTTAGCTGGTGTTTTAATTTTTCCTTTTCCCTGAATATAGGAGAGAATTTTTTAACCTGTTCTTGAGTTCCTGATTTCACCTTTTCCAGTATGTCAGTGACCCAAGTATTTGGAACATGTCCTCTCACTATAGTATTCTGACCATACAAATCCACACCTGAAACAGTCTAGCATCTTAAGCTCTTTTGAGGAGCCTCTACACATGACTGTAGCCTCCCCTCTTTTCCTGTTTATTAACGCCATCCTTGTACTTTACGTGGAACCAATACCTCTCAAAGTCTACATGTGGTCTGCCATGTTGATTCTGTGATCTTGGTTCAAATGATCCTAAAATTAGGTCTTTTGTTTGCTCTACCCCTGCAGGTCTATATCTTATACATCTCTTATTCCACCTGATTTTTTTAAGTCCTTGAGTAACGATTCCTTTTTATATATACACATATATATAGTCTTTGTCTTTTCATATGTTCATGATAATTTCACATCTGTGGAGATTCTCAGGTATTGTTTGTTGTATGTTATTTATTATAGATCTGTATTTTTTTAATTCTTGGAGGGCCTCCCCCATAGCAGTTCTTGTCCAGCTCCTGCAGTTCTATGTGAGGGTTCAAGAAAGTGGTGCTCTGGGGGCCCGCCAGTGCTAGGGACCACCAGGTCCACCCCAATGGTGCTCTGGGCTACCAGGGCTGCACCTACGAGGCTGGGGGAGAGGCCATGGGGTGCTGGGGATCAAACCAGGCCAGGTTGGATGCACCAAACCCTGCGCCTTACCCTGTACTGGTACTCTGACCCCTCTGTGTTTTTCTTTATTGAAGAGTGATGCTCACCACCTTGCAAAACATGTATGACCTTAGTCTTATCTAGTTTGCATATTTTGAAAGATAAGCCCCTTTCCTACTGCCATTCCCAGCATCCCTTCGCTGCACTGTTTTTCTTCACCACATGTAGCACCATCTGACCTTGTTTTATTACTTTACCCCCCAGAAATTTGACAGGAGCCTTTTTTTTTCTTTTTTCTTTATTTTCAATTTATCTATGGGCATATGGGACGGGGCCTGCAACTGGTGGCTCCCAGGGGCAGGCTGCTATTCATGGGTATGATGTTGGATCTTACTAAGGTTCCCTCATGCAGAGCATGAGTTGTAACCCTTTGAGAAATCTCCCCTGGCCCTGGGCTTTTTGACATTACATTTCTGTTTCTGGGATGAAAATGAAATTCATTTTCACAGAAAAATGATACTCCTATAATTTAGCACATATTTAAGTCTATAGTGTTATATGTGATAAGTGAAATTTTTTTGGTAGCTAGAATACCCAACACTGAAAGTTGGGCATTTTATTTTATAAATCATAACGTCTGTAACAATATATATTAAAATGTTGTCATGTGCACATTTTTTACATGGAAGATACTGAAAATGTTGCATGGCGAAAGCAATTCAGACAGAAATGATTTCTCAGGCTTTGTTTTTGAAAGAATTAAATTTTTGTATTTATGTAAATGCCTGTAAATTAAGGATGCAGAAGAATATCATGTGGTGGGGGTGCAGGAAGAATTTTGCTTCTGCTCAAGTATGTAGAGTAAGCTGCAAGATGCTGCCTGAGACAGTATTAGCTTTGGTCACAGGCTGTTAAAAATGATCCTGGGTTGTGTTCTGAATTTTTTCACGCCAGCATTTTATTCATTCATCTCTTAAGTCACTCTCCCGGTAATGAAAACGCAGTGCTCACCATCTCCCCCTCAACTGATAGCAATTCACCATTCCATGAAAAGAAAAAAAAATTGTCATTTTTTTGGGAAGTTGACTGCAGTATTTGCCTCTGCCCGTGCCCTCTCCTTCCCGCAGTAGCCCCATCAACGCGAAGAAAGTGAGCACCGCCGCGAGCAGTGACTCGTACGTGGGGCTGTGGAGGAACTACCTGCTGCTGTGCTGCAGCGCGGCTAGTGCGGCCGCGGCCTCGTCCACAGGCTCCGTGCGCTGCTCTCCCCCCGAGACGCTGGCGTCCACCCCCGACAGCGGCTACTGCATCGATCCCAAGGTGAGCCCCACGCGGTCCCGCGGCCACCTGCCCGGGAGACTCGTTCCCCAAGCTCCCTTGCTGGCTTCTGTGGGCAACTCCCGAGCGTCAGGGCCACCCATCATGCTTCATCAGGGCAGTGGGGTCACAGTCATCAGCTCATCACTAGACTCATCACTGTTTGTTTTATATTTTACCCCCCACCCTCCCCGTTTCCCCCCTTGACTGTCTCCTATCATTCTCACACTTCTCGGTATCCCAGAGGAATCTGTTTTTCTCAACCGGTTTCCTTCCTGTGGCTACCCCACTCACCCACCCTACAGTTGCCCCCCCCCCACCGACTCTCGGGTCATGCCCACCTCCCATTTATGCGATTTTCACCTACCCCGCTCCCCTTGGAATATCCTGGGGGCCCACTGGAGGCCTTACGGCCTTTAGATCATTTAAATACGTTTCTCACTTTCCCCTAAATTATGTCATGATAAAGATGATGCTTCATAAGGACAGCTCTACAACCTCATGATGTAACACACAAAGTATTAGGGCTAACTGAAATTGAAACAAAAACAAAAAAGACCTGGCTGGGTATCGAAAGGTAAAACTGATGAGTCTGTGGGAAGTGATTTTGTTTGACTCACTTTTTCGGCTCAAAAGACAGACTCTGATGGATGGAGTCAGTCTGTTATATGGCAGAGCCTTTAAGAATTTAAGAGACCCACAGAGCCCAGTTCCATGAGGGAACTTGCAGGGAACCATTGGACAGAGCATTTTGATATCATGTGCCCCGCAGGTGAGAGTTGGAGCTAACCACTTGTCTTTGGCCAAGTGTTGTTGAGTTGTCAAATTACCGAGTTCATGAACTGTAGCCAGCACTGCTGACAACTGTGTTTCTTTCCAGATTATTGCCGTCCCATCCCCCTCATCCTTGTTTAAGCACATAGTTCCAATGATGCGCTCTGAGAGTATGGAAATCACAGAATCCCTTGTTCTAGGTCTTGGCAGGACCAACCCAGGAGCTTTTAGGTAATTATCTTCCTATGTTTGTGCACCAAAGAAGCGAAATTGGCTACATGGAGAAAGGGGTTAGAAAAGACATAGCGAAATAGGTGGACCTGAGCCCTGACCTTTTAAGACATTCCATTGATCTCAGTCTGTATTTCCTCCTCTTGGTTGAGCAGATGAACTATATTTTTTTCATAGAATTATTATGAAAATTAGAAAGTGTCATACAAATCTTTGATATTTTTATTCCTATGGATTTTTTTCCCCAACAGTTATTCTTGGTCTGTTGGTGAAAGCAGTAGTCTTTCCCCTTACTCAAAGGATTTTTAAAAGAAAAAATGTATGTATATATTCAGATTTCTTTGATATAATAAAGCAGGCCTTCTATTTTGTTTTGTTATTGCCTATTGGGCCCTGCAATTATTCCTTGTTGTCCGGTGACCAGGAGGTGAAATTTGTTGTTTTTGTCTCATATAACATGTATAACAGAACATAGTTTGACATTTTGTATCTATAGATGTGGGATAGATAGTACCCATATAAGTTAAGTTTTGAAAGGGTACTGTTTTTACACGTAAATGCATTCTATGGTAATAGGAAAAATGGGATGCAAAGTGATCTCTATTTCTTAAGAGCAACCAAATTCCCATGAATAGAAATAATCCTGAGGCAAATGTTTTATTTTATAAGAGGGGAAGAGTGTGGACCACACCTGGCAGTGCTCAGGGCTTACGCCCGCCTTTGTGCTCAGGGATCTCTCCTGTGCCAAGGGCATCATATATGGTGTTGGGATTGAACCTGGGTTGAACCATGAGCACTGCAGGTGCAAAACAAAGACAGCCCCTAAACAAAAAATAAAATGTAAATAAATTTTTTAAAATGTTTAAAAACTTTTTACACAAAGCATTTGTGTTACTAATAAAGTAAAAGGCCCTCCCGTTGATCATCGATTTGCTCGAGCAGGCCCAGTAACGTCTCCATTGGAGACTTTGTTGTTACTGTGTCTGGCATATCGAATACTCTCGGTAGCTTGCCGGGTTCTCCGAGAGGGGCGGAGGAATCGAACTCGGGTCGGCCATGTTGGCTGCGTGCAAGGCAGACGCCCTACCCGCTGTGCTATCGCTCCAGCCGGTGTTACTAATAGGTATCTTTAATCATCAGCATGATATTTCTTTATATTTACATGAGTTAGACTATACTTTATTATTTAAACCAAATTTACCAAATGTTTTGTAAAATTCAAAGCATAGAAAATATACATAAATATCACTGGTATTTTATTAATATTAATACTCATTTTAATATCAAACATATCTGCTTCCTTGTGATGACTTGCTTCATATACTGTAAAGGCATATGGAAACAATTGTAATTTTTTTAAATTGTATTTCATTTTATTTAAAACAATTGGAGTAAGGATAACACTTGTCTGTATCATGATGTTGATATATATATATTTGCATGTGTCGGGATGTATGTGGTTGTCAGTAAAAAAATGTTAATTATTTTCCTTGTAGGGAACTAATAGAGGAATTGCACCCCATAATTAAAGAAGCACTCGAAAGAAGGCCAGAGGCAAGTTACATTGTTTTCTTGTGTTAGATATTTGCTGCTTACTTGTCTTCCATATGCCATACATTTAAACCACAATTCGTCAGGTTCCAAGCCACTTCAAGAAACCCATGGTCTGGTAGGGCAGGTAGACCGTGATGATAATGGTATTTCACAAACCCAAAGCCCTGGAAAAGACGCCCTGTGAGTTTCAGAGTTAAAATTCCCTGATTCTGCCTGTGGGGCCTATATATGCAGATCACTGCAGTGAATGTTGAAGCTTGTTCTTCAACAGACAAAAAAAAAAAAAAATAGATAAATTAAGACATTCTAGGCAGTGAAATGACAAATGACAGTGAAATAAACTTGACAAAATAATTTGGATTTGCAAGGATTCCTGTGACTGTTTTATGGGGAGAGATGATAATTGAGTAGGAGAGCAAGATGTAAGCTATATCATGAAAGATTTGGGGTTTGAGCTTTGCCTGTTAGGCCTTTCAGCTTTCCCCCAAGGGACCATGCTCCTGCTCCCCTTATGCCAGTAGCATCAAAAAATAACCCAGCAAGCTTAATAAAAATACAGTTTTGAGAGCTGGAGATGCAGTCCAGTGAATGGACACTTGTCTTGTACCCAGCTGACCCAGATTTTTATTCCCCAGCACTCGCCATGGTCCCCTAGGCCCCACCAGAAATGATTTCTTAGCACAGAGTAAATCCTGAGTACCATCAGGTATGGCCCAAAATCCAAAAAAAGAAAAGAAAGAAACCAAAATAGATTTCTGAGCCTATTGATTGATATTCCCTGGAATGGAGCCCAGAAATCCGGGTTTTTTTTTTTAGCACTTGAAAGAAATATGATATAGAACATTGTATGTGAATCAGCTGCTATTAATGTCGACAATTCACTGAGGAATTTTAGCAAGAAAGGGGGTTGAGTTGAGGAAAGGGTAACAAGAGAAACGATAGCTACTATTTCAGAGACTGTACACCCTTACATACCTAGTAATTCTTTGTTCACTTTTTCTCATTTATTTCTTAAATAGATGGGGTCCCCATTTAGTAGTAATTGATTTGTTTTTTGTTTCTGAACAATCATTTTGGCTTCTAGGCAGGGTGATTTACCAGAGGGAATTAGGACTGGAAAAAATGAAGTATCTGTATTTATATCCATCAGTTTCAGAAGCTAAGGTCCTCCTAGAAGTAATCTGTCATGTACAAGACACTCAGAATGTATAGTGCCATGTGTGAGAGCTTTGGTGCCATCTCCGTGTGCAGAGACAAAGGGAAATCATGTCAACTAAAACTTTATATAAATTCTCAGAGACTGTTACAAATAATCCCATTTAACATGAATGGCTGTGTAGTTTTAAAAGGATGAAAAGAAACAGCGAATTTAATGAATCATTTATTTAGCAAATTGGCCTGTTTCTGCAAAGTAGAAAACTAGATTATTAAAATGAAAGTAAAAAAAAAATAAACATCCATGCTACATGTCAAGAAAATTTCATAGTGAATGTGGTATAATGAATTTTTGAAGAAATTAATATAGATCTGTATGTTACTCCTATAATGTTGCAGTTAAGAAGCAGAATTCACTCAGATAATAGGATTATTAACTGTTGTATATGCAACTAGTCCGTCATATGTAGATCCTAGTAAACATATGTAATTATACCATGTTATACCATGACAGTCTAGGAAATTTCTACTTACTTCTATTGCCAAAATGATTAAAGAGTAAACTTCGGTGAATACAAAACTGTAGGGTGTTTTCACTCCTCCACAAGATGTTAGTACTAAAAAAAAAAAAAGTTTGTAGTGATGGGGCACCTTAAGGATTCTTGACCATTGAGTGAGAACAACTTACTAACTGCTTCAGTTCTTCTAACACTGTTGGGTTGGCAGATCACCTGCTTAACTGCAGAGTATGACTCTGTCTTTACTCGGTGGGGTTTCATGTTGTAAAATGCCATGGGATTTGATTTGGGTCACTGATTTCAAGCTATGCCCACACATCTCTCCCAGATTGTTCCACCTACATTACATTGCAAATGTAAACTAATTTTGATGAGCAGAGAAACTCTTAAGATATTCCCATTATTCTTTCCAAGTTATACCGGCGAATTCCCCATCCACTTCCCCGAAAGATTTTCAGTGACTATCTCCGTGTCTTTGGAACAGAACATGAAACGGCGCAGGCGTCGAGATATTTTACGAGTACAGCTGGTACGAATATTTGAACTGCTGGCAGATGCTGGTGTCATTAGCCACAGGTTGGTGCTGGATTTTTAATTTCAGAATTTTAGGATGGTCAGGGGAGTATGTCTTTTTCTCATGAAGTATATAAACCAGGAAAAAAAAGTGTCTATGCTACTCCAAACCTTTCTTACATCACTGGAAACACTAATCACCACCTAAAGGTACATGTCTGAGGTACATACCGAGCAGCAGGTAAAGAGATATTAGAAAATGTACCTGTATACTAGCTTGCATCAAGCAAGTATTATATTAGTGTTCCTTTAATTATGGTATTTGTTGGAATCCAGAGAAACGGGCAAGTAATGTAGCCTTTTTGTGTGTGACTAATGTGTTAATACTTAGCTTCTAGGTTTTATTTTGTTTGGGGGGGCTGTCACTCAGCATGGTGCTTGAGGGACTGTGTGCAGTGCCGGGGCGCTAACTCGGTTTGGCCCTATGCAAGGCCAGTGCCCTTCCTGGCGTCTCTCAACCACTTCCCTCATGGTAAAGATCTGCTTTTGGTCTTGTGGGGAGAAATCACATATGTCAAGACTAATTGCAGTGTTTGGGTGGGGGCGGGGGTCTTCCAGGCAGTGCTCCAGAGACCCAGGGACCCCCACTGGGGATGCGGTGCTGTGGCTCTGACCCTGGGCTGCTGGGAAACTAGATCCCAGGAATGGAACTGGACCATGCTCCTCCCAGACTCACCCCTGCCGGCTGTGCTGTCTCCTGCCCTGTTAGGGTTGGGTCTTTTTTTTTTTTCTTTTTTAAGTATGAAAAGGGATTTAATGGTTTTGAGGTTTAGTCTAATCTATTCTGGGAGAAACGATGGAATCCACAACCATCATCCATAACTCTTTCCACCCTTCCCAGGTATAAGCGCAAAACTTGGGGTGATGGTTGCAGTAAGAGTGCCTAGCTCAAGACCAGACCTTTGAGGAAAGTTCCACCAGTGCTGTCTTAAGAAACAACCATTTCCTTAGGACAGTAATGCTATTGCCTGACTATTAACAGAGAAAAGGCATTTTTTTTTGCTCTGTTTCCAGGAAGGAAGACCTGAGTGGGGGTGGGGTGCTGATGAGCGAGTGAGTAATAATACTGTAGTAGAAGCCTGATTCTCAGCTTATCACCTTTCATCTTCAGCAGCAAATGCTTTGATGAGTGCTGTGATTATAGCTTTAGTTAGGAAAAGGTAAACCATTGGTGTGGGGCTGGGAGCCGGCTCAGAGGGTTGAAGCACATGCTTTGTGTCCTGGAACCTGAAGTTTAGTCTTCAGCACCACCTGGTCCCCCAGCCACTGTCAACCTGTCAACTCTGACCCCAGTTCCCCCAGCACTGCTAAGTCAAAGCAGCATCGTAGCGCTTTTGAGCCTTGGTTTTTGTAAAGAGAAATGTAAGATATTGGTGTTGCAGACTATTTTCTTGGGTAAGGAAAAAAGATGATTTCTGAAGAGCATCCTGACACGAGTCTTTGCTTCATTCACCTGATTACTCCTATGAGCCTGCTCGCAGGCTCAGTAATAATTTGGTTCATTGAGTGAAAATTTTGGACTAGCCTGCACTGCAGTTTTTGAAATAGGTTTCCCACTTACTAATACGTCACAACCCAGAGTTTAAAAACTCTCATGAATTAAAAAAAAAACAACTCATGAAAGAAAGGGAAAAAATTCATTCAGCAATTTTTATTGCTGTAGACAATTTATTTGTAATATATTCCAATTGTGACTCATTGTGATTTACCTGGTTTTAAGATATTTATGAGAAGCTCTTTACATTTACTTTTTAAAATTTTTTAATTGATTTTATTTTATTTTTATTTTTGGGTCACACCCAGCAGTGTTCAGGGGTTATTCCTGGCTCTGCACTCAGGAATTACTCCTGGCAATGCTCGGGCGGCCATATGGGATGCTGGGGATCAAACCCAGTCAGCCACATGCAAGGCAAACGCCCTACCTGCTGTCCTATCACTCTAGCCCCTACTTTTTTTTAAAAGGTGCTTTTGGCATCATCCATTTTAGGGTCCCAGGAGACAGTGCCAGTGGTAGAACACATACTGAGCATGTGTTCTGAGTTTGGTCTCTGACACTGCATGGCCCCCAAGAACCACTGGATGTGGCCAGGTCACCCCTGACCACAAGGCACTGCACCATCAGGCCTGAGCACCACTGGGGTGGTCCCTCTGAGGAATAAATAAAAATCAGCCCAGGCTGCATAGGTTTGAATTTATGGTAGGTCCAGCTCCCTGGATTTATGGATTAAATTTGGATTTATGGCATAGTGCCATAGGCCAGAGTAAACTGGCTCTTCCCAGTGGGCTGTAGGTTGCATAGTGCAGGGGGCGATAATCAGTTCGGGGAGAAGCTCACGGACTGAGCACCAACCTGGGTTGTTGTGAGGCTCTTGGTCTGGTCCCTGGTGCTGCCTGGCCCCATGGGTGCCACCAGGGCCGGCCCCTCAGCACAGAGCCAGGCTCAGCCTCTGCACGCAGCCTGGGGCGGTCCCCAAACCAAAAATAAAATCACATCTTAGAAAATGCAAACACAATAACGAACAGCTGATCAAACTAAAGAAAATGTAATAGGATAGCCAGTCATTTATGCAGTACTTAGACGTGTATGCAATTTATATTTTTACCAAAATGCACTAAAGTAGATGCTTTTGTTACCTGCTCACTAGTTGCTGGAATGTAAGACTGGATCGAGAGTTCTGATTTAAAAAAAAAGAAACCTTTCTAGCCCTGCTTCCCAGAAACAGACGCCTTGCCTCAGAGAGTCTCATTATAGATTCCGAAGGCAAATCATAAATCTTGACAGAAGATTGGGAAGCCTGCACCTTTGAATTTTCTTAAATTCCTGAATCCTTGATAATACCTTTCTCCAAATTCACTTGCTGTTTGATGGTGCTGAATACAAACTTGCAAAAATGCATGCAACCGTGAGAAGGTACAGAGGTGGTCATATTTCTAGCCTCCTGATTCCATAGTGCCTCATAGTTCCTTATTTTGAAAACTCCTTACTTGCCTATTTTGACAGAGAGGGAATGACATCTGACACTCGAGTTGATTAAAGTTAGAGATGAAATTTCAGTAACACTTACTTGACTAAGCATCTGTTTTTATATTTAAGAAAAATCACTTGTATTTTATTTTAGTGTGTGTGGTTATTTACTCCCAAGACCAGGCAAAGTAAAATATGTATATCAAATGAACAAGTTAATTGCTTGCTCATTTGAAGAATTTTAGCTCACATTTTCTTTATCGGTTCTTGTCTTCGATCTTTTCAGTGCAAGTGGTGGCCTTGATAATGAAACACATTTCCTCAACAACACTCTGTTGGAGTATGTAGATTTAACTAGGCAACTCCTGGAAGCAGAAAATGAAAAAGACTCGGACACACTGAAGGATATACGATGCCATTTCAGTGCCTTAGTGGCGAATATCATTCAGAATGTTCCAGGTAGTATTTCAGCTTCTTCTTCAACTTCATTGGATATCAAAAGCTACACCATAGTTTTGTTATTCTCCTCCCTCCCTGTATGTTTTATGATCTAAATTGTTAACATACTGGAAAAATATGTCCTAGATGGCAAGAGTTTGTTTTTCCTTTGAATTCTTGTCCGCAGTTAGAAATCAAGGAGCAATTCACCAGAGATTCTCCTCCATAATCAAGACACTGACATTGAAAGCTCAAAAGTAATCAAAAGGAACAGCTCTTTAGAGAACCTTGTTCCAGACACAATGAGCAGAGAGGATAATGTTCCAAATACTAATTTGAGAGTAAGGTTTAAAACACCCCTGGATTGTGAGAGAAGGGTGTGTGTGAGAGAACGACAGATAGGGTGTTCTTGGTTCCTTTCACCACTGAGTGTGTGACACTGACCCGAGTTGCTATATGACATCACATTTATTATTAGTAATGTTGCTGTTGTTGTTACTGAGTGTGTGACACTGACCCGAGTTGCTATATACCATCACATTTATTATTAGGATTGTTGTTGTTGTTGTTGTTGTTACTGAGTGTGTGACACTGACCCAAGTTGCTATATGCCATCACGTTTATTATTACTATTGTTGTTGTTGTTGCTGTTGTTGTTATCGAATCACCGTGAGATACACAGTTCCAAAGGTTTTCATGGTTGGGTTTCAGTCATCCAGTGTTGCAACACCCATCTTTTCATACCTTCACCAGTGTACGTTTCACACCACAAGTTTCCTGTTTCCCTACGCCCTCCTCCCCCAGCCTCCTTCTATGGCATGCACTTTTCTTCTTTCTCTCTGTCTGCTTTTGGGCATTATAGTTTGCAATACAGATACTGAGAGGTTATGTTGTTCCTTTACCTACTTTCAGCACACAATTCTTATCCAGAGAGATCATTTCCAACTGTCATTGTCATAGTGATACCCTCTCTAACCCATCCTCTTTCTCCCCAGCACTTCAGACAGGCTTCCAATTGTGGACCAATCCTCCTGACCCTTGTTTCTATTATCCTTTTGTATTTAGTCTCATACTAATACACACACACACACACACATATTTTAAAAAGCATAGTGTCATTTGTGGAGTATAAAACAGCATAACATGAGGCTGACACCTAAGGATAGTAGATACACGGGACAGGAAGATTGCTCCATAGCTGGAAGCCTGCCTCATGAGCAAAGGGGAGAAGGCAGCTGGAATCGAGAAGGGGTCACTAAGAAAATGATGACTTGAGGAACCGGTCAGGATGGGGAGATGTGTGCTGAAAGTAGATAATGGACCAAACATGAAAACCTCTCAGTATCTGCATTGCAAGCCATAATGCTCAAAAGGAGAGAGAGAGTATGGGGAATATTGTCTGCCATGGAGATAGGAGGAGGGTAGGAAAGGGAGGGTATACCAGGGACTTTGGTGGTAGGAAATGTGCACTGGTGGAGGGATGGGTGTTTGATCATTGTGTGATTGTAACCCAAACATGAAAGCTTGTAACTATCACATGGTGATTCAATAAAATTTTTAAAGAAAAGCATAGTACTTCATCACATTTTTAAAAGGTAAAATTCTCTACAAATCTAAGATATAAATATGGCTGTTTCCTTTGATAAACTGTGTAAATATAAATGATTCTTTCTCTTTCTAAAAATAGTTAAAATGTTTTTTATTATCTTGAAAAGCATATGCAAACAGCTGAATTTTAAAATAGGTGGATGTTTGCATTGTATAAAAGGGCTATGAATACTTCTTTCAAGTGCAGGAACCCTGTTTGAATGTTAGGAGCAAGTCCTATTTAGAGGAAAATAACATTTTTCCCCTTCCAAATTTTCAGATCCGAAACTCAATAATGTACAGATTAATTTAGTCCATTGCTAAATATTCGTTTACTTGTCTAAAAGTGTGCACACTGATCATTGTAATCACTGTTAAGTTGTTTCAGTAAGAATAGATGCAGAAAATAGAATTTTAAAATAAAGAACCTTCGGAGGTCATCTAAGCCAGTGGGATTTTTTTTCCAAATTGTATTGTTTCGCAGAGCCTGGAGATTGAATGGTTCCATCGGGAAGGGTTTAGGCCTCCCCGTGTCTCTTTGTCTATATAGATTTCCTGCCCAATCCTTTTATAAAGAATTGCTGAAAACAGCTAGCCAAGTGGAAGTGAGTTTCTGACTCCCACCTGCAGGCGGCTCTGTCCCCAGTGCCCATGAATTTTTTCTGGCTCTCTCGCTCACCTGAACCTCCCTGTGACTCCACCACCACCCCCCTTGCTGCCGTGCTCACATAGAATATAAATGAGATCAATTACTGGGAAGATTTGGGGTGGGCTAACATGAAAACTTTTTTTTAAACTATACTGCATATTCAGTAGCAAGTTACATGCATGTTGAAGTGATAGGCAGAGGAATTAAAATTTTCCCATCTATTTTTTATATACAGTGCATCAGAGAAGAAGTATTTTCCCTCAACAGAGCCTTCGCCACAGTCTGTTTATGCTGTTCAGTCACTGGGCTGGTCCTTTCAGCATCATGTTTACTCCCTTGGACAGATACAGTGATAGAAATATGCAAATCAACAGACACCAGTACTGTGCACTGAAGGTATTGCCTAGGAATCTCTGTCTTCTTTCTCGTGTTAAGAGTAATTTTTTTTTTTCTTTCGGGAACTTGTATTATAAAGATGAGAGGGAACTTTTCATCATACCTAAGACTGCTGGAATATGTATTTTCCTGCCACATTGAAGCACTTACAGTGTAAATTCATTTAAAGTCATAAAAATTGTAGAATTGACTCAGATTAGAATGCTGTTTTCAAGAACTGAGGGTTGGCTCACAGAAGTGCCTAATTTTTTGCCCTCTTTAAGTGCTTTCTTCTATGCGTTCTCCTCTCCCCTCCCTTCCCCTCCCCTCCCCTCCCCTCCCCTCCTCCTCCTGCCACCTCCCCTCCCCTCCCCTTCTCCTCTTCCCACCTCCCCTCGCCTCCCTCTCCCTCTCCTCTCCTCCTGTTCAAACCCCATGACTAATTTAGTATCAAGATATGTATTTACTATCCATGGTATAAATATATTTCTTAGTTTCAAAAATTATTATTACACTTTTATTTGCTAAGAAAGAAAAACAGACAGAGTGACTCTTTAAGCATGAGTAAAGATAGCCCGCCTCTTCTGGTAAAGCAGCCGACATTCGACCTCTGAAATGTTTTAAGTGTAATTCTGATATTATTGTTTGAAGGCTATGTCTGCTGTACTGTGTTGTGGCCCTGTTGCAGATAATGTAGGACTTTCATCAGATGGCTATTTGTACAAATGGTTGGATAACATTTTGGACTCTCTGGACAAAAAGGTAACTATAACAAGCCCCTAACGTTGTCAAGTTGGCCTGGGTGACGGTGAAGCTCAGGGGGCCCTGAGTTTAATTTCCAGCCCTGCATTGCTGCCTCTTCCGTCAAAACCACTGAGTGTGGCCCTGTGGCAGCAAAGCATTTAGGCCCCCACCAGGAACACCACCATCAAAATACTTTGAGTTATCATTGCATCATTTGGAGTTGTTGTATATAATTTGCTGAAAATAGTAATGTTAGATCATTACTAACATTTTTGCATAATCATATGCAAAAAATTTATGTTTAATAGGATATCATCTAAAAAAATTTCAAATCATTATTAGTCACTCATTTGAATAATTTAAAAACTCCTTTTACATTATAGGATTAAGATAGCAAAATATATCTCAAAATAAAGTTTTAAGTCTATGAATTAAATATTAATGTAGAATACATTGAGCTCCCTGGAGAATTATGTTGGTCACCATGTTTAATTTCATTTTAGGGGCCACAGATCAGTTAATCATTCTTTCGTCTCCTTTTTATGCTCGTACAGAAAACCAAGTTAAAATAGGACTGCAATTTTTTTTTCTCTTCACAGTAATTTTTGTCTTGTGGTATTTAAAACATGAACAAAGTTTGAGAAAAATAACTGGAGTGTTTTACAACTCTCGTCTCCTAAATCTCTGAGTCCCTGTTCCCTTGCTCCCCCCACCTGTGGGGCACAGCTGGGGGACAGAGTCTTGTGCAGAGAGTCAGAGTCCAAGGCGAATTGGTCCATGCCTTTGTTATGGGGCAGAATTAATCGAAGAGCTGGACAGAGGGACACTGGGTTCTTGTGGTTAAGTACAGGCGCTGCATGTGACCTCGCCGTGAGGCCCCTGTTCTGTGGCATGTGACGGTCTCTCCTGGGCAATGTCTCAACCTTAGGTTCACCAGCTGGGCTGTGAGGCAGTCACATTATTGCTGGAGCTGAACCCGGATCAGAGCAACCTGATGTACTGGGCTGTGGATCGCTGTTACACGGGCTCCAGGAGGGTGGCTGCCGGCTGCTTTCGCGCCATCGCCAACGTCTTCCAGAACAGGTACTGCATACTCGGCCACGGTGCCATAGATGGAGTTGTTTAAAACCAGCTCCTTTTGAATTCTGGCGTGTGAAGAGATCGGTATTTCACTTTCCTTAAATGGAAATAAAATTTTTAGCGAGAGTAAGAATGAGGAACGCTGTGCATCTGTTGTTGTAACTTTGACCTTTTGAAAAGGAAAGCCTTCTCCCCCACCTCCCATAAGCTTAACAGCTGCGTGCCTGCCGCCCTGCGCCCGTCACATTCATTCACAGGTGTGAAAGCCTCTCAGTATTATTCAGCTCATGTTTAACATTTGTCCCCAGGGATTATCAGTGTGACACAGTGATGCTCCTGAATCTGATCCTGTTTAAAGCAGCTGATGCCTCTCGAAGTATCTATGAAGTTGCTATGCAACTTTTACAGGTTTGTAAACAAAGTCACAATCAAGATATTTTTTAAATTCCAGATTTCATAATCCTCCAACAACCTACTCTTGCTTTGAAAATATACTGCTGTTCAGTTCCCTTTCTGTCTTACTTTTTTTTTAAATATATGGGATGTTGGGAATCGAACCCAGGTTGCCCGTGTCCAAGGCAAAAGCCCTATTGATCCAGCCCCTCCCTTTCTCTTAGTGAGATATGGTATCTGTTTATTGTCACCAGAAGTTAGACAAGTGGGAGAGTTGGAATGGTAGGTAGGGTACTTGCCTTGTACACAGCCAATTCAGTAAGGATGTATTTGTCTCTATTGATGCTCTATTGTGTGTGTGTGGGGTGGGGGGGGGGAAGGGGTCACACCCAGCAGTGCTCAGGGCTTTCTCTTGGCTCTGCACTCAGTATCCTAGTTTAGTAGCCTACTAATTTGATCCACAGCTGCTCATATGGACCCCTAAGCCCTGCAAGAAGTGATCCTGAGGGCAGAGCCAAGAGTAAGCCCTGACTCCACTGGGTGTGGTGCCCCCTGCCCTCACAAAAGAAAAAAGATAGGACACAGATGGCCTGGGTCATCTTGTAAATAACAGACTACTCGGAAGTGGATTGTAGGGTGATTATGTATAATGCCCCAGACACCTGTGTGCATTTGAAAGGACTTCTTCAGACCAAGTGGTTGGGGTGTATGTGTGCATGTTATTAATTCTCTTTATCAGGTAAGGGTATGAGAAAAAAGGGAGAAGTAATTTGCTCTCTGAAGAAACTTTGTATGATTTTTCCTTATTAGATTGAGAAAAAAACCCACAAAATTAACTTACCAAGCACACAAATACATCATTACTGTAAAAAGTTGAGCTAATTGATCATGATGTAGGCTACACCAATAACTAAGGATTAAGGATGTAACTTAAGGGCACCAGAGCCGTAGCACAGTGGGTAGTCTGCTTGCCTTGCACGTGGCCAACCTGGGATTGATCCCAGCATTTCATATGGCCCGTGAACACTGCCAGGAATAATTTCTGCATGCAGGACAGGTAACCCCTGAGCACTTCTGAAAGTGGCCACAAAACAAAACAATGTGATTTAAATGGATGCTGATGTTCCAAAGGGTTCAAAGTGGTAGCACTGGTGTGGACCATATAGGGAATTAATATTTCTTCTTTTATTAAAGAAAGTCCATTAGTATCTGTAATGTCAGAAAAACTTTCAAGTAACTATATTCAGTTGCTGAATTTACTTTCAAAGGAATCTAGGTAGATACAATTAGTATCCTAGTTTAGTAGCCTACTAAATTGTAACAAATCATATCCTAAATTGTAACTAGTACACTAATTATGTCCTACTAATTGTAACAAATTGGCTCTATTTTTTGGGGGGGGTCACACCCAACAATGCTCAGGGCTTACTCCTGGCTCTGCACTCAGAAATTACTCCTGGAGGTGCTGGTGGGGATACCATTTGGGATGCTGGGATCAAACCCAGCAAGGCAAGGCAAATGCCCTACCTGCTGTACCATCATGCCGCCTCCAATCATTGCCTTTAAACACAAAGTGTAAATCCTTTTCAACAGTCTTTGAACCATTGCTTGTCTTCAGAAATTCCCATATAAAAATATTGATGATTTCAGCGTGCAAATGCTGCCTGAGCATGTGCTGCCCGCATCTCCCCTCTTGGATGTGTACTTTCGTGTTTTCATGTCTAATGCTGGGATGTGTGTAGGGCTCTCTCCACCCTTGGAGAAACCTGGGCTCTCTTTTGAGTAGGTTACTCTCTACACTCTCACTTTCTTCCCCTCCTGCCCTTCAAAACCTCCAAATAAAAGCTGTGTAATTTTTTAAAAAATAAAATGAAAATATTGACGATTTCAAAACTGCAATTTCTATTGGGAGTTGTCTTTTTTTGATAATCGTTGATATTTCAAGGAACCATTAAAATATTAAGTTGATGAAATTGCTTCCCTGTAGATCCTGGAACCGAAGATGTTTCGCTATGCTCACAAATTGGAGGTTCCGAGAACAGATGGAGTCCTCAGCCAGCTGTCCCCTCTGCCACATCTGTATTCTGTTTCCTATTATCAGCTGTCTGAGGAGCTAGCACGGGCTTATCCTGAGCTCACTCTTGCCATGTTCTCAGGTAAGATCATGGATCTGGGGAGTTATTCTTTTTTTTTTTTTTTTTTTTTTTGCTTTTTTTGGGTCACACCCGGCGATGCGCAGGGGTTACTCCTGGCTCTACACTCAGGAGTTACTCCTGGTGATGCTCAGGGGACCATATGGGATGCTGGGAATCGAACCCGAGTTGGCCGCATGCAAGGCAAACGCCCTACCTGCTGTGCTATCTTTCCAGCCCCCTGGGGAGGTATTCTTTCACAATCATTTCTAAACTGCTTTCAGGAGAGTTTAAGGAGACACATTCCTACTTTGAATCAAAACCAAATACCCTCATATAAGAAAATTTGGGCTGAGCCACAGTGTGGTGCTCAGGGGAGACTCCTGCCCTGGGCTCTAGTGCTCAGGGTGCTACTGGCTGGGTGCTCAGGAATGATGTGGTGTTGGGGATTGAACCAGGTTCCTGTCTGCAAAGCATGCACTAGAGTCCCTTAAGGTATCTGTCTGACCCTGAGAATAATAATAATAATAATCCTCTCTCTAATAATTAATAATCCTCTCTCATGATAATTCAGGTAATTTTGATAATTAAATTTGATAATTAAAAAATTATAAATAATTTTGATAACTCTTGCTAATTTAATGCATCCCTATGGGGACTTCACATGTACACATCTCTCTCCCTCTCCAACTCACCTTACTCAGGGGACAGAGAAGTGCTTTGTGGGCATTTTAAAGGGATTTCTTCAGTAGACATAGAAGTTGCTGAATCTTTGGATATATGTTTTATTTGGGAGCCTGTCTTTAAAATAATGGCATTGATCAAGGATAATGGTAAAGGTTCACGGCAGAGCCTGGCAAGCCCCCCGTGATGTATTCCATATGCCAGACACAGTAACAACAAAGTCTCCAATGGAGATGTTACTGGGCCCACTCGAGCAAAAAGATGATCAACGGGAGGGCCTTTACCTTTACCTTTTCTTTCTAGAAGTAAAATCTCCGATAATCCAAAAAGATCCTGCAGTCTTAAGTAGATTTATTGCAAGGACCCTTCACTGCTTTTGGGTCCAACTTCTTTTCCTTGAAGCCAACAGGTACTCCTGCTAGAGGCTCAAGAGTCTCTGCATAGCAGATAGGCAAGAGGTCATATCTGCCTGGGGCTTATACAATACATATTTCGGACGGCTTCTTGGATAGATCTAAAGTTCAGTGTTTTCTTAAAGTCGTAGTACTGCACCCTGGGTGGGGTGGGGGCTGGAATTATCCGGAAGTTGGGTGAGTGGTAGAACCCTCAGGTATAATGCAGGGGGTGCTTTCTGTGTTTACGTAAAGAATGGAGATTTCCAAGGGGTTGCTTAATAGTTGTGTTGTTTTGTTTTGTTTTGTTTTACTTTTTTTGGGTCACACCCAGCAATGCACAGGGGTTACTCCTGGCTCTGCACTCAGTAATTACTCCTGGTGGTGCTCAGGGGGACCAACTGGGATGCTGGGAATCGAACTTGGGTCAGCCATGTGCAAGGCAAACACCCTACCCACTATGCTATTGCTCCAGCCCCAGTGGTTGTGTTTTTTTTTTTGAAAAGGGGGAGTAGGCCAGGTGATGTGGGAACCTCCAGTCTTGTGTAGTAACTTTCTGCCCATCGAACACAATAATGGCAGATACCCTCCCATATTCTGTTGTCCTTTATTTGAAAAGGGAATATACTATAAAACTCATTCCACTATTTTTCTGTTTTCACCTGCAAACAGGTCCCTGTTCTAGGATGAGTACCAGACATGCCCCCAGGTGGAGTTCTCGAGTGGGCAGCACCTTGTTGTGCTCTCTCTGTCACGGCCACCTTAGCCTCCTCTGGCATCGTGCCACGTCTTTATTCACCCAGCGGAAGTTGTTTCTCACCCTGGGTTGGCCCAAATAGGAGGAGGCAGCGTCGTTCCTCCCTGCCCACATTCACAGCTGAAAGCAGTTTGCCCGTGTGGTTTGCCCAGGGAGGTGGCAGCCCGCAGGCCCCTGCCATGCCCCCAGCCTCCCACCTCCTGATCAGCCCTTTCAAAGATGGATGATCATGGACACAACACTCCTGCTGGGCTGTTTTCAGGGGCCCCTGTAAACTAACCCAAGGGGTCCAGCCAACTCTAAAAGGCCCTGGGTTGGAGGGGATGGCAGCCGACTCTGCAGCACCCTGCTCCCTCTGACACACTGACCCTCAGTCTCACCTCTCCAGCCACTGACCTCCAAAGTGCCACTGCTCTGTGCTGGAGACATTGGGTATTGGTTACAAGGCACAGAGCTGCTCATGACTTAGTTTAAAGCATGCAGGGTTCCAGCACCAGTCCCTTCCCCAGTGTCCACTTCCTTCCTCTATGGCAGGCACTGTTTTCTCTTCATTTCTTTCCAGAGGAGCCCTTGTTAAAAATAAGTTCTAGCTAGGCATAGCAGTATGCCACACTGAGCACTCCATGGGTATTATATTGACCACGAGGCAAGCTGGTACTCGTGTTACCAGCATTTTACAGATTAGTTAACGGGGCCAGCTCTAGATCAGCACAGTTAGGCTCTAGGTCAGGTCAGTATCGGCTCTAAAGCTCAGATTCATAGCCAGGTGACTGCAATCCCAGAGTGCCTTCACTTCCACTGTCAGTCCATATAAGCACATAAAAGTACATGCCTCATGGCCCCAAAGGACCATCAGAGAGAACAGTGTTTACTTTTGGAAGCTGGAGAGAAACCATGCAGCCATCCAGATGCAATGCTTAGCACCCTGTTTGGTCCCACTGAATCCCACCTGAGCAGAGGTGGTCCCTGAGCAGCCCTGGGTGTGGCCCAAAACCAAAATATTTTTAAAAATCAAAGTTAAACAGCTTATGAAAATTAGACTCCCAGGCCCTGGAATCAACCTTGAGTTTATCTCACTGCAATTTGACCTTTATCTGCCCTTTGGGCAAGTGTGCCAGGACTGTTAAGTGAGGATTAAGGTAAAAGTAACAGTCACATCATAGGAGCTTGCCCTGAACAGAACCAAAACACTGGGTGAGATTATTTACTAAGTTATAGTAGTTTAACTTTCATTGGTCCCCATGTAAGGATGGTCTTTTATAATGTGTTTATTGTGGATAAAAGCACATATGATAAATTCATCCTGTTAATTATTGTAGCTGCTGGAACAATAGAACAGCGGTAGGGCGTTTGCCTTGCACGCAGCCAGCCCGGCCGAGCCGGGTTCAATTCCTCCGCCCCCTCTCAAAGAGCCCAGCAAGCTACCGAGAGTATCTCGCCCATACGGCAAAGCCTGGCAAGCTCCCCATGACGTATTCGATATGCCAAACACAGTAACAACAAGTCTCAAAATGGAGATGTTACTGGGCCCACTTGAGCAAATCGATGAACAACGGTAGGACAGTGACAATTATTGTAGCTGGATGATTCCATCATGTCACATATACAAACATTGTTGAGAAACAAACAGATTTCTCAAGTTTTTCATCCTGAAGAACTGAGACTTTCTGACTGTTAAATTCCACATCTTCCCCTTACCCAAACTTTAGCAACCACCATTCTACTTGATGTTTCTGTGACTTTTGCCATTTGTGATATACTGCATATAAATAGAATCATGTGGTACATGCGTCCTTGTAACTGACTTATTTCACTTGAGACTCACTGTGCTCTCCAGGTGACAGAATTTTTTTTTTTCCTTTTTAAAGGCTGCATGATAGTGCTATAGGGATAGAACTGCCCCCACCCTTTTAATGAGCATTCATCTTTCTTTGCTTTGCTTTAAGAAAAAAAATCATCTTCGGTTGATCAACATTTGAGTTCCTTCCACTTCCTGGCAGTTGTGACTAGCACTGCTAGGAACATGAATATGCAGGTATATCCTTGTGAACCTTTTTCAGACACGTTGAATTAAGAGCTGGAAGTGAGATTGCTGGCTTGGATGGTAAACCAGCTGCCATGTCGTTTTCCCTAAGAGGCACAGTATCTTTACAGCCCCACCAATAGTGCACAGAGGTTTCTCTCCTTCACCACCCACCAACCACCACTCTTAAAAAGTAAACACGTGATTTGTGTTTGCTTTTTTCTTTTTTAAATGAGGGTCAAGTTTACTTAAAACATAAACATTGCTCAAAATTTCTGGAAACGATAAACATCAGCTTAAACAAAGAGATGTCGGAATGAACCACATATCATGGGAAGTCGGAGTCACATCTGTTGTTCCCCCTTCGGGGGCTTATTTTCAATCACAGAAATAAGCCAGAGAATCCCGACGGCGCACCCCGCGGGCAGGCAAGTCATGCTGCACTATCTGCTACCCTGGATGAACAACATTGAGTTGGTCGACTTGAAGCCTCTGCCCACTGCACGGCGGCACGATGAAGACGAAGACGAGTCCTTCCACGACCGAGAGCAGATGGTGACAAGCAGGCGGTGGCTGCGAGGAGAAGGCTGGGGGTCCCCACAAGCCACGGCAATGGTTTTGAACAATCTGATGTACATGACAGCGAAGGTAAAACGGGCCTTGTGGAAGCTGTGTGCCCTCACTGAGCTAGGAAGAGAAAAGCAGGAGTTAGATCAGCCCAGGATAACCAAAGCATGGGCCGGCGCACATGTGAACCTGCCCGGTAAATCCATCCAACTTCCTGGCAGATACAAATATCTCTTGAAGGAGAGTAGGGGAGGGGGGAGGCAGGGAGCTGAAATCACATAAGATCGATGATGTCTATGTTTAGTTTGTTGAAAGGAATTCTTATTTCCCTACTGTGTGGAAAAGTTGTTGATTTATTTTTTGCTCTTTGGTTCACACCTGTCGGTGCTCAAGGGTTACTCCTGGCTCTGCACTCAGGAATTATTTCTGGCAGGTTCAGGGGACTATCTGGAATGCCAGGAATCAAAGTCAGATGGGCTGTGTGAAAGCATGTGCCTTACCCATTGTATTATTGCTCCAGCCCCCAGTATGGAAAAGCTAAAAGCCTATCACGAAAAAAAAAAGTTACCTTTTACTGTGTTTTGGCATAAGGTAGGTCTTGCTGGGCTCTCATGACTGACGTCTGTGTTGTGTTTTCTGCTTCTAGTACGGTGATGAGCTGGCCTGGTCGGAAGTGGAAAATGTGTGGACCACACTTGCGGATGGCTGGCCCAAGAACCTGAAAATAATTTTGCACTTTTTGATCGGCATTTGTGGCGTGAACAGTGAACCAAGCCTTTTGCCTTACGTACGTATGCATTTAGGCTTACTGAACTACTTTGTTGTTTTCCACTTGCTTCCCTGGTGTCTTGTATCAGGGACTTTTTCAGGGCTGCTGGAGGCCAGTGGAGGCAAAGCAGAAGCCAGGATGGGCACAGTCAGGAGGCCGCACACACACGGGCTTATTCACGGCTTCATCTAACAAATATCTAGGGACTGGAGGAATAGTACAGCAGGTAGGGCGTTTGTCTTGCATGCGACCGATCCAAGTTCGATTCCCAGCATTATTTATGGTAACCTGAGCACTGCCAGGAGTGATTCCTGAGTGCAGAGCCAGGAATCAGAGGTGTTAAAGCAGGATAGTGAGGACTGTCTTCCTGCCCCTAGAAGCAGGAGAATGCAGGATGAGAAATTCTCTACAACAAATACGCAGTCTCTGCCTTCTACCCCTGTGCATCGCCGGGTGTGACCCAAAAAGCAAAAAAAATTATCTAATTTTATTGGAGCTGGAGTGATAGTACAGCGGGTAGGGCGTTCGCCTTGCACACAGCTGCTCTGGCCGACCCAGTTTCAATTCTTTCGCCCCTCTCAGAGAGTCCAGCAAGCTACCGAGAGTATTCACCCGCATGGCAAAGCCTGGCAAGCTACCCGTAACGTATTCGATATGCCAGACACAGTAACAACAAGTCTCAAAATGGAGACATTACTGGGCCCACTCGAGTAAATCGATGAACAGCGGGAGGACAGTGCTTCAGTGATACAGCGCTAACTTTATTACAGATCAGGGACTCTTTGAGGTCCTCTTTGAGAATATTACAGTCTGATGCATAATAAGGTAGATTTTTATTCTTTGAACTTACAGCACACTGACTCATTGAGTAAGGCAGTAAGTTAACAATGCACAGTCGTGCTCAGGACAAAAGAAAATTGCACCATTCTGAGAGTAAACCAGGAACCTCAGCTGCTTGGAGGACCCAGAGTGATACTGGAGAGAAAGGACTAGAAAGCAAGGCCCCAGAATTAAGGATGTTGAGCATTTCTTCACAGCAGGAGCTGGCCTGGGGGTGTTAAAGCAGGATAGTGAGGACTGTCTTCCTGCCCCTAGAAGCAGGAGAATGCAGGATGAGAAATTCTCTACAACAAATACGCAGTCTCTGCCTTCTTGAAAGCAAAGCAGCACTGAGGTCCCTTCATGTGGGGAGAAGAGTATGAAGCTCCCAAACACGCAACATGCACAGATCTCCCAAGCATGTGCATCCGTGTGCCTAGCTGTCGTCACATCAGGGCTGAAAGTGTTTGCTATCAAGGACAACCTCGACCAGTTGCACACTGAAAGTGCTCAGGTATCCTGCTTTAAACAAACCCCATGATAGCTTTGCTATCTCCAGCCTCTTCCAAGTCACCTTCATTTCTGTGGGCACGTGCCAGGGTTGTTGGGACTTAGGAAGCATGTAGGAGTAGGCAGATGGAGAGCCGTGGGTCATGCCTCGTGGTGCTTCTCCCACCACACTTTGATTTATCTCTTTCCCAGATTGTCCTAGTGCTCACTGTCATCAGATATAGTATTTTACCTATTGACCACCTTCAGCTAGTGTGCTGTGAATTGCCTAAGATCAGAGTTGTTTGGGTTTTGTTTTGTTTTGTTTTGTTTTGTTTTTGGTTTGTTTTCCTATTTGGTGCATTGCTGATACAACCTAGAAGTTGTCACAAAAGGTGCCCATTCATTACTAAACAAGTTGGGGCTGGAATTACCAATAGGCATGAAGTTTTAATTCTCAAGTGAATTAAATTTTAATTCTCAAGGTGAAGTTCAGGGAGCAGCCATTAGCCTGGAATTTAAAAGGAGCCATGCTTGATAAATGACACTTTACATGTATCAAGCCACATTTATGAAGCATGGCTGTTGACCAGGCTTAGGCCAAGCACTTTGTCTCCATCTGTTCTCAGAGTGCTCAAGAGAAATCTGTGGTTTGGGGGAGGCGGCTGCTACTATGCAGATAAAGAAGAGAGGAATGGAGAAGAGTCGGATACATCAAGTCACATGGCCCTGGTGCTCAGCTGATTAGTAGGACCGGCCCTGCCACCTGGTGATGCTAGAACATTAGTTAGCGCCTTGGGGAGTCAGAGAGTGCGCTGGCCCTGGGGCTGAAGACTTGACCAGATCTGGGTTGTGAGTGCTCAAGGGATCTTCTGAGTTGGGCAGAGCAGAAAGGAGTTGCCAGGTCTCAGCTGGAGATCTGGTTCTTGTTCTGGTCCAGGCCTGAGAGTGGATTTCCAGCAAACTTAGTGTGATCATACCCTGATTCAGTAATACATAGTATTCCTAAAATAGACATTAAACTCCAATGATTGAGGTGGGAGAGGAAGCTTTTACCTTTCTCATTTTGAACTCATGCTGTGTAGGTATTGTTTGAGTGCTTCATGACTCTTACCTCACTCTGACAGTTAGATGATAAGGTGATTTAATACCGTGTGGACAGGTTTTGCTGTTCGAAAGTGCAAGGTGAGGGAAGGGAAAGAAGTAGATGGCATTATGGAAAACGTTAAACTATTTTTCCCCTCCTATGAGGATACAGGGATGAGGGGTAGGGCCTGATCTATCATTCAGAGGACTGGGGGAGGCCCAGGTTCAAACCAGAGCATACTACGTGGAACAGCCCCTGCTATCCCTGAGCACTGCCTGACGTGCCTCAAAAGATAATTCTGGAAAAAAGAACCCTCCCCCCTCAAACTGAAGGGGCTATAGACAGGACAGGCGTTAAGGCTCATGCCTTGCATGCAGCTGACCTTGATTGAAGCCCCCTGACATCACAACCCAGGGAGACCCCAGCACCAACAAGGTGGCTTCAGTGACACACACACACAGTACTCAAGGGCCAGGGCAGTGCTGCCTTCAGACCCTTGCATTGCTCCCCTTCCCAAAAATGAAGCTTTGCAGGGAACAAGCAGTGTTCATAAAGCTGCTTGAATGGCGTCACTGCTCCTCGGAGTGTCTCAGATTTATTCCCTTCCTTCCTTTATTTTGCAGTGCCAGAGATGTGCCCAGGGCCTCCATCATGCACCGCCTGTGTGTACCAGAAGGCTTTTCCCGGACCCAGCACTCAGATCTAATCCCTGCTCATTTTTCTTGCAGTCAAAGTTGAATTTTAATTTTGATTAAAATTTCTCAATACAAATTCATGAAATAAAAACTGTGCTTTTTTTCTTCCTGAACCACAGGTGAAGAAAGTGATTGTATATTTGGGTAGAGACAAAACAATGCAGTTGCTCGAAGAGCTGGTGGGTGAGCTTCAGCTAACAGAGCCCGTGAGCTCTGGCGTCACCCACATGGACAACCCCCCGTATTACCGCATCACTTCCAGCTATAAAGTACCCTCCGTCACCTCAGGTGAGAGTCACTTCAAACAGGTAATGTGTTGTTCTGAAGGAGCTTCCCAGGATTCTTTCTCCTAGCGAGGGTTTATTTATTTTTGAGAATCCCATCCAGAAATCAGAGGCAAGCATTAGTCAACCTGGCCAGACTTTGTGACTGGGTTAAAGAAATTGACAACATAAGGATTATTATAGTATTATAATATCCATAGATTATAGAAACATATATGTGTTCTTCAGAACCAGGATACAGGCCCCTGTACAACAAACAAATTGTAGTGACTCTAGTAGGGTGTTAAAATAAAAATGTTTCCATGAGGCCAGAGCAATAATATAGCACTTGCCATGCATGTAGCCGACCCGGGTTTGATCCCTGACTTCCATTTGGTCCCTCAAGCACTGCCAGGAGTGATTCTTGAGTGCAGAGCCAGGAGTATCCCTGAGCATCGCTGTAAGAGCCACCCCCCAAAAAAATTGCTTCCTTATTAAAATCGCTTTATGATTTCCTACCATCATGGGATGTCAACCACACATAGAATCCAGTCATGTGGGCACATGTACTTTTACACTTACGCCATAGTTACATTTGTGCTCCTCTTTTTCTTCCTTTTTTTTTTAATTGAATCACCATGAGATACAGTTACAAAGCTTTCATGTTTGATTATCAGTCATACAATGATTGAACACCCATCCCTCCAACAGTGCACATTTCCACCACCAATGTCCCCAATATTCCCACGCCCCCCCCCCCAATCCAAGACTTCCCCCTGCCTTTATAGAAGACAATTTCCTCCATACTCTCTCTCTACTTTTGGGCATTATGGTTTGCTCGAATTTTCCCACCACCATTCAAGCCTGCCTGCCAGGGGCAGATACTAGATAATTTATTTTCTATTGCTTATTATGAATATCATGAGTGGTCACACGGCTGCTTTTGCGACTGCGTGCTTCTGGAATTCTAAAATTGTAAATGTTTGGGGTCCAGAGATATCTCCATAGGGAGCTAATCATTTTGAGATTCATTTGGGAGTCTGGATGGATTAAGTCTATTGATGTGCTGAGATGGCTCCTGTAGTCAGATCATGGGCTTGACCCCAAGGGGGCAAGAGAGATCAGCAGGAGCGGCCTGTCTCCACTGCCACCACGAGGCCTGGAATCTTAGTCCTGCAAACTGCATACCTGGGTTTTGTTTCTGGAAGCTCATGCCGCCGGGGTTTCATCTGGGGCGGGCAGAGAGGGCACACCTGCTCCATCTGAGGTGCCTGGGTGGATTGGCTTGGTACAGGGCCCAAGTGGTCATCTTTTTCTATTGTGTTTTCTACTATGTTTTTATAATTTTCATGACTTAGGGACTTTGTTGTTGTTGTTGCCTTCCCTTTGTGTTGCTCTGTCTCAGGAGAGCTCACACTTACGGTAACTCCTGGGGTGAAGCGGGTGGTGCTGGGGATCAAACTCTCAGCCTCATTAGCGCAAAGCGGGAGCTCTAAGAGCCACTCAGCCACATCCCAGGGCCTCATTGAAACTATCTGAGTTGAAGAAACTGTCCCCAGTGGCTGGCTTCCATCGGAAATCAGTATCATATTTGAGCTATGGTAGATTTGGTTTCTGTGAAACTCATTGTCAGTCAGTTTACGTTAAATGTTTTTGGCGTGTTAATAATATTATTGGTATAATTAGTAGTCATTTAAATAGGCAGATCTTCATCTGTGAAATAAGTTTTGTTACTTTTACGTCAGTCTTTTATTTTTTCTGAAATTTTTGATAATTTTCGCTATTGAATTTTTTCATATCTGTTAGAATGTTTTTAACTCCAGATTTTTTAAAAAATTATAAATGTTTTTGGACCATCCTATTCAATGATCTGTGGTATATTTTCTTCCTCTCTTTTCTCTACAATTAGAACATTCTATTTTCTCTAATTGTTGTTTGCTCTGATTTATCTTGGTAAAAGTTTTCCTCAAAAATTGACCAATTTTAGAATATTTTTTCCCGTGAAGACTGGAGTATTTGGGGGGCCAGAGAACTAGTACAGTGTATAGACCACTTGCCTCGCACATGGCCAACCTGGGTTCAATTCCATATTCCCCGAGCTCACCAGGAGTGATGCTTGAATGGAAAGCCAAGAATAAACTTCGAACATCACCAGGTGTGACCCACTCCCCCCTCCAAAAAAAAAAAAAGTGTTTTTTTTTAGTAACTATTGACTTTTTTTTTTTAACTTCGGGATCAGGTGTATTACCTAAGAGAAAATTCTGCTATGCATCTGCCTAGAGTAGCAGATACTAAAAGTGCTGTGTGTGTGACCCAATAGATATCACCTGTAGAATGACACACAGTCTGGCAGTCTGGGGGTAAGACTGATCTAGGGAAATACGGCCTCAGGTTTTAGTGGCTATGTCGTCACTTAATCCCCATTTTCTGAGTAAAACATCTGCCTCCATTCATTGTACATGGTATGTCTTAGTCCAGAAGTGTTAGGATTTCCCCACATCAGAGAAGACTTGTGGAAATGGAGAGAGATAGTCCTCCTGTTACAAGAGGCAGGGGTGTTAGGTCTTCCTGACCAGCCACTTCTGAGATAGATTTTCAAGCCCTCCCACCGTTTCCTGGAGTGATAGCACACCGGGTAGGGCGTTCGCCTTACAAGCGGCCAACATGGCCAACCCGAGTTCGATTCCTCCGCCCCTCTCGGAGAGCCCGGCAAGCTACCGAGAGTATTCGATATGCCAGACACAGTAACAACAAAGTCTCCAATGGAGACGTTACTGGGCCCGCTCGAGCAAATCGACGATCAATGGGAGGGCCTTTTCCTTTACCTTTACCCACCGTTTCCCACCTTCCACTTCACTCCCTACTTCCAGGGCTGCTTCGAATCCTTTGAGGGATAGGCAGCATAGATTGAATGGAGATTTGATTCTCTCACAGCCAGCCGAGGCTCTGCCTTCTTAGCCTTAGTTGCTTCTTGTCCCCTGCTTCCACACAGGTTTCGTGGCTACTGTCTTCTTCCCCTATAATCACTTTGCTCTCCTGCTAGTGGGGTTTTAACACTGAAATTTTCATTGTTTTTGTCTTCTTTCTGTTCGGTAGTGCCAGGGACCAACCCAGAGGCTGGGCCACTCTCCCAAACTGTGCATCCCTTGCCCTGCAATCTTTTCTTAGTGGGTTATCCCAAACTCTTGAGTTAACAGATAGTTTTTATTTCTTTTTTCATTGGTTTTTCTATTTTATTTCGACTACAGGAACTACTTCCAGTAGCAATACAATGGTAGCACCCACTGACAGCGATCCTGATAATAAGCCATTGAAAGAGAATCTTGAAGAGGGGTGAGTCCATATCAGCCTTTCGGTTTGATGGAGACTGATTGTCATTAGAATAAACAATAATGTCTGCACTGAGATGTATTTCTCACTTAAAGGAACAGTGACTAAATATATTTCATGTTGGAAATAGTCTACTTTTGGGGTTGGGCGGTGTCATTGGCTCTTGTGGTGGATGGATGGGGTGGGGGGGAGGCGTGTAGCCTGACACTTTCTGTGTTGCTATACATTTTTTAACTCTTCTAAATGAATATTTCCTATGCCTGTTTTAATATAAAATAGTTTTCACAAGAACATTATTTTAAATTTTTATTTTTTTAATTGAATCACAGTGAGATACACAGTTAGAAAGTTGTTGTTCACCGTTGGATTTAAGTCATATCATGTTCCAACACCTGTCCCTCCACCAGCGAACATTTCCCACCACCAAATTCCCAGTCTCCCTCACACCCCTCTCCCCTGCCTCTGTGGCAGGCAGTTACTCTCTCTTTCTCTCTTTCTCTCTCTTTCCTCTCTCCCTCTCCCTCTCTCCCTTTCCCTCCCTCTCTCCCCCCTCCCTACCTTCCTCTTTCCCTTTTTTTCCCCTCCTTCTCTTCTTCTCTCCCTCTGTCCCTCTCCCTTTCTCCCTTTTTATCCCTCTCTTTCTCTTCCTCTCTCTTACCCCACCCTTTTTGGGGCATTATGGTTTGTAGTACAGATACCAAAAGGGTATCATGTATATCCCTTTACCTACACTCAGTTCTTGTCCAGAATGATTATTTCCAACTGTTATTCTCATTCTGGTCCCTTCTCTATCCTAATTGCCCTCTGCCCCCCCCCCATGCACTTGTGGTAGCTTCCACCATTGGCCGGTCCTCCTTGCCCCTGTTTTCCTTGGCCTTGGACATTAGTTTCATACTATTATTTTAAAATCCTACAAACGAATGCATTCATTCTATATCTGTCCTCTCCTTCTGACTCATTTCATTCAGCATAGTGTCCATTCATTTATCAGCAGATTTCATGACTTCATTTTTCCTAATAGCTGCGTGGCACTCCATTGTATAGATGTACCATTGTTTTCTTTATCCATTCATCTGTTCTTGGGCACTCAGGTTGTTTCCAGAATCTGGCTCTTGTGAATAGTCACAAGAATATTTTATGGGGGCTGAGCGATAGCACAGTGGTAGGGCATTTGCCTTGCACTTGGCCAACCCGGGTTTGATTCCCAACATTCCATATGGTCACCCGAGCACCACCAGGAGTAATTACTAAGTGCAGAGCCAGGAGTAACCCCTGTGCATTGCTAGGTGTGACCCAAAAAGCAAAAAAAAAAAAAAAATCATGGCAACAATTTAAGAAAGGTCTTCAGGTGTAAGTTAAATGACTTAAACACATAATCTTTGATTTGCAAGATGAAAGAGATGGATATAAGAGTAACATTCTGTTCATGTTTGTTTGGTTTTGGTTTTGGGGCAGTACCCAGCAGCCCTCAGGGATCTCTCCTGACATGGTTTAGGGATGCTAGGGATTGGTTGAACCCAGATCAACCATGTGCAAGGCCAATGCCCTATTCACTGTCCTATTGCTATGACCCCACGTTCATATTTTAAGTACTACGTTCTTTGGGAAACACATGGGGTTAAGTGTGACTGCCAGCCCAGCTTTGCTAACCCCTGTGATCATTCCCGTAGCTACGTGCACCTCGACATCTACGGTGGACTCAACAGCCATTTAAATCGCCAGCACCACAGGCTAGAATCCCGATATAGTAGCAGCTCTGGAGGATCTTATGAAGAAGAGAAAAGTAATACATTCCAAATGTTTTTCCCCCCAATAATTATCATGTCAAAGTGTATCATTATATTAATGTTAACAAGTATACTTTTTCCAATACATTTTTTTTTATGAAGTGTACTTAATTGCTACTAGAGGTATTCAGACATTATCGGAAATGCCCTGGTTTATCAGAATTGACAACACCAGTCGGGGCAATGTATAGCAAAAACCCCATTTTGCTGCTGGTAAGTCAGAAAGCACCTGAGAGTTGGTACTTAGGAAGCATCACCAAGCAGGCACCGACAGGGGCTGTTCCCAGCCATGCCCTTTCTCCGCTGGTTCACATTTGATGATGAGCTCTCAGGTGCACTTGTCACACGAACCATTTCCTTGGGTCTCCCTGGACTGCTCAGGTAAGGTAGAAAGGGAAGCAGGAGGCATCAGACTGGAAGGTGCCCCGAGGATAATCTGGTCTGCTCTCATTTTGCACATAGTGAAACTGAGGTCCAGAGAGGTTAAGTGACTTAGCCACTTCAGGCAGAATTCTCATCCTGGATGTCATATTTTCCCCCTACATTCTGCAGGCCCTTTTCAGATGGGTTCCTGCTGGCCCCATCTCTGAGAAACTCAGAACAGAGTAACTACCCAGCAGGCAGTGCTCCTGGGATGGGGTCTCCTGGCTTTGACCTCAATATATGGAGTCATAGCGAAGTCTCTGGTGTAGTTTTGCTTTGATCTAAAGGACAGAGTCTCTTTCTCTCTATGACTTACTTCAATTGCCACGTCCTTATATACCCAGGCCTTCCTAGAAAACTGTGAAATAGTGGGGAAATCATTCTGATCTCTTTCCAATGCTATGAGTAGTTGGTGTCTTACTAGAGTTTGCTTAACTTGGCAGAAAATAGATGGTGTAGAAAATGAGATCATTTTATTTTGATAGGTGATTCAATGCCACTTTATTCTAATTGGCGGCTGAAAGTGATGGAGCATAATCAAGGAGCACCACTGCCCTTCCCGCCAGCCGGAGGCTGCTGGTCACCGCTGGTGGATTACTTGCCTGAAACATCATCACCTGGATTACCTCTTCACAGGTGGACTACAGTGTCATTCCTATTTCCCATAAGCTAGACTGCTGCCCACCACTCTGAGCTTGCTCTCTGCCGTCTGCAACACCGACCAGAAGCAGGCTTCTCTCCTGCCTCCCGTGATAGCTCTTAGTGCGAAAACTAGTGATCTCCAAAATGCAGAGTTCTTCCTGGGTGCAATGAATCTGTATTAACCCACTACTGATGCTGCTTTTCTGGGTGTCTGCCATAGTTACTTGACCTTTCTGAGACCCAGTCGCCGCCTTAGAAAGCCCCTTTGTGGTAGGTAGATGACATATTTTCCCCACCCACAAAAAAAAAAAAAACCTGAGTTAAAAAATGGAATTCGACATGGCAAAGTCACCAAGGACAGTGCTTTCCAAAGATCTCGCTGTACCAGACATGGAACGAACACCTGGCCTCAGTGGGTGAGGTATTAGGTTGAAGATGAAGAATATAAGGCCCTTGATTTCAAGGAAGGAGGCCTTCATAACTGTTTTGTTTATAATTTTTACTATCACATAACCATTTCTTCAGCTGTATTTCTTTTTCTCCTCTTTTTCCCCCCTTGATGAGCTGCACTTTTCTGTAAGATACAATATGACATATTCCAAGTAATTTGTACATGCTTTCCCTGCCCCCACCTGGGTCACTCGGAAATGCTGAAAGTATCTCTAATGCTCTTATTCTTCGTAGGTGTAACATAGCCGTGATCCTTTTGACCGACCTGATTATTGATCACAAAGTGAAGGTGGACTGGGGGAGCTACCTCCATCTTCTTCTTCATGCCATTTTTATAGGTAATCTTGGTTTTTTTCTATTCTCGCAATGGTTTGAAGTCGGTCTGGTTTTAAGAACATCTCTACTTGTTTTGGTACATACTTGGGGAGTGTCATTTCCATGACATTGCTTACAGTGACTCTCATGGTCTAATGGGGGATCTGGTCTCTCTCTTAACCACCAGCAAATCTATTAGCCACATTTTTATTCCAGTGGAACACACACACACACACACACACACACACACACACACACACATACACACACACATCATCATCATCATCATCATCATCATCATCATCATCATCATTACTTAGCAAGAAAAAAAGCTGTAACAAGAAAAAAAGTAGTTCACCTCTCAAAAATGGAAGATTTCAGAATGAATGGACAAAATAGGTCCTGTGTGTTTCCCAGACTGGTGGGACAGTCTGATGAAAGGAGTTGACTCATGGACAGTCTGATTAAAGCCGTGTCCCTCAAAAGACTTGTGAGAACTGTCAGCTCATCAGTCTCTTGGATGCTTTAAAGATAGCTCTCAAAGCTGGTCAAAATAGCCACCCCCATATTTTTCCTAGTTGTATATTAATTAAGTTTCTACTACTTCTCTCCTTTATCTAGCATTAATCTACTGATAAATACAGGATGGCACCAAAAAATCATCATTTAAAGATTGGTTTATATCTGCTGTTGTGTAATGATCATATCTAAGGGCTCCCTAAATTGTATACCTGAAACCCAGTCTCGATTCTCCTGGAACTGTATGACCAGGACAACTTTAGCTATTTTTTATTTATGACCCGTTTTCATTTCAAAAAATGAATCTGGAGGAGCATTGCCAGGAGAGATTTGTTTCTCTGTTGATTTTGAATCAGATTTGGTCATCATGCATTCAGAAAATATTTACTGCTGCCAAATATTTTGTGACCCCAACATTCATTTGTGTGACCCTTATGGAGTCCTGGTCCACAATTTGAAGAAGCATTCTCCTAGGGCAGTCGGCGTTTGTCAAGGTGTGTAAGACCTCTAGGCCAATGACACTATGTCACACATCATCTCTGACCAAATAGTTCCTAGATTTTCAACTTCTCTCTTTATGTGGGGAGACGGGAGCAGGAGTCACACCCGGCAATGCTCAGGGGTTACTCCTGGCTCTGCACTCAGGAATCACTCCTGGCGAGGCAGGGGGGACCTTATGGGATCTGGGGATAAAACCCAGGTTGGCTCCATGCAAAGCAAGTGCTCTCCTGCAGTACTGTCACTCCAGCTTTATAGAGTTTTAGCTCCTCTTTAAAATACAAGTTTCAAAAAAATAAAATAAAATAAAAATAAGAAAAATAAAATACAAGTTTCACTGGCAAGAATCTTCATTTTTTTTAAATTTTTATTTTAAAAAGTAGTTCACAATATTTGATTACATTTAATATTCCAACACTAATCCCACCACCATTACACCTTCCCACTACCATATTTCAGGTGTTTCCATCCCAAACCCTAATCCCTGCCCCAAAGCAGAACCAAAATAATACAGTATTTCCCTCAAAGGTTGGTTACCTCCTACTTTGAATCCCATCAAATGTGGTGCGGTACCCTTGGAGTATGGGTAGGGTGTGTCCTATGAAACATTTGAGGCCATGGGGTCCAGGAAAAGTTTCACTCATGGGTGAGGCTCAGCCTGAGCGCGTGGAGAGCAGCCGTGACCTGGTGGCAGTCGTGTCCTGGAGGTTTTCAGCTGCTGAGGCTGGGTCCCTTGGGGAGCGGAGGGGTCTTGTTACTCCCTTTCCCTTCTGGGGGAGTAGGATGTGTCAAGAATCTTTCTCTTTATGGATGACGGTTCTTCCACGGTTCCCTGTAGGGTTCGACCACTGCCACCCTGAGGTGTATGAGCACTGCAAGCGGCTGCTCCTTCACCTACTCATAGTGATGGGACCCAGCAGCAACATCCGCACAGTTGCCTCTGTCCTTCTCAGGAACAAGGAGTTCAGTGAGCCCAGGGCGCTCACGGTCAAGCCGGCGGCACACTCTGATTACACTTTCACAGGTATTTCCTGCACACTCTGGCCCGAACCGGGGTCAGGCTCCTTTGTTCATTTGGGCTCTTAGAGGAGAGGAAGCAAGCGAAATAAAAGTGGGACTACTGGGACCTGAGAAAAGATACAGAGGGTAAGGCATGTCGCTTGCACACAGTGGACCCTGTTTAATCCCCACCACCGTATAGGGCTCCCCAAACACCAGCTCCCCAAAAACAAGAAAGTCGAGTTACCCATAGTACATTTCTCTTAATCTGTGGTGTTTTTGTTTTTGTTTTATGGTAAGTACCACTCCCATTAACCAGCAAGAGAAGGAAGTCATCTTAGAGCTTGCTTTGGTTTTAAGGATGTCACCGAAATTTCATTTCATTTCCTCAATGAAAGTGAAAGATGCAATGAACAAGCAAGCACTTGTTCATGGTGATGAGCGAGCTGTCGAGCCGGCACTGGAGTCCTTCTGCTCTAGACATCTGAAGACCTGGCAAAGAAAGACAGTCCGAACTTTCGTTTGCCTCCATTATATTCAACTGTATCTTGAAATCTAGCCAATTCCCAGTTGTACCCTTTAGCAGGTTGCTGCCACTTGTACCGTGGCCCAGCAGATGGCAGCAGAGAATGGCACGGTGACTCCCAGGCTGCCAGTCCTGATTCATTCAGGACGTTATCATGTTGCTGAGGCAGGACACAAGATGTTCTTAGGCCTGGACCTGATTTCATCGCGTGTTATTTCATAGAGTTGCAGTTTCCAAGAACGCTGAATTGGGAACCTCCTTAACTGAGGGCCAAGTTATGGTCTAATGATAGACGTACAAACAGTGGTAGGACACACATGGCCTGGTGCAGTTCATTGCCAACACAAGACATGCCAGTGGGCCTGGGCCAGCACGACCAGTTCCCCTCTGGTGCCCGCCAGACCGAGAGGGAGCAGGAGTGCCCTTGTTCGGGGGGAGGGGGGAGGGAGATGACAGTTCTCATGCTCATGGTGCTGATTCTCTCTCAGCAGGTGTGAATGATTTTATACCCGATTACCAGCCCTCCCCCATGACTGACTCAGGGCTTAGCTCCAGTTCTACCTCTTCTAGTATCAGCTTAGGAAACAACAGCACCGCCATCTCGCACCTGCACCCCACGATCCTCAATGAGGTTGACCTCTCAGTCGAGCAGGATGGAAAAGTCAAAACCCTCATGGAATTCATTACCTCAAGGTAGTGTGGGTGCCCCCCACCCCTGGCCCCCTAACCCCCACCCTCATAACCCCCATCGCCATAACCGCCCAGAACCCCCAGTCCCTAACCCCTACCCTCATGACCCCCCACCCCCATACCACCCACCTCTAGAACCCCTAACTCCATAACCCTCCACCCCAACCCCCGTCCTCATAACTTCCCACCCACATAACCCTCCCCTAGACTGTTTGTCAGCTGCTGGGAGCCACATCACTCTTTCAGGCGCTTTGGACTAAAACCTGTGACACCCGCTGACTAAGGCGCTGCAATTTGTGTTTCTTCCCCATGGGTAGTAGTGGCTTCAGCATGTTGGGAGGCACCTGATTATAGTGGACTGTGAAATTTGAGCAGCTCTAACCGTTTCTGTCAGCACAGTCTGTCCAATGTGACATCTAAGTGGGACCCATTGGTAGCACTTGCCAGCTTCAGAGTGATGACCAAGGTGGTGGCCTGGAGAGTACAAAAACATTTTACATTCTTTTTTCCCTAGGTTTGTTTATTTTGTTTGTTTGGGGCCGGACCTGGACATGCTCAGGAGATCCTACAGTGTAGAGGGTGAAACCTGCATCTCCCACTTGCTTTCCACACACTGGGCCCTTTGAGCTATGGCTCCAGGCCACAAATGCAAAGATGTTTTTAAAATGCAGTGGCCAGCTCTTTCCACTCTGGAGAAGTCCATGTTCTCTCTTGAACACATCTCTCTGTGTCTCTCTCCTCTCAGAATTTCCTTAGTAAATTTCTTTCAGTGGGCTGGAGCAATAGCACAGCGGGTAGGGCATTTGCCTTACACACAGCCCACCAGACCGACCCTAGTTCGATTCCTCCACCCCTCTCGGAGAGCCCGGCAAGCTACTGAGAGTATCTCGCCCTCATAGCAAAGCAAGTTACCCATGATGTATTTGATATGCCAAACACAATAACAACAAGTCTTACAATGGAGATGTTACTGGGCCCACTTGAGCACATCGATGAACAATGGGAGGACAGTGACAGTGAAATTTCTTTCAGTAAAAACTATTTTGCATAACTAAAAAAAATGAATTGACCAGACATCATTCTGTTGTAAACTCTCTTCATATTTGGAGGACATTCTCTGTTTGTTCCCTTAAGATGGTAGATTTCTAGGAGGTATTGAGTCGGGAGGAAAAAAATTTTTTTAAAGGTGGCAGTTGGTCAGATAAGTTTGGGAATCTCTACACTGGATGTATCTAAATACGTACAAGAGAGGTCATCTGTGCAAGCAGCTATTCAGTTGCTTGCTGTTCTTCATTTACAGGGAGCACTTTGGAGGGAAGGGACTGTTAATACAGGTCTGAAGAGCCAGAGTAACCCCTCTGTTCTGTTTCCAGAAAAAGAGGGCCTCTTTGGAACCATGAGGATGTTTCTGCCAAGAACCCCAGCATCAAGAGTGCTGAGCAGCTAACTACATTTTTGAAGCACGTGATCTCTGTTTTTAAGCAGTCAAGTTCAGGTATCTTGGAAGGCACCTTTTGGAACCTATTTGCATCCACTGGCATAATTTAATGTGAGGTAGACACTTCAAGTGTTCAGCCAAATGGGAACAATTGATCTTTTCTGAATTTCAAACTGTCAGACAAGTCTTGCATTTTTTCCCCCATTTGTCAGTGGTCAAATGATTGGACTGTGAAGAAAAGTTGAGTCATTCTTTTATTTATTTTTAAAAATTTATTTATTGAATCACTGTGAGAAAATTTACAAAGCTTTCAGGTTTAAGTCTCGGTCACCCCTCCTAGTGCCTGTGAGGCAGATGATTTCTTCTTAACTCTCTCTCTACTTTGATTACATTCAATATTTTGACAAAAGATGCACCACTATTATTTAAAATTTCTTCCCAATAATCAGATCTGCTGAAAAGATATTGTGAAATAATTTGTTTTCTATTGCTGGTTATGCAGACCTTAAGATGGCCTCAGTAGCTGGGCCATGCAATTTTGGATTTCTGATATTTTACTAATTAATTCTGGAGGGATTTCTGCCAAAAGCTGGATAATTAAGAGATTGGTTTGTGTGCCTCTGGGACCATGGCCGTGCCAGAGAGCCTTGGTAGGGCGTGAAGGATGTGCAGGTTCTGCCCCCCCCCCCCCCCATCCCATGAGGCTGAACTTGCCCCATCACTGCTGGCTCATACCTGGCTGTCTAATAAGCTCTGAGGTGGCAGCCACATGCTGTTGGGGAGGGGAGGGGGTGGCGGAAGAGACAGACACCCTTTCCCTCCCTGGGGGGGCGGGACACAGCACCATAGTTTAACACATAGTCCATTCACATTTCTTCCGTAAGCTGCTGAGTTCTGAATTAGATCCGTGTGCCTCTGGGGCCATGGCCATGCCAGAGAGTCGCTCGTGGGGGGCAACTCGTGGCCTCGTTATGGCGTGAAGGACATGCTGGTTCTGCCCCCCCATCCCATAGAGTCATTCTTTTAATCTAAGGAAGTTTAACCCTTTGGGTACTTTAGTTTTGTGTGGATACTGGCATGATAGAAATAATCATGCAACTGTGAATCACTAGAAATTCTATTAAAGGAACATAAAGTAGCCATGACAAGCCTCAAAAATATTTCTGAAGTCCTGGCTCCTAATGACCTGACTTGTTCTGAAGATTAATAGCCTCTATGTCAAAGCAGCGGCTCTCCACTAAAAAAGCAGGGCCAGCCCTTGGCACCGGCTGGAGATGCATCAGTGCCTCTGTGGGTATCCAGTGATTGGAGGCCAGCCGGCCTCAAGTGCTAGCGCCTGGAAGCCATGCTCTGAGCGGTGACTTCCCCAGAAATGAGAAATGGTCCTGTGGCCTCCTCCAACCTCCCCGCAGGCGATCGTAGCTTGCTGAAAAGAGAAGGTCTCAACTTAGACCATCTAAAATCTGTTGGCCCGTGAAAGGCCGGCTGGGCAATGTAGTCAGGAACGCCTGGAATTCACTGAGTGACTGGTTTTAAATTTGTGTTTGGTCTTTGCACATGCAGAAAACTTTAAACTGCCAAATCTTTTGCACACACAACCCCCTCACCACTCCTAGTTGAGTCACATAACCCTGTGTGTGTGGGAGGGGGGGTGTACACACACACACACACACACACACACACACACACACACACACACCCTTTATAAAGCTGGGACTTGGACAATTCAGTTCCTTCCCCAGGTTCCGGGTTTACACTGGGAGCCTTTGGTCCTAGGGGCAGGGAAGCTCTGCCCCACGCGTGACCCTCCCCGCCACGGGCCTGCCTGTCTTCCAGAAGGGGTCCATTTGGAGCATCACCTCAGCGAGGTGGCACTGCACACGGCGCTCTCATGCACGTCCCGGCACTATGCAGGGAGATCCTTCCAGATCTTCAGGGCCCTGAGGCAGCCCCTCTCTGCAGCTACGCTGTCTGACGTTCTCTCCCGGCTCGTGGAAACGGTTGGCGACCCAGGAGAAGATGCACAGGTACCCCCCACCCCACTCCCACCAGCTGCCGGTCAAGCGACAGCCAGGGTGGATGGTCAAATGGGGCAGCTTTCCCACAGCAGGCCAAGAATAAGGAAGCAAATTTTCATAGTATTTTTAGGGAGGCAGGTGTTCCCTCCCAAGCGACACTCAGGAGGCCTGGAGACCTTGTCGGGGATTCTCAGCCAGCCAGGCTGGTGTTCCAGGGCAAAGGCCCGGGAATGCGGTGCTGCCAGATCTTGTACTTGGATTACTTGGGTCACCCCAGTGGGCTGCACCTGGTTATGCTTGGGGTAGGGGCCGTGTGGTGGCGGGGCTCGAACCAGGGTCAGCTGCATGTAAGGTAAGTGTCTTAGCCCCTGTCCATTCTCTCTGGCTCCCTACAGTAACATTGGCTGCAGGCCAGGAGCGAGCATCTTGTGGTAGCCATGACTGTGCTCAAGGCTCCGAGTTTAATCTCAGCACCACAGGCACCCTCAGTCCAGCACTGACCCCCAGCACCAACCCACCAGCTGCCCTGCAGGGCTCAGCCAGTGTGGCCCTTTGAAAAGAATGATGATAGCACTGACTAGTGTGCTGACTGGATCAAATAGTCTAGTGCCTCTCAGTCTTTAAAATACTTCCCATAGTAATTACAAAACAATTAACAGGAATAGTTATGTGGCTCATAGATGAAAGCCACGTTTTTAAAATAATGTTTTCAAGACTTTCTAATGGATTTCAATTTTTTTTTATTTTGGAATACCAAAATAGAACAGGTTTTATTTGTTTGGAGTCATACTCATTTCGTTTGGGGTCACGCCCTTTGGTGCTCTGGGTTTACTCCTAGTACTGAGCTCACATGTCATTCTTGGTGGTACTTGGGGGAACATGTTGTCCTGGGGATGGAATCCAGGTCAATCATGTACAAGGCAAGTACTTCACTATTCTGCGAGGCCCCCAGTACTACGAATCCCCAGATTCCATCTTTATGTGAGACACAGATCACTCCTTGATCTTTCTGGCCTGAGCAATTTTTGGGTGAGTGGAGGTGCCATTAGAATTGATTCAGTGTGGCCAGAGCGGGTAGGACATTTGCCTTGCATGTGGCTAACCAGGGTTCAAACTCCAGCATCCCATATGGGCCCCCAAGCACTGCCACGAGTAATTCCTGTGTGCAGAGCCAGTAGTAACCCCAGAGAAATGCCAAATGTAACCCAAAAAGCCAAAAAAAACAAAACAAAAAGAATTGCTTTAGTTTTCGTCAGTAAGATCATGCTGCTCAAGAGGTTAATCATTTCACAATGTTAAGTGTGAGGTTTTAAATTTTATCAGGAAGTCCATTGCAATTTATTTTTTCCAGAGCATAATTCATTAAAAATCTGCTTTTTCCAGGGATTTGTGATTGAGCTGCTCCTCACGTTGGAATCTGCAATCGATACCTTGGCTGAAACGATGAAGCATTACGATCTTCTTTCTGCCCTTTCTCAGTAAGGATTTAACCAGGCCACCTGTAGCTTTGCATATGAAATGCTGTAGCTAACTGTTAACCATAGCATTTGTCATTCCAACATTGGATGGTAAGAATAAAGCCAGAATGCTCAGATGGGTTCCCTGCAGGAAAGTGAGCAAGGCTGTGTGACATCACAGAGCTCATCAGTGGTGACGCTGATCTCCCAGCACCCTTGTCAGAGACCTTATAGTTGAGCTGCCCAGACTTTGCCCACAAGCTCTGTTCCTGCCGTGTCCAGCATCCCAGTGCCCCCGCCACAGCACTCACGGTGTCCACACATACTGTTCTTTCTCCACGAGTGACTTCTTCATCCACTTTCTCTGTCTTAACCAACCCAAATTGACTTATCCTTCAAGTTGTCTCTCAGATATCACCTCTCAGCTGCATACCTCTCCTACTTCCAGGTCCTGTTAATTATTCCACCATTTAGGTTTTCACCGTGCTTTCTGTCTTCTTGATATCAGTTAATAGACTGTATACCTTTGGATATCTCACTCTTCCTCAATAGACTTGATCTGACAGTCCTAGTATTTTCCTTATTCCTGACATGCTCAGAGAGCATTCTTCTAGTAATTTTTCTTTGCAGTCAGTGATAACAGAATTAACTTCTGAGCTTGGTTCTTTCAGGAGGAGTGTGTTATCTGTAGAAGTAGGGACAATGGTACCATCAAGTCTGGAGATAAGACTTGATTAAATTTCAGAATTGAGAGTTATCAGTGGTCACTAGAGCAAAATCTTTTGCTTCAGGTCAAACCTTTTCTAACTCAAAAGAAGAGTTGGCCACAGTAGAAAAGATCTGGTTTTAGATTTTGTTTTAATATGGAGAAAAGAACTTAAGTATGATTAAAGTCAACTATGCGTAATGATTTTTCTTGGTAGTTTATCGAGGAAGGGAGGGTGGTTTCTCTGCCCCACCCCCTGCCCCCGATAAAATCAATCAGCAAAGAAGTAATTATTCAGGCACTCACATCATCTTTTCTCTTCATAGAACCTCGTACCATGACCCTATAATGGGAAACAAGTATGCAGCTAACAGGAAAAGCACTGGACAGCTCAACCTAAGCACAAGTCCCATCTATAGTAGCAGTTATTTGGGATACACCAGTAACTCGAGAAGTAACTCTTTGAGATTAAGTTTTATTGGTGACCGCAGAGGTGACCGGCGGCGAAGTAACACACTGGATATAATGGATGGACGGATAAATCATAGCGGTAGTTTAGCGAGGACTCGAAGCCTTTCCTCCCTGCGAGAGAAAGGGATGTACGATGTGCAGCCCCCTACTGAGCCTGCCAACCTGATGGCCACCATCTTCTGGATAGCAGCGTCTTTACTAGAATCCGACTACGAGTACGAATACCTCCTGGCTCTCAGGCTTCTCAACAAACTGCTGATCCACTTGCCTCTGGATAAGTCTGAGAGTCGAGAGAAGATTGAAAATGTACAAAGCAAACTGAAGTGGACTAATTTCCCTGGCCTTCAGCAGCTCTTCCTGAAGGGTTTTACCTCAGTCTCCACTCAAGAGATGACCGTGCACCTCCTCAGCAAGCTCACCGCCGTCTCCAAGCACACACTGGTGGACCCTGCCCAGCTGTCAGGTGATGTCCATAGACTCCCTCCCACCCTTGGCTGCTTCGTGGAGGAAAATGGAAGCTGGCCGTTTGTGTTGAAGCCTGCTAATCTCTGCTTTTCCACAGATAGAATTTGGGTGGGTGGGTGGGTCGGTTGGTTGATTGTTTTTAATACATGAGGCAGCTTAAATTCTTTGATGAAACAAAGGATCAGAGACCTCAGGAAATAAAAAGTAAATGGTTTTTGTGAACCATTTTTTGTTTAAAAAAAAAAACTCTAACTTTCAAAACAGTAATTTACAATAAAATTGGTTATTGCTTTTTTTTTCTTTTTGATAGGCTTTCCTCTTAACATCCTTTGCTTATTGCCTCACTTAATCCAGCATTTTGACAGCCCAACTCAGTTTTGCAAAGAAACAGCTAGTCGAATAGCAAAGGTAAGCCACACAGTGCTAAAAGGTAACAGCTATTGGGAATTTATCTGGAGTGTCCTTGAAGAGGGCAGAGGGGAGGGGTGGTGGGAGTGGAGGTGGGGCACAGATTCCTCACACACCTCGTATTACCTCCACTTTCTGCATCTGATTTTCCTTTCTCACGATGCAGCCAGAGGAGTTTTAAGTCTTGCTGTGAGTACGACTGCCCCAATGACAGAGAATAAAACGAGAGTAATGCTTCTCTGAGTCTGAGTCTTTTTCTTCTTGTTTTCCCTCCTCTCTTCTCCGCCTCTCTCTCCATTCCTGATTCATCCCTTTGCTCGTTTCCAAGCATACACTGTACGGTCCTTGGGGGCAGACACAGAGTGGACAGGACATTCTCACCCTGGACCTGATAGTGAAGGTGACAGTTGAGTCACGGGAGGACCATGGGAGGGAACATTCTGTGGGGGCATGTGAAGCCCAGGCCTCCTCCCAAAGGAGGAGCTGATTAGGAAAATAAAAAGGAGTATTGCTGGCCAAGGAATAGTGCCCAAGGCCACGGATGGACAATTTCTTGGTGCAAGTTTCAAAGTCCCTAAGGAAGAAAAGGGTATAATGTATTCTAGGAGTCAGGAAGTTCCGTCTCCTCCTTTCCCATAATGACTGGCTCTTTTCCGTTTAATACTCCGTGCACCTCTCCCTGTACCCGACCCCCTTATCACTCTGTTTTCTTTCTCAGTGTGGCTTTTTCCTCCTCCTGTTCCTCTGTTTTTACATTATCCGTTAACATTCATGTAAAAGCATGTCAGGTCTTGATTTAGAAGGAATTGGATTTTCGCATTTTATATTTTTGACAATTTTCTCTTAAGCCATTTTATTTTTAAAGAAAACAGTTGCGCCTCTGATTAAACATAAAATCTTGGAGGAAATGCTTTTCATGCTGCAAATATAAAGTTATAAGAAGTTAAATAACTTTATAAGGAACAGCCATAACACCAGGAAATCAGTTGAGCGGTGGGCGAATTTAACCTAACCCTAACGCACTGGCAGAAATCTAGAAGGGAGCCAGCAGGCAAAGTTCCCTAGAAGAACTTTATTATAACCAGTATTTTGAAAGCGAAAATTTGGCTGACAAATACCACAGCAAAAACTGGAGGGAGCAGACACATAAAGCTGAATTAAACACCCACCACTGTGTCCCCCAGATTTCTAAGGTACCAGTGTATCTCTGGGTGCTCACTCAAAGAGCAGTTGGTACCCCGCCAGTTAACCAGGTGGCCGGAATAAGAATAAGAACCTTTCCTGGTCATCATAGACAGGACTTAATGGATTAAATAGAAACACATGACCCCTATTTAAAAAAAAAAAAGTTTTTCTCGGTTCATGAGAGTATTATTTGAAAACAATGGTTTGCCAAACCCAGGAAGATGTATTTGCATTAGTTAGGTCTGAAAGTGGTACAAAATAATTAATCCTATAAAATGACTACCATTTTAACAGTCTAATGCTGTATCATTAGACTCGTAAAGAAAATTATCTTGCATGAAGAGTCAAAAAATAGAAGAGGTGGGGGAATATTTTGACTTTTTTGGGAATTTCAAGAAAGTAAGAAACATGCTTCCCTGATGGAGGATGGGAGGAGGGAGGAGGGAGGTGGGGTGGGGTGGGGCAGTAGAGGAAGGAATGTTAGTTGGGGCCGCGGAGCAGGCTAGAAGTGAAGGTACCAGCTGACCTGAAGGATGTGGAGACCCCATGCGTGTCCAGTCACTGCTTCAGGACCAACAAAAGCACAGGCCCATACCAACCCTGGTCTGATTTTTAGAAAACAAGATCAAACACAGCTTCCTGCAAGTCAGAAGTTGTTTTCGAGTCTGTTTTCTCCCTGTTGCGCAGCACACAAAAATTCCCTCCACTTTCAGCAACCTGCAGGATGTGAATTAAATTGATTCGTAATTATTCCGCCACTTAAAAGAGAGAGTAATTTTCTGCCATTAGGTACTTCCTCGTTATGCAAATGTCCTGGTTCTTCTTTTTGATCCCTGGGAGAGTGCAGGCTTTCAGAGTGAGCAGTGTTTCAGATGAGGACAACAAATATTGTCCTTGTTAGCCGTGTTAGCACGTTATTATGGCAGAGACAATAGACTAAAGAAGTGTGCCCTAAAGCATACTTGTTCTAGTTATTTCAACCTGGTGATTCAAACTGCCAACATTAAAACATAAGCATTGGCTTTATTTAGAATGTGGACAGCAAATATATTACTTGGAATCATCTTTTTTTCTGAAAACGAACAGATTTCAGAAATCACTCTGGAAAAAAAAAACAATACTCTTCTCATTAAGACTTTTACAGTGTGATCATTTTTTAAAAGTATACTATTCTTTTAAGAATATAAGATACAGGGCTAGGGAGATATCTCAGAAGGTTAGAGTGCACGCTTTGCATGCCATAACTCTGGGTTTGACCCCCAACATCACATGGTCCCATGAGAATCATCAGGAATGACCCTACACACACACATACACATACACACAAGTACCACAAGGTATGCCCTCCCCCCCAAAGAAAACAAGGAAAAAATATTTTTTAAGAATGTATAATGCACACATCATTTAACATCTGGTTCTACAAAATGCATTTAATATCTGGTGCTACAAAAAACTAATAATAAATTAAACATTGGGTCAGGAGCTGAGCACAAAGGGCTGGAGTACAAGCAGACCGCATATGCTTGTGGCCAGGCGCATCCCATAACGGTCCCCTGAGCACTGCCGCAAATGGCACTCTGCCCTCCCTTGTCCCCAGCACCACTGAGTGTGACCTGGATGTATCTTAGTTCTGCTGGGCCTGGGAATATTCTTTCTCAAGTGGCTCATGGTGAAGCAGTTGGTTAAGTTCGGCAAAATATCCCCAGGAATGTCTCCACCTCAAGAATTGCTTCGGAGATACCCCCTAACCCCCAGTAAAAAAAGAATGTAAGAATTCTATAAGAATAGCTTTTGCAAGAAAAATATTGCATTTAAATTTTGTTTGGTTGGTTTTAGGCCATTCTAGCATCCCAGCAGTGCTCAGGGCTTACTCCTGACTCTGTGATCAGGGATCACCCTGGCAGGGTTGGGCTACCTACCATATAGCTGGGGTTCAAGCCTGGGTCAGCCACATGCAAGACCCATCTTTCTGGCCCAAATTAGAAGGTATTTTTGGGGAGTCTTTTTGGTGGAGGTATGGGGGAGGTTGAGGAAGAAGGAATTGGGCCACACTCAGCAATGCTCAGGGGTTGCTCCTGACCCTGTACTAAGGAATTACTCTTAGCTGTGATTGGGATACCATATGGATGCCAGGGATCAAACCCAGTTGGCCATGTGCCAGGCATATGACCTACCTGCTAAACTGTCGCTCTTCTCCTCACTTAAATTTTGTAATTAAAATTCTTAATTTAGAGGTTTTAAAACGTAAAAATGGGGGCCAGAAGGACCGATAAGATAGTATAGTAGTATAGCTGATAGGGAGCTTGCCCTGTACTTGGCCAACCCAGGTTCACTCCCTGATACCCCGTGTGGTCCCCTGGACCCCACCAGAAGTTATTCCTAAGTGCAGAGCCAGGAGTAAGACCTGAGCACTGTCGAGTGTGGTATAAAAACAACACAAAAAAGAAGAAATTAGGGCCAGAGAGATAGTAAAGCGGGTATGACACTACTCTTGCATGTGGCCAGCCCAGTTTCTTTCCCCCAGCATCCCATAATGGTCCCCTGAGCACTGCCAGGAGTAAGCCCTGAGCACTGCTGCAAATGGCCCAAAAACAAAGTATTCCCCAAAAAAAGAAGTTACTGTGAAATTTTATGGTTGTGATTTTTTTTAGTTGTATGCATTTTAAAGGCAAAAACAAGTATCAACCAGAACTTCCTTTTTTCTTTCTGGTGTCTGTTTTATGGGTTAAAAAGTTAACAATGCGTAAAATTGGCTGTCTGTAATTTTATAACTAACTTCACAGGGATTGTGTTAATAGACTGCACAGTTTCACATACAGTTTTATTGTCTCGGGCCTAGTTGGTGATAATGCCCACTCAATGCGTGGAACTCAGCAGTGTTCACTAGACCTATTCTAGTGAGCATCTCAGAACGTACACAGCACTCTGCACTAAAACCAGTGTGTTATATGTCAATGATGCCTCACTTAGAAAGCGTTAAAATTTACACATATTTTCAAAATACGTCCACATTTATAGAAGCATTTTTTTTTTAAAAAATGGAAGAATGAGGGAAATGAAAATAGGGAAGCTAAAGAAAATGCAGTTGAGGCTGGCTTTGAAGGCTCAGCACGCGTGAGTGAGGAACCCGGCTCTCTGCAGTCCTGCGTTGTTCGCTTGTCCTCCAGAAAAGACAAGCGACCCTCTGTGCCAATCATGCAGGGCACCAACGAGAAGTCCAGTGGGCCAGTGAGGTCCTCCCAGACACCTGCGGCTCCAGACTCCATAGCGCCGCGCCATGACACATGCTAGAAAGTGACTTGTTTTGAAGATGGTACTCAGTGATTGACAGAGGACCCCCACTTAGAGCCTCCCTGACTGGGAGGCTTGGATTCCCCCCACTTGGATTCCCCCGGTGAGCCCATTCTGACGTGTGTGCTCTGAACCACGTGTGCATTTCACAAAACCAAAACTCTTTACGGAACCACCGCTTTTTGAGCTGAAGAGTTTATAAAATCATATATGGGTTTGGCTTTTTTTGGGGGGGGAGGGGTGCATACCAGCGGTGCTCAGGGTTTATTCCTGGCTCTGTGCACAAGGATCGAACCTGGGTCCACTTGCAAGGCAAATACTGCTATAATATCCCAAGTACCCGCTGTACTATCACTCCAGCCCTTTGGTTTTGTTTTCACTTGGCAGTTTTTCGGAGCATCAGACTAAAAGGGAAAATCTGAAGATGAAAAGTTGCACTAACATCATGGAAGTGTTTGCCATTATTAATCACCTTTCCATACTATGAAGTTGCTCTCATTAATACCTTGTATTTTTTTCTCTCTCTCTTTGTATAACTCTTCTGCTGAATTGAAATGGAATACATAGTAGCTTCAACCTAACACATCTAAAGGATTGCATTTAATAATGACATTTTGTATAAAATCAAGTTTAACCTGTGTGTGTCTTTCTTTTTGTCAGTGAGGAAACTCATTTGGGTGTTGTTGGTTTTTTTTTTCCTTCAGGTTTGTGCAGAAGAAAAATGCCCGACCCTTGTCAACCTGGCTCACATGATGAGTCTGTACAGCACACACACGTACTCCAGAGACTGTGCCAACTGGATCAACGTCGTCTGCAGATACCTGCACGACTCCTTCTCAGATACCACCTTCAGCCTTGTGACTTACCTTGCAGAGGTACCTTTACAACCTCAAGGTGGGAGTGGGCTAGGAAGGTCATACAGGGAGCAAGGCACTTGCCTTGCCCACAGCACGCCCAGGTTCAGCCCCTGATCATAGAACCAAGAGTTACCCCCAACTATAGACTAAACCCTGATTGCCTGTGGGTGTGGCCAGACAGAGAAGGCAGTGAGGAGGAAGAGGTGTGAGTTTTCACTGCTCTGTGGTAAAATTGTCAAGTAGAGACAATACCAAGCACTAATCCTCATTGTACCTGAGAGTGACCACAGAGGGTGTCCTCTTTTTAAAAGGAAAATATAGATCTGTCCTTTTATGTGTAAAGGAAGTTTTCGTAAAGTTTTTAATTCCAGCCCATTGTTGGTATTTATTCCATTCACTGTTTTTAAGTGATATAAACTTAACTAATGGAAGCCTTAAATGTTTAAAAATGAAAAATAGGCTGGAGAGATAGTACAGCTGGTAGAGCACTTGCCTTGCATGGGGCCTACCTGGGTTCAATCCCGTGCACCCCATAATGTCCCCTGAGCACTGCGAGATGTGGCCCCCCAAAATAAAACAAAAATGGGAAATGGACTTTTGAGAGCATAGCTTTATTCACTATCCTTTCGTGACAGAGCTCAAAGTAACATCAATCTTGCTGTTATTTGAAAAACAAGGCCAGAGATACAGCACAGGAGGTCAGGCTGTCGCATCAAATCCGACAGCATACATGGTCCCCTGAGCACAGAGCCAGGCATAGCCTCTAAGCACCGCCGGGTGTGGCCTCAAAACAAAAACAAAGCACAAACATTTGATGTGGTATCTAAGTCTAAAGAATGTTTATAATTTCATGGCTATTGTCCTTAGTAGAATAATAAACAGTACAGCATATGGAAGTATTTATGCTAGTTAAGGTGTTCTCTTTTTTTGTAATATATTTGTTTACTTATCTAAAAATATAACTTGGTGGATAAAAATGAAATTATAAAAATGCTATCCCTAGAGAGAATAAAAAGTCAGTATTTGTTGAAGTGGCTTCATGGCCTGGCAAACTAAATTACTGAGTAGACAGCCACAAAGAGAAATTCCAAAGAATTAACTCATCATAAAAATGTTTGACAGAGTCAGAGATATTGTACAGGGATTTAGGCACTTACCTTGCATGCAGATGACGCCGGTTCATTCCTTGGCACAGCTAGGAGTGACCCATGAGCACAGAGCCAGGAGTGGATAGTAACTACTAAGCACCACTGGGTGTTCCCAGTACCCCCCCCCCCATAAAAAGTGCATCAGCTTATAGTAGTAACGTGATAGCTTCATTAGGGGAAAAAAAGATGACTTGTAGAAATTTGAGCTAGCTTATACAAAGTTAAAAGAATAATTCAATAAATCTTTAAAATATCACTGGTAACCCTCTCTTTGAACTTAAATGCACTAATCACAAAATGCTTCAAGACTGGTTTGAGTTTTTAAAGTGCTAATTCTGATAGTGTTGAGCACATCAATTTATTACGTGGGTGTGAGCTGTTCTCCATGATCACTTCCTAACCCGATTCAGTGCATGCTTTTAGGTTGATGTTGTGTCTTGTAGCTTGAGGATGAGACCCAACATAAAGCCAGGACTTGTGGGCTGGAGATAGGATACAATGCATAGGGCACTTACCTTGCACGTGGCCAACCCAGTTTTGATCCCTTGAGCACCACCCGGTATGTGGCCCAAACACCAAAATAAAAAAAACTAATCCTGTGCCTCCACATTCCCTGAAGATGGACACAGGGCCTTCCTCAGCTCTATATTGCAGGCTGTATTTTCCACTCTGTAGAGAGAACGCTTTGCCCCAATGTGAATCTTATGAGTATGTTATTCCTTCTTACTATTAATAGTAATTCTCAAATTACTGCTAAAAACAGTTCTTAAACGTTTTTACATGTATTTAAAATTACATACACCCAGAAAGCACATCTGTTGTCATTATTGGATTGTTCCAGAAGCTGCCCAGAGATGAAGCCAAGTTTCAGAGCAAATTAGTAATTAGCTCATGACAATGAACCGGGTATTCCTGGTCCTTGGGTTGTTGGCTGTGCTAAGTGAATTTTGTAGGTTCTCATTCTAAGGAAAGTTCACAGGACAGGGCACGTCAAACTCCTGAAATTTGGGTCAAAGACAGGAGAGATAGTACAGGAGCTAAGGTAATGCACGAGTCTGACCTCACATACAGTGCCCTGACCCTAAACAACAGATCTGGATCTTGGTTCTATTAATTCCTGGCTGGTCAACCTTAAGCTCATTCAGTGTTACTCTGAGACCCAGTTCTCCATGTGTTCACTGAGCACAGCATTGTCTGTCTCACACTTAGAAGCACTGCCTGTTTGTTCCACAAGCTGGGGTCTTCCCAACTGTAGGGAACACAGAAGCTCCCAAAATGCCTGTGTCCTTTTGTTTCCAAAGGTTCAGTGCAGATGGTCCGTTGACAACCAGAGCTCAGCCAGTGCCCTCTGCCCACTAACTGCTGCCCTCTGTGTTCTTTTACCCACCAAGTCCTCATGCCCAGAGAAGCCAGCTCTCTCCTCTACCCAGCATTCCCCACTCAGCCTTATGTGTCCACAGGAGGCCATTGCTCAGGTTCTGATCACGGCGTTTCTCTTAGTACAGACTGGTGGTAGGGCCACGAAACTCAGAGAGGCCCAGTTCATGGCAATGAGGGTTTTTTCCATCTTCTCAAAAAAAATGAAAAAGAAAAGAAAGAAAATGTCTCGCATGTAATTTTATATCCTGCAAACCCTCTGAGGAAAGAACGAAGGCTTTCTTTCTTTTTCAAATGTTCATAAGAGACATCTCCAAGTCCACATCACTAAAAGTGTCTAGTGTCTAGGGTGAATGAGTGGTTTGTGGGTAGTTAACTCTTGTCTGGTGGTGGAGATTTTCTGAAAAATTAGTTAAGGAATCAAAACACCAAGGTTTAGAAGGAAAATAATTGCCTGATTTTCCTTTCTGAGCCCGAGGATAAGTAATGAGAACGGACATTATCTTTTGCCTTTATTAGTCTCTGTGTTTCTGATACCTAATTGTGAATTCAGAGCTAGAGTTCAATATTGTTCATGGTAACATTGCACCTTCAGTTGCCAGATTAAAGCACACGTTTTAATATTTTCCTTTCAGCTCTTAGAGAAGGGTCTGTCGAGCATGCAGCAGTCCCTCCTGCAGATCATGCACAGTCTCCTGAGTCATGTTGACCTCTCTGCTGCTCCTGTCAAGCAATTTAATCTGGAGATCATAAAGATCATCAGCAAATATGTGCAGGTGAGTGACCCGGAAACGGAAGCAGAGATGCTTTCTCACAGTACTGTGGATGTTTATAGAAAAACTTAAGTACCCAAGGGTGGGGGAATGGTGCATCCATAAAAGATGTTTTCAGGATTGTTCATAACATGGGAAAAAGTTCTCAGTGCAAGTGACAGGAAGCATGAGTCTGGGTAGTGAGTTGGAGGGATTCTGACTTTGCACTTTTAACCGTTACATACTCGAATACCAGGATTGGGACTCTTTGTAGCTATACCAGAGTCAACATTCTGGCCAGATAAAGAAAAAAGCACAGTATTTCCCTTGTTTGTTTGTTTGTTTGTTTTTAAATGTTGTTAACATTGTGCCAACTTCTGTGGTTTTGGTGTATCCTCACTACTGTCCTTTGGTGGTTTTAATAGCATCTCCTGCCACTCAGAATTAAGTTATAAAGCAATTATAATATTGGGTGGAGATACAATATATTCATCTGCCAAATATTATCCATGATACAGTATTAAAAGCAATTAGATGGCATAACTTAGAAGAAGAATTTAGGGGCCAGTGGGATAATATAGTGAATAGGGCATTTGTTTGCCTTGCATGTGACTGACTGGGTTCAACCCCTGACACCCCCGAGCCTGCCAGGAGTGGTCCCTGAGCATCACCAGATGTGCCTCAAAAACAAAGTAAAAAAATCTTTATTATAAGTATTCTTTTCAGTAAGATGGTAAGTGAAAATATTATAAACTCATCTGTATATTTATTATATAAACAATGCCTCATTTACAATTGGGAGAAATGGGCCAGAGAGATAGTATAGCAGATAGGCACTCCTTTACATGAGGCCAACCTGAGTTAGATTCCCCAGCATCCCATATTGTTCCCTGAGCACTAGCAGGAGTGATTCCTGAATGCAGAGCCAGGAGTCACCCCTCAGCATCATCCGGTGTGATCCCCCAAACAAATAAAAAAATGCAATTGATAGAAACATACACAAGTAACAAAAGCCAGAGATGTGGTGCAGGAGGTAAGGCACTGCTTTGCCTGCAACTGCACCGGCTGCAGCTGAGCGCCACGAAGGTGTGGCCCCAAAGCCAAAACAGGAGAAACAGAACCTGAAAACACATAACCAGCATCTGTGCAAGAAAAAACAAATGAACATTCTACAGCTCACCCGGAGAGCATCTGTTTTGCAGTTTACACTTGTTTGTGCTGGATGCTCGGGTCACTAACATTCTAAATATTTTAAATTTATAGGTTTTAAAAAAGTCAGCATTACAGGTTTTTATCATAAGACTTAAAATATTTGTAGTTCATAACACCCAAAAGGAGAGAGAGAACAAAAGGGAATGCCCTGCCACAGAGGCAGGGGGGGATGGGGGGGATGGGGGGTGGGAGGGATACTGGGACCCGTGGTGGTGGAAAATGGGCACTGGTGAAGGGATGGGTACTTCATCATTGTATAACTGAGACCCAAGCACAAAAATTTGTAAGTCTACAACTGTACCTCATGGTGTTTCACTAATAAATAAAAATAAATAAATAAATAAAAATAAAATATTTGTAGTTCAGTCTCAAAGCCATTAACTCTGCTATGTAGAAAGCCATATATGTACAGCCCCTTGTTTCTTGCGACTGCCAGATTCCTCTACTAGACTTCCAATATTCATAATATTTATAGCACACTTATTCTGATTTATTCTTTATTTTTATTCCAATTTGGTAGTGTTATTATTTATGTGGTGTCCTGTAAACAGTACAGTTAACAGTTTGTTTTCTTTCCATGTTTGTCCCAGACTGTCCGTTAAAAATTTCAAAGTAAAAATGAATAATTTACAAGAGTTTTGTCACAACAGGATTTTCATTGTTTACAGGATTTTTGTTGTTTACAGCAGTAAACTGTGGGTTTGCAAGCATTCTAAGTATATTCTTTCTTAACCAGAGTCCTTATTGGAAGGAGGCCCTCAACATCTTGAAGCTGGTGGTGTCGCGCTCTGCAAGCCTTGTAGTGCCCAGCGACATCCCCAAGACATATGCGGGAGACCTGGGCTCACCCGAAATATCCTTCACAAAGATTTTTAATAATGTCTCTAAAGAGTTGCCTGGGAAGACCTTAGATTTTCACTTCGATATATCGGAGGTAAGAAGCTTAGGAATTGATGTACAGGTGCTGTATTAGAAATTTCTGCTTGTTTTTATGCTTGTCATTCCACAAGCAGTGATTGAGCACAAACTGGGATAGATTAGGTGAAAATAGGGCAGCTGGGGAGAACCGTGCTCTGGGAAGAATGTAAGTCTTGGAGAAATGTGCAGGTAAATTACAGTAAGTGCTGTAGCAAATATGTGGATCCTCACATAAGATACACTGAATTTCATTTTTTTTAATTAAAGACTCACAGGAACTTGGGTCAGAGAGATAGTACAGGGGGTAGGGCACTTGCCTGTGGCCAACCCAAGTTTGATTACCCAGCATCTCATATGGTCCCCTGTGCTCACCTGGAGTAATTCCTGAGCACAGAGCCAAGAGTAGCCCCTGAGCACTGCCAAATGTGGTCCAAAAAAAAAAAATCCATAAGCTCACTGTATGCTTGGGAAACAGAAGCAAATTCTAGTTTGTTGGACTGTCAAGTTCAAGAGGTTGAGATGGAAGTTGAATTTAAGAGGATAAAGGAGCTTGTGTGATATGCAGACGACTTGGATATTACTGCAAATTTGAAGTTCTACACTGAGGCAAATAAATAGAAGTGGTTTTTGGATCATTAAAGAATTTTTAGGAAATCATTGACACTCAATTTGTGTGGAAATGACTTAAGTATCTTCTTTGGCATTTTTAGTTATCTTAAATATTTGCAAAATCAAATTATTGGAGCACAGTTAACAATATATATTGGGGCAGGAGTCGTACCAAAATTTTATCATACATTAGACCTGTGTGATGAGATTATTAGGTGATTTTTTTCTTTGGTGGGGGGAGCTTTGGGCCCAGACCCAGTGATGCTCAGGGATTGCTCCTGGCTCTGCACATCACTTCTGGTGGTGCTCGGGGGACTGTATGGGATGCTGGAGCTGAAACTCTGGTCAGCCTCATGTAAGGCAAGAGCCCTTCCGCTTTCCTGTCCCTCTAGCCTCTAAAGATGGTTTGTAAAGTAAATTTTGTATTTTCTGAACTTTGAAAGGGCATACATTATAGAATTGTGGGGGGTGGAATAGAGGCAATGATTTTTAAAGAGCAAATCTAGGGACCAGGAATGTGGCTCAGTGTCGAGCCCTTGTGTGAAGCTGTGGGTTCAAGCCCTCATACCTCATGATCCCCCAGCACCACCTGGAACCTAGGGAGTTACTCCAGAGCCCAACAAGCCTACAAGCCCCACAACCCCACCCCCCAGCAAAATAATAAAAGGAGAAGAAAGCAGGTCTGTATTTAAAATATTAAGTTCTCTGAATCATATCAGAGACTTGGTCCTGTTAGGTAGCCAGAGATCTCGGTAGCACTGTAGCACTGTCTTCCCCATTGTTCATCGATTTGCTCGAGCAGGCACCAGTTACATCTCCATTGTGAGACTTGTTAACTGTTTTTGGCATATTGAATACGCCCCAGGGACCTTGCCAGGCTCTGCCGTGTGGGCAGGATACTCTCAGTAGCTTGCCGGGCTCTCCAAGAGGGACAGAGGAATCGAACCTGGGTTGGCTGTGTGCAAGGCAGACGCCCTACCCACTGTGCTATCGCTCCAATCCACCACTCCAGAGATCTCAGTGGGGCCTCCAAATGTTAGGGCAGCCCTAACTGGACCTCCTGACAACAGCAGAGAGGAAGCGGGGGAGGGAAAGGGGGAGGAAGAATACAGAAGTGAAATAGTACGTTACCATAACTTGTTATTTGAATGATCCTTATTATCTGTGGTCAGTTGTCTTGGGTGTTTGTGTCCATGCCCTTTGGGGTCTGGCATGTTTTTCCTACCAGGTTGTAAATTCATGACCCTGAGGCACAAAAACGGAGTTGCTGTGGTCCTTTCAGCTTCCTTCCTATTCTCTCACAGTTCCAGTAAAATGAAATCTTGTGATTTTAAAGAAGCAATCATTAGCATTGATGTTTAAAACATACATCGTGCTAAGTGATCTTTCTTCTTAAGCTGTGTTTCTGTTGTTTTGAAATGTCATTATAGATACACTAGTAGTCCTTTGGTGTTCAAATACTGAGTCAAATACTGGCATTTTGTTTCTGTGTAGACGCCTATCATTGGAAATAAGTATGGTGATCAGCATAGCGCAGCTGGGAGAAACGGGAAACCAAAAGTTATTGCCGTTACTAGAAGCACTTCTTCGACATCTTCCGGTTCCAACTCAAATGCCTTGGTGCCTGTTAGCTGGAAAAGGCCGCAGCTGTCACAGGTACCCAAAAGGGCATCAAGACTGACCAGTCTGTTGTAATCCTGAACACTTGAAAATTTGTCCTCCTTGTGACCCTCACTTTGGAATTTCTTTTCTTTAGAGAAGGACAAGAGAAAAGCTTATGAATGTGCTCTCTCTGTGTGGTCCAGAATCTGGTCTTCCAAAGAATCCATCAGTAAGTAACCATGACAGCATTTGCAAAAGAATGCTTTCAATCATGTTTCATCATGAAGAAACGAAAAATTCTTATCTCCTTGTATGTCTTTACTTACTCCCTTCTTGAGGGAGTTAGTAAGTTTTACTAAGACTGAAGGGGGTGAGGAGGAATCCCCTTTCTTTGTAGCACTTTCTTTGTGCCACTGGACAGCTGTGCTGATTGAAGTCTTCCACCAGATTAAACATGACATATAGACCAAGGTCAAGCTCTCAATTCATGGAGATGAGACCACAGTGGCCCTTGGCATTGATGCCTCATGTGATGACAAAACTGACCCTTTTCTGTTTTTGTTTAATTTTTCTGTTGTTGAATCAGGTGATATTTTCTTCTAATGAAGATTTGGAAGTTGGAGACCCACAGACAAGCCTGATATCTGCCACAGAGGACATCATTCAGGAGGAGGAAGTCGCTGTAGAGGACAATAGCAGTGAACAGCAATTTGGCGTTTTTAAGGATTTTGACTTCTTAGATGTGGAGTTGGAAGATGCTGAGGTGAGAGTTTGGATGCACTGTTGTGTGACTATAGAGCACTTACAAGTGCATGAGAATTAAATATTTGAGTCAAGGAGTTTTCCTTATTAAGGTCAGTGTAAAGTCAGAAAGGCAAGATTCTTCTGTGAGGAAATAAGATGCATTTATTACAACTAGTCAATAGAAATTACATAGTCAATAGCAACACTTAAAGAGGGACATGTAATATTTTACCTTAAAGTAAAAAAAATGGGTTTCTTCAGAAGAACTTTTTTTTTGACTCAAATGTTTTGCTTCAACTGAGCTAGTTAACATGACTCAAAATAGCAAAAAACTAATGTTAAAAGTGGCCCAGTTTTAAAGAGGGTGTCCCTTAGACTGTATTAACTATTAAAAAGGCTCAGATTCACTAAAGCTCATTTATTCTTGGGGTTTTTTGGTTGTTTTTTGGGCCACACCTGGATTACTCTTGACTCTGCACTCAGGGATCATTTTTGGTGCTCAGGGGACCATATGTGATGCTGGGAATTGAACCAGGGTCTGCTGCACACAAAGCAAGAGCCCTCCTGTTGTACTATCTTTAAGCCCTACAGCTCTGTTTTTAATGGCAGGTGTTTGCGATTATTGCTGTGACTTTCCTCATATCCTCGCAGTGTTCTCACAAAAGCCTCCCTTAATTTACTACCGAATGGGCTTTCTCCTTTGAAACAGGGACTGTAGGATTATTGTGGTTGCCTTAGACTCCTGGAGCCTGCTCCCAGATCAAAGATTAGCCTCCTAAGCTGTAGTCTTAGTATTCAGTATTCAGAATGCATTGTCTGTATGTCTTTTTCCCAAAAATTTCCAGTCACTCATAATTGTATGCTATTTCCTTCTGCTTTAAAAGGTGAGATGAGGAAAGATGTGCAGTGGCTAGTGTCATGTCACTGCATGTTGTGAGTCAGAGGTCACTTAAGTGAGTCTTCTTGTCCACTTCAGCCTCCCCTGCAGGATGAGGACAGAGCCATGGTGATCAGGGTTGACCAGATGTCTTTGCACCTGCTTAGGAGTTGGGCAAGCTCCTGTATTGAAATATTCCTTGAAAATTGGATGTACCAGGTTCTCAGGGACATGTATTCAGCACCTTGGAAGGAAGTGGCTTTTAAACTTTATTTTTATTATTGTTATCTATAATTACAACATTGTTAGCATCTAAGTATCTACATATAAATACCTATTTAAAAATAAGAGGTTCAGAGGCGGGAGAGATAGCACAGCGGGTAGGGCATTTGCCTTGCACACGGCCAACCCGGGTTCGATTCCCAGCATCCCATATAGTCCCCTGAGCACTGCCAGGAGTAACTCCTGAGTGCAGAGCCAGGACTAACCCCTGTACATCGCCAGGTGTGACCCAAAAAGCAAAAAATAAAAATAAGAGGTTCAAAGGAGCCAGGGCATAGCTCAGTGGTAGAGCAACCTGTCTTCATATGTGAAGCCCTGGGTTCCATCCCTGACATCACAAAAAAAGGGGGGGGGGAGGCTAATATTAAAATAGCACTGTAGCACTATCCTCACATTGTTCATTGACTTGCTCGAGCAGATCCAGTAACGTCTCCGTTGTGAGACTTGTTATTCTGTTTCGCATATCGAATACATCATGGAGAGCTTGCCAGGCTTTGCCTTGTGAGTGAGATACTCTCGGTAGCTTGCCGGGCTCCCCAAGAGGGGTGGAGGAATCAAACTCGGGTGTGCGGGGTCGACCGCATGCAAGGCAAACGCCCAACCACTGTGCTATTGCTCCAGCCCAATATTAAAATAAGAATTTAAAATTACTTCCCTCTATGCTATGCATTTTACTCTATATTCTCTCCTCCATCATCACCCACCTCCCATTTTTTTCCTTCCCAAAGAAGGGCAGGTCATCACCCTCTAAAACTGATTTCACATCTGCAGTTGAGCAAACGTTATAATAACTAGGACAGATTTGGACAATCATGCAGGAAGGTGGAATGGGGAAGAGGCTTGCTGCTGCCCTCCTTGGGCACGAGCAGCTCTCAGTCCTTTTGTAGTTCTTGGCCCTTTTTTTTCCATTCAGAAATGAGGATTTCTGAAAGCAGGCTTTGATATTTTCATCATGGTAAGGTTATTTCTGTTTGCCTTCCCTTTGAAAGAGCACTGTAAGTGCTTTCAAGTGCACCCTGTGCTCTGAAGTGTCAGGAGGCATGAATAAGGCTTCGAAGAGAGCCACCATCAGAGTGGATTCAAGCTGCGTGTTGCAGTGCCGTCTTTCAATTCAACGTGCAGGCGTCTGGAGGGAGTAGGCTCCATTAGGCATCATAATTAGACCAAATCAAATGATAGAGATTTTCTCAAGCCTGGATCACCGTCTTGCTTACACCGTGGTAACAGGAAATGGTTGGCTATGAAACAAACTGCTGGAGAAGCTCCTGAAATAGCCCCCAGGCAGAACTCCTGCTGTGCATGCTGGTATGTTCACCGGCTACTTCCAGCAGACTCTGGCCATTAAGATGCCTTGTGCCACATCCTGAGACCGGGACTCTGTTCTGCGAAGGTGGCTTTTGAGACTGTGATCTGTAACACCTGGATTCAGAAAAGCAGAGCAAGCGCCAAGGTGTCCTGAACCGAGGCCTGGCCCCCTTTTCAGTCAAGGCAGCTCTCTCTTGCATAAGTGGCTTTCTGTTTTAAAGATACTTATTTTTTATCTGCCCTAGAGAAATAGTACAGCGGGTAAAGTACTTACCTTGCATACAGTTGACCATGTTTGGTCCCTCGCATCCATATAGATCCCCCAGGTACTGCCAGGAGTGATCCCTGAGTGCAGAACCAGTAGTATTACTAGAATTATTGCAACACCCCTGAGCATTGCCAGGTGTGGCCCTCGAACCAAAAAAACCTAAAAAGTTTTTTAAAAACCTTAAGAAGGGCCAGAGAGTCCAAAGGTTAAATAACACCCTCTGCCTAGCCTGTAGCTGCAGTTCCATTTTTGGTTCAAATCCCGGCACCACTAATGCTCCCAACCACCCTCAGCCCTGAGCACCCTCAGGTGTGCTGCTCCCCACACACCAAAAAATAAAAAGATTTGAAAAACTCTTTTCCAGAAAGTCCCTCCTGAATAAAGGAACCTGAATAAATCATACAGTTATGCTGACCAGGTAGTTGTAATTGATCATTTCAGAGTTCTGAATAGAGCAAAAAAGAATGAATTACAGACTTACAAACAGCCACAGTCAGCTTAGAGGACCAGAAATATCAGTTACATAAATAATGTAAGTGGGGTGAAAAATGGAATTCGTCCTGTTCCCTCTGTACCTTGTGATATCAGCAGGGTTATGTTTTGATAGCTATTGATTTCCCAAACTACTTCATAGTAAAAAATGCCCATTGAGTCTAACCAGAGCCAGCGACAGAGGAAAATGATTGTGACCCTGTGTGTTGTGCACTGAATGTGGGTATTTGAAGTCAGTTTTGCATTGTATCCAGCATTCGATCTTTAAATCTCCAAAGTTTTCTTACAGTTTATGTTGCCAAAGTGTATCATAGAAATGTTGTTTTCAGTGTCTGTCTCTGACTTTTTTTACAACATATTTTGCATAAAGAATAATTTGAACTGCACCGTTGTCTTCCTTCACAAAGCTGAATCCAGAGCTTGAATCAGTCTTTGAGGTTGGAAAAAAAAAAATCACAGTTTTCCCAAAAAGTGTAGCGTTGATTTAAATGTTTGTCTTCGTTGTTTCTAATTCTGTGTGTTTTCCTTTTTGCTAACCAGGAGCTGCAGGTAAGTTGCAGCCTGGTGTGGCTTGTGTGTGTGTGTGTGTGTCATCTGTGAGGTATTTGTTGTCTGTCTTTGTGTCTGTGTATTAGAATAGAAATGACCTAGAGCATAGCTTTGGTTGGTCCCCATAATTCTACCTGCAAGATAGAGAGTCAAGAAATGTCTTCAATCAGATCTTTTCATCTTTTTAAATATCTTCAATGGTGTCTTAAAATCTTGAGAAATCGGAAGGGCTGATTGAAACTCTGCCACTTTGCATATTTTTCATTTCTATCTCTATTTTCTTTTTATATCAGACTGACTCAATGTCTGGAAGCACGTCCTTGAGGGCTGAGGAATTGTGTTTTGTTTTGCCAGGGTGAAAGCATGGACAACTTCAACTGGGGGGTCCGCCGGCGCTCGCTGGACAGCATGGACAAGGGGGACACGCCATCCCTGCAGGAGTACCAGTGCTCCAGCAGCACGCCCAGCCTGAACCTCACCAACCAGGAGGACACCGACGAGTCCTCTGAGGAGGAGGCCGCGCTCACCGCCAGCCAGATCCTGTCACGCACGCAGATGGTAGGGTTCCCTGCCTGCGCACTGGGGGCTTGCTGTCACTCGCATCCATTCCCGAGCTCTGGCTCGGATGTCTTTGGTAAATGTCACACACTGGACGGAGAATACCGAGTTGCCTCGGTGAGCCGGAGGCATCCCAGACACAAAAACATAGCCCCCCCTTTCGTGGCTAAGACAGCGACACCTTCCTCCCCTGTTCTGTTGGTCAGGGCCCTGTGGGGGGCGCCTGCATCCCAAGGATCACTCTTGCTCGCCCCGTTTGAACTCCAGGACGCTTGAGTTTACCAGCCGTGTGCTTTTCCTGAGTATCCAGGATGGAGCGCACGGCAGCGTGGGTCTCTTTTGAGATCAAGTCAGTTAAAAACATGGAGGGTTCTGCCTTGTATACCAACAGCACAAAGATCTAAAGAGTGGGGGGAGAAAAAAAAAAGGAAAACACTTGCCTTGAATGTGGGAAGAGGCCTTGGGTACAGTCCCCAGCACTGAAAATACAAAAATGAAAAATGGGAACAGGATTAGCCTTGTTGGTCCAGCATCGTGGGTGGAAGGAAGGTGGGGGTTTCTACTAGGGACCCCTCATCCCCCGGAGTGCAGCTCGGCCTCTTCCTGAGCACATTTGCTCCCCGCTCCATCCGGTGGGGAAGCCCAGTGCAGGGGTTCTGCTCACCCAAGACCAGACTTAAAGTTTTCCTCCTGCAGAAGCTGTCAGTCTGAGGCTGCTTCTTCTCCTTTCCTCACCTTCGCCCGAGGGTGCCCGGGGGTATCTTTCAACTCAGTCCCCTACCACCACCGCCAGTTAAGTATTAAACCACAGAAAGGGGTAGGAGCCTAAGAGAGAGAGCACAGAGGTTAAGGCAACAGCCCTGCTGCCTTGCGTGCAGCTGGCCCGGGTTGATTCCCTGCACTGGCAGAGATCAGCTTCTGAGCATGGAGCCAGGAATAGCCCCTGATCATGAATGGGTATGGCCCAATGCAACCCCGCCTCCTGCGCCTTCCCAGTGAATAAATGGCAGAGCAGTAAGCCGACAGCAGCCATGGTACCGTGCACGGAGTATGTGACGCGCACCAGGGCTGGGCTGGAAGCTGCGCTTCACATGCAAAAGCCTCGGGCTTAATTTCTGGCCCACGTGGTCCCCTGAGCCCAGAGCCAAGCAGCACTAGGCATGACTCAGAAATCCCCTTCCCCAGAAAGATGCTCAGGCCCTGTTCTGGGTGTCCCGTGTTTCTCACGGTACAGCCCTCACGGCTCGGTACACTTGGCCCTGGACTCACAACTGAGACAGTAAGTGTGAGCTTCTGGATGTGTCCCAAATCGAGCCCCCCTCGGGTTGTCCCCCAAAGGCCGCGCTTCTTTTTCTTCTTTTTGTGGAGAGGGAGGAGAAGCAAGGGGGAGATATACCCCTTATTTCTGGCTCTACATTTCATGATCACTCCAGGAAGGGACCATAAGTGCTTCCGGGGGATCGATTCCAAGTCAGAACATGCTTCCCACTGTTTTATTTCTCTGGCCCCCATAAGACTTTTCATTTAAGGGAGTGATCACTGGGGCTGGGGCTCTGTGGTGAAGTGAATGTTCTCTGTTCGTGAGACCTGGATTTGATCCCAGAACTGCAAAAAAATAATAATAAAAAAACTGTGACATCAGCTCTTACATCTTTAACTTTCAGACTACTGATTCAGATTTTAGAACAGATTCTGATTGGCATAGCAGAGTCTTCTTTCTGTTGTATTGGGACATCACTCCGAGCAGCACTGCGGTGCCCATCACTGAGAGGCACCCCAAGGCCTCCTCTAGCAATGTGCCAGGCTGCCAGGGATGCAGAGCCTGTATGGGGTGGAGCCCAGATCATCTACGTGCCAACCACGGCTGGCACTCTCCCTACCATCTTCCTGGCCCACCCAACTTGGAGAATTGTTATACTAACTACTGGCCATGAAAGATACGTAACCCTGGGGCTAGAGTGGTAGTCCAGCGGGTAGGGCGTTTGCCTTGCACACAGCTGACCCGGGTTCAATTCCCAGTATCCCAGATGGTCCCCTGAGAACTGCCAGGAGTAACTCCTGAGTGCATGAGCCCGGAGTAACCCCTTTGTATCGTCTGGTGTGACCCAAAAAGCCCCAAAAAAAAAAGATACATAACCCTGAGGCTGAAGTGATAGTACAGCAGATAGGGTGGTTGCCTTGCACACAACCAACTCGGGTGCAGTCCCCAGCATCCCATATGGTCCGCTGAGCACTGCCCACAGTAATTTCTGAGTGCAGAGCCCAGAGTAACCCTTGAGCATTACTGGGTGTGTAATGCTCACCCTTTCTCCCCCCCAAAGTTGGGGGGAACCTATAGTATTTTTTCCTAATCATTACTCTGCTGTTTTTTAAAGACTATAAACCCAGTCATAGTGTACTGAGTCATTTCAATGATTTTTGAGCCAGCCACAGGGGGAGGTGCAGGAACCCTGTCTCCCAGATCCCCAGAATAGCTACAAACACGGCTCATGAATGTGGAGACGGGAGTCATGTGCTGACTTAACGTGGCCACCCAGGGCTGCTCCCCAGTGGCCCCTTCTTGCTCAGCATTGCCTCATTGGACATGGATGGGGGTGTCCAGCTCTGCCCCTGACCTCTTGCACCTAGTTCCAGTGCTGGTACCGAAGGTCATTTGAGGAAGCCAGAGAATTTCTTGATCACCAAAATGTTTTTCGTGGCCCCTGTGAACCCCCCCCCCCCACACACACACACACACCACCTCCAGGATGCAGCGCTCACTATGCCCTCTTCTCTCCCACCAGTTGAACAACGGCGCTGCTGCGGACGACCCTATGCCGGACCGTCCTGACTCGCTTCTCCGATCTCAGGATTCCACCGGCAGTGCCTCAGCCGAGGAAGCCCTTCAGATCAGAGATGAGACCCCAAGTTTGGAGGCTTCTCTAGACAGTGCTAACACCCAGCTGCCTGAGGTGGGGCGAGGGGGAGGCTGGTGTATGGCCAATCTGGGCTCCTTCTAGCTCGCTGTCGTGTCCCTCGCTTTTTCTCTCCAGAGTTTTTCCAGCCGATAACACTTAATTTTTATTCGATTTGTTTCCAGTATTTCTAACCTGTTGGGGCTATTTCCCTTGCAGTGCTCTCAAGCCTGATGTTTTTTTTTCTTTGTTTTAAGAAAAATTAGAAAGGGGGAAAAAAATAATGTTGATGGCTCTGAGGAAATGACCTGCAGGTTAAAAATACAAGGTTGAGTGTAATGAGCATCTGTGCCGCCAGTGTGATGAGGTCCGGCTCGGGCGCTTCGGGGCTGGGAGCCTGGCGGTGGTGTCTCGGCAGAAGGCCCGCTTGCCCGCTGCCTGCGCTTTGTGCTTTGTATTTGGGATTATGATTGGTGCTGTATTGGGATTCAGACCTCAGGCTAGCTGTGTTAGCAGTTGGTTAAACGAGACCCTTTACAAAGACTTTGGAACTACTAGTATTAATTAAGCTTTTTGGAGAGGCCTGTGAACAGTAAGCCAGATTCCAAGCTAATTGACTGACCCCAAAATAAGTAAGTATTAGTTCTCTCAGCCCCTTTTCCCCCCACCTTAAGATTACTATACTTTATAGATATATATATATATACATATGAACTATCATTATTATAGCTTTATCATAAGTGTTTATGCCTTGGTAAGTATTAGGAAAATACTATTATTTTTCCATTGTTAACCAAATTGATAAACCTAGTAGATCTAGACTCATTATTATAGTAAGTCGAATTCACATGTGCTTTTTATCTGCATAGCACTAAGGATTAAAAAAAAAAAAGCTGACAAAAGTTTCCCTCCGCCCCTCTTAGTGGTAAGCAGATAAATACTGAGATGAAAACATGTGGACCTCTTTATTTTTTATGTTCAAACTAGAACAGCCTAAGTTTGGATGATCCCATTCAACAAATACTCTTGGAGACTTTACTAGATTCCAGGCAATCCATAAGATGTTAGAAAAATGAATTTTAAAAAGATAACTGAGGCACCCCCCATTCTATGATTCCCCTGACCCGTGGGGCCCCTGAACATCACTGGGCACCACCCTCGGGTGCCCGAACACCAGAATAAGCAGGGTGGCATCTCTGCAAACCACCCTTGGATCCAAGCCCAGACACCAGAGTAAGCAGGGTGGCATCTCCGCAACACCACACCCCCATACCCTCCCCTGGAACTGCCAGGAGGGGCCATGGGACCCCCTGACCACTAGTTGGAATGAAGCTCCACCCCACCAAAAAATGAAAAGGAAAGACAAATGCGATATGTTGTCAGAGAACACTGTTTATTAAGGGAGAGAGGGGTGGTTTGAAAAGGAGGAAAGAGCTGCTTGTCAGTGTGAAAAACTCAGCCATAAGTATGTTTAAGGCTCTGTCAGATGCAGAAGAGAGGGGCAAGAGAGAAGGGACCATGGTTAAAGCATTTGCCTTATACATGGGCAACCCTGGTCCAATCCCCAATACCACATAGGGTTCCCTGAACTCTGTCAGAAGTCACTCCCAAGAACAAAACCAGAGCCAGGACTAATCGCTCTGCATTATGGGTTAGACCATGTAGAGGGCCGCCTTTATGACAATCAGGATATTGTAGGCCAAGGGATGCCATGTAGAAAGAGGTGGGAGAGGGAAATTACAGGATTCTCTGAGAGAACAGCAGGGCCACACCCAGTGCTCAGGGATCACTCCTGGCAGGACTTGGGGAACAAGTGGTACCAGGGACACAACCCAGGTCTGGAAAACCTGCACTCTAGTCCTTGGGGTCATCTCCTCCACCTCGAAATTCAGTGTTTTTAAAGAATAAAGTAGGAGGAGAAAGAAGAGGAGCAAAAGATCATAAAGCTGAAGATATGAAAAGTTCTGTTTGGCTAAACAGCCTTTATCTGGAGATAACAGGAAGTTGCATAGACCTCATTCTCTCATCAGATGCTTGTCACCTGAATGGCATCATGCCAGGTACCAGAAGGGCCTACAGGCCCATGAGCATCCTGTCCTCACCAGTGGTCACTGACCCCCGCACAGCGGGCACCATCTAGGCACTGACCATGGAACACTGAAACCAAGGCTCCTGGTTCTCCAGAGATGAAGTCTCACAATAGAGACATCATAGTCAGGTGAAACAAAGTACTGGATAATCTTAAGTACTTATAGGAACATGGACCGAGTGAGGGAGGAAGGTCAATGGGGAAGGCATGTTTCTGGTGAAGCTGGGAAGCTGGGAGGTGCCCGATGTTGAGGATGCCCAGGGAGCGAGTGGCAGAGGGTCTGGCATGTGTGAGGTGGCCAGCCACCCCGGGGCTGGCAGGCAGGATGCTGGGGAGGCCGAGGGCGAGAGCATGGCCCAGGTCTCATACTGGCAGCCGTGTAGGCCACACAATACAGTCAAAGAGTGGAAGTTGAAGGGGGAAAAGTCAGCAGGAAGTGGCCACGAAAATTTTTGGCTCCTGAAGGAATGTTGAGAGCAGCCGAAGTTCTGTTCCTCTCCATTACTGGTGGCGTGATCAGTAAGCGGTAACTACCACCATCATCATCTCAGAGTGGAGAGGGCTCACTGACTGAACCCCAACTCAACCTACTTAACACCTGAGTTTCGAGTAGGGACCACCATGGTCTGTACCCACCAGCTGACAGACTCGGCAGGCAGCCCACAGCCACAGTAATAATCTCATTGGCTACCTACTCTTTGAGTCATAGCATGTTGCTCAGCAGACTCTGCCATCAGAAGCAATGGAAGGCTGCAGGGTGACTCTGGAAATAACTTTTCAGTAAAACTAGTGTGGTTAATGGCGGTGTGTACTTTGTTTAGTAGATTCGGGTTGGGGGGTGTTCTTAAAATATCTATAAACATTGTGGAAAAGCTACCTGCTAGGTATAATTCAATTTATTAGAAAGCCATAGTTATTTTCATATGTATGGGAAATGGTGTTATTTCAGGAGGACATGCATTCATCAGTGAATGGGTCTAGAATCCCTTCCATTAGCCCAGAGTACTCTCCTCTTCAAATCTGTCATTACAATATATTATATAACTATATAGTTATATATAAAACACCCATTTTTAGTTACTACTCAAGAGCAGATTGAAACCAGACACGTGTAGAGCAATGAAAAGTGTAGATATTCATCTAAGAAGTTTGGTGGGTTATTTCAACCTGGTGTGTTCGAATTGTTATAAAAGGGAAAACTGACATCAAAAGAAACAAGTCTCTCACACAGTCACCTAAACTCTTTCCAAATAACAAATGTGGGGAAATCCCCCAAAGAGAAAATTATAGATGTTGAAGTGAGGGTACTGAAAATGTATTGCTGGCACGATTAAGGGAATACACTAGTCTGCAGAGACGAGTCTGTTTTCTGAGTTCTGGTCTGTAAAGAGTTTGCTGCTTTCCTGCTTGATTAACCCCATACCAGCGTTCTTTTAATGGTCATACATTTTATGTTTTTCTCCTGTCTTCTGTGTCTTTAATGTCCTTGCATTGCTGTGCCCTAAAATACTTGGGTTTCTGTAGCAAAATCACTGGCATATTAACCAGGGCAGTGGATTTCTCACACTTCTGGGGCCTGAAGTCCACGACCCAGGTGTGAGCCGCGCCCTTGAGGGCCCCTCCTAGTAGCAGGGGGCCTGTTCCACGTTGGGCTGTTCTGAGTAGTGCTGCTGTAAAGATGAAGTGCCAAGAGCTTTTCAGATTTTGATTTTTCATGTCCAAAGGCCATTAGTTCTGAGTAATACCTGAATCCTATTAAGAGTGGAGGAAAAAAAATAAAACAATGTAAGAATAAGTGATGATTTTTAATTTCAAAAGTTCTTAAATTTAAGACTTTGAAAATAAAACAGCTGGTGCACTAAGTACATGCAAAGTATGTGGAGATTTTATTCATAATTTCAACTTTTTATTTAAAAATAATCTAAATTGGGGCTGGAGCAATAGCACAGCGGGTAGGGTATTGGCCTTGCACGTGGCCAGCCCGGGTTTGAGTCCCAGCATCCCATATGGTCCCCCGAGCACTGCCAGAAGTAATTCCTGAGTGTATGAGCCAGGACTAACCCCTGGAATTAAATCGCCGGGTGTGACCCAAAAAGAAAAAAAAAATTATTAAAATTTTAATAGTTGATGTTATTGTTTTTAGTAGGGGCCGGAGCGATAGCACAGCGGGTAGGGCGTTCGCCTTACAAGCGGCCAACATGGCCGACCCGAGTTCGATTCCTCCGCCCCTCTCGGAGAGCCCGGCAAGCTACCGAGAGTATTCGATATGCCAGACACAGTAACAACAAAGTCTCCAATGGAGACGTTACTGGGCCCGCTCGAGCAAATCGACGATCAACGGGAGGGCCTTTAATTTAATTAATTTAATTAAAATATGATTTAAAATCATTAAAAATTCTAATAGGCCACTTTGGGTGCTGAAAGCTTGGGTTCAATCCCTGATACATCATGATCCTCCAAGTCCAAATGAGAGTTACTCCTGAGCATAGAGCCAGGAGTCATAGGCCCCCACCCCCCACCACCAAAGATAACAAATAATTCTATATCTTATCAGAATTATCAAGACCAAAAAAATTAAAGTGTTTTGTAATGCAGATGTGGATCAATGGCTATGTATTTTTTTCTGTTGATAAAATCCCCTTTTAATGTTTCAAATCTAATTGGTCCATCAATGTTGGCTATTTTACAGGACCCAGGTTCAGTATTAAAGGATGACCAGCTTCTTGCTACCTTTGAAGAGGAAGTGTCATATCTCATTCAAGAGCAGGATTCTCTAGTGTGCCGGGGGATGCTTGATTTAGAGGAAACGGAAATGCCAGAGCCTCTCGCTCCTGGAAGCTACCCTGAGTCCATCTGCGAAGAGGATGTCACGTTAGCTTTAAAGGAACTTGATGAAAGGTGTGAAGAAGAAGAAGCTGATTTCTCTGGACTGTCCAGGTGAGGACGCAGTAACCTTCCCCTGCACGCAATAATGGAATGATCCTGTCTTGGCCTTCTCCTTGATTCAACTTCCTTTCATGTCTGTAGGTTTTAGCCTGTAATCAGCTGTCTTCACGTTTACTTTATTTATTATTGAGGCTCAGTGATTTGTGAAGTTGCTCATAGTTGAGTTTCAGGCATACAAGTTTCCAGCACCAGTCCCACTGCTGGTGTCGCCTTTCCCCCACCCTGAGCCTGCCTTTCTGAAAGCCACACTTTCAAGTTTGGTTCTTGCGTTTTTGGTCTCCTGTCTGTGGATGTGTATATTGATCATATCTCTCCCCCATCAACGTGCCCAAGGCCGCTGACCGCTGCCCTGTTACCTTCCATTTGCCTCTTTGTACCACCACCCTCAGATATCTTTCTTTCCCTGTCCTCATTTCTGTAATCTAGAGTCAATCTTTTCAAGAACGAGTGTGCATGCATGTGTGCATGCTTGTGCATGCATGGGTACGTGTGTGTCTGTGTATGTGTATGCGTGCGTGTGTATGCGTGTGTGTGTGTGTGTGTGTGTGTGTGTGTTTGAGCTACACCCAAATGGTGCTCAGGGCTTACTTCTGGCTCTGTATTCCAGGATCACTCTTGGAGGTGCTCGGGGGCAATGTGGGGTATGAGGGATAGAACCTAGGTAGGCCACGTGCAGGACAAGCATCCTACCCACACTCTTCTCTGGCCCTTAGCATTGATGATTTTTAAAGGAGTAAGCCCTGAGCACCACCCGATAGGAGAACAACAAATAAAAATTAAAATATTACTAACTGTGAGGAGGTTCTTTTCTGCAACTGACATTCACATTTTAAAAGCAGGCAGGCCAGTTAAATATTCTGGATTTTCTGGAACACACAGCTGCATTTGCAGCCATACAACATGTCTTATGTTTGGAAGCATCTCCCAACCCACCCTACCCCCCAAAAAATATTAAAACATGGAATCTTCCTCATTTATGCTTTCTGATAGTTTAGGTGGTTGTACATTTTCTTTCTTTTTTGCATCACACATGGCAATGCAAGGAGTTACTCCTGGCTCGTGCACTCAGGAATTACTCCTGGCGGTTCTCAGGGGACCATATGGGATGCTGGGAATTGAACCCGGGTTGGCTGAGTGCAAGGCAAACGCCCTACCCATTGTGCTAGCGCTCCAGCCCCGGTTGTACATTTTCTAATTCACTGTGCATACAGGAGTAAAAATGACCCACACCACATGACTGACAAGCCCATCAAATGCTCTTGAGTCTCGTCTTCCTCCGAGGAGAGCCGTGTGCTGATGCTGTGGGGGGTTTGTGTTAACAGTCAGGATGAAGATGAGCAAGACGGTTTCCCGGAAGTGCAGACCTCCCCGCTGCCCTCGCCCTTCCTTTCTGCCATCATAGCAGCCTTTCAGCCAGTGGCCTATGAGGATGAAGAGGAAGCTTGGCGCTGCCACGTCAGCCAGATGCTCTCGGACACCGACGGTTCCTGCGCCATGTTCACTTTCCAGGTGTTCTCCAGGCTGTTTCAGGTGAGCGCAGCTCCTAGCTCGGGGACTCACGGTAGGGGTCACCAGGGAGCTGGGTCAACCGGTCAGCCGCCACTGTCGCTTCCCTCCCCCGGACAGGGTTGTAATGCTGGTTGACGCTGGGTACCTGCAGCCCCACACTTGGTCCTGGTGCTCATGGGGCTCCTCGGGGTGGTCCACACCTGTTGCTGCCCTGGGAGGCTTGGGGAAAAGGCGGAAATCAAACTTACGGTCTCACGGTCTCACATATGCAAATCAGTCACATACTCTGCCCCTGAGCCATGTCCCTGGACCTCTGTCTTAATTTTTTTATACAAATAAATATTGGGGAGGGTTTGGTGTTTCTGTATTTTTGCTTGTTTGGGGGAAAACATGGGGACCACACCAGACAGTGCAGGGACCTTTTGGTGCTGGGGATCAAACCTGGGTCGACCACGTCAGACCCCTGTACTGTCTCTCTGGCCCGTGAGTGAATATGCTTCCTTGTTGAGAGGATCTTCCCTTTTGTACCTATTTTACATAGATTATTGTCAAATGACCACCTGGAGCCAAAAACAAGCAAGCCACATTGTCGAAAGGTTCTCTTTCAGGTCACATTTAATTCTAGTAGAGCTAATTCTTCCATTCCACCAGGGCTCTTTCCAAGGCTGGGGAATCGATCTTTCTTTTATTTGTCTTCCTGGAAAAAGGTCAGGAATGGAGAGAGGAGACGCGTGTATCACACAGCAGCTCTTTCTCCAACACTGTTTTGCAAATCTTTGATCCATTTTAGAAACAAAGTTGTTTAAAGTACCCAGGAACATGGATTTGCAGATCAGTGACTGTCACTAAATTATACATCAGTGCTGTATGTATTACATCGTCTTATGAGATGCTGGACATGTTTGCACTTTTTCTTTTTTTTTCCACAGAAAATTCAGAGGCGGTTTGGAGATATCACTCACACAGCCGTCCACTTTCTCGGTGAAAGTCTGCAGCGCATTGGCACCAAATTTACAAGTTCCCTGGAAGTGATGATGGCATGTTCAGAGTGCCCCACTGTCTTTGTGGACGCCGAGACAGTAAGTGTTCACAACTATCTTCAATGGGTCTTTGTTCTTTGGAATTCTGAACCACATGGGTTCACATTTCAATGGGACTGTTCAGACCCAACAAACTACAGTTCTGGCATCTTACCTGCAGAGACCTGTGACTTTCTGTGACCCTGGGCCCTCCCTGCCCTTCCCTCCATAGAGTCCTGCTTTAAAGTGGAAAGCTTATCCTTTGCTGTCCAAGTAGAGCGGACAGGAAATGGCTCGACCTCCCGCAGCGAGGACCCCAGGGCTCTTGCTCTTGCTCTTCCTCTCACCTGTTCATACCTGAAGATCAGTACAAAGACTCTGAAAGAAGTCAGAGTTGGAACCAGATAGTACAGGGGATACAGCTTACATACAGTTTGCATACAGCTGACCTGGGTTTAGTCCCCAACAGCCCATATGCTACCCTGAGTACTGCTGGGAGTGAGCCCTGGGCATCACTGGGTGTCTACTACTCTGCTGTCTCACTGCTTACCTGGACCAGTTTTGGTTTTGTTTTTGAGGGAAGGTGTTGGAGGCAAGGCAGCCATCCTCAGTAGTGCTAGGGGTCCCCCAGGGCTACACCCAGTGGGCTTGAAAGGCCCCACGGTGCTGGAGATCAATCTCTGTACACACGTGCTCCAGCCCTTTGATGCATCGACCCAGCCCCTGAGCCCATGGATTCTTTCAGAAGCACTGGGAGGTGCACCTTTATCCTGGCTGATGTTCTTGAAATCCCCCCACACTCTCCCAGGTCACTGGGAAGTCAGAGTGCGAGAGGCGGACTGGCACCAAGCAGGACCAGAACCCAGCTGGCAGAAAGGCCATGTCCCTCAGGTAGCCAGGGTCCTGCTGGCACTCGGCTGTGGTAACCTGGTCTATTGTTTCCAACCTGGCAGCTGATGTCATGTGGCTTGCTGGAAACACTCAAGTTCAGTGTTTTGGAGTTGCAAGAACACCTGGATACGTATAACGCCAAGAGAGAAGCCGCTGAGCAGGTCAGTGGGGAAAAGTAGGTTACTTTTGACACTCACGGTGTTCTGTGGCTGAGGAGACAGGCTCGCAGAGGCGGACCCTCCAGGCCATCTGTCTGGTACTGTCTGGGATGCATGGCTTTGGTGTTTTGCACATGGAAGGCTGGTGGAAGGCGACGGCTTTATTGTAAAGCCAGTGTGAGGCACTGTGGTTGCTCTCGGCACCATGCGTGGGGAGGTCAGATTTGTCTCAGAGTGCCTGATGAGGCATGGTTTGAAGCCTCTGCACAGCACTGAGATCTTGTGTGTGTGGTGGGGTGAGCACAGGGAGAAACAAGCACATCTGCAAGTATTATCATGGAGAAATGTTTCTTCAGTCCCAGTCTGGCACTGCCAAAAGCACAGACATGAACCCAGAATTTTTCAAGGGACAGAAAACCTTAAAGTAAAAGCTCCTTTCCACACGCTGTGTACAGCGGGCATCTATATTTCTGCAGTTGAATGTGGGTCTCTCATTAGTGTCTGCACATACCAGGGCCTCCCTGAGTGCTCCAGGTGGGAACAGAAAGCACACACACTCTCTGTGAATAATTAGTGGCAAAAGTCAAGTGTAACTTAAATTGTGGCTTAAAAAGATAATGAAAAAAAGAATTCTGTATTTTACCAGGCCTAAGAGAGAATTGCTTGCAGTAGGTCCAGCACTATCATTTCCAAAGAGATCACTTTGGGCTAATGGGAAGTAGAATCTGGCTTTCACGGATGGTTATTTTATTGGGGGATTATTTCAGAGAAGGAACATAGTAAGAGGAAATACTTGTGTTTTGAGGCCTTCCCTCCTGAGCACTGCTAGATATGGCCCCAAACTCCAGCGCCACCCCTCCCTCCAAGAAAAAAAAGTTTCAAAAGGACCAGATGGTACAGGCAGGGGCTAAGGCTCTTACCTTACACTGACCCTGGTTCAAATCTCAGGTGCCATATGCCCTCCGAGTACTACCAGGAGTGACTCCTGAGCACAGAGCCAGGAACAGCCCCTGAGTACTAACAACAACAACAACAACCCAAAAAAAATTCCATGATAAACAGAACTCAGGGAGATCACCAAAAGGGCTGGAACACATGCTTTGCATCTGGAGGCCATGAGTTTAGTCTCCAGCACCACATGGTCCCCGGGAACCATAGGCCCAACTAACACAGCATCCCAGGCCTGAGTATCAGACCTCAGGTCAGGGATCTCCAGGTATCGCCCCTGGGTCCCCCTGAGCACTGCGGGGAGTTCCTTCCCCTCAAACAATAAATAGACCAAAGGAATATGCAAATTCAGTAACAGGCTCTCTCAATGAAGTCCGAAGCACATGCTCCTTCGGTATACTGGGGAAGAGCATTTTATTCTTTGGTTGGTATTATCTGACTATTCTCCTGCTGTACTGCCTTTCGGTCTCCGTTAAATCTTCAGTCCTTCCAAAGGCAAACATGCAGGCCTATAGCATTTGTCAGGACCCGGCCCTGCATAATAGAACGAGAGTGACTGGGGAACAGAGATCTCTCTTCCCACCGGCCTCTCCTGCTCACCGCACCTGAGACTCGGTGGGAAATGCAACCAGTGCCCTTGGTGCCCTGTTCTCAGGAGCCTGCCCTAAGGATCTTCTTGTTTTTTTCCCCAGCCCACTGAAACACTGCTGCTTTCTCCTCAGCCACAAAGCCTCAGGCCGTGACTCAGGAACTGGCCCCTGTAGAGACTGGGGTGAATGAAGGCTCCTTTGCTGCCCTTCTCTGACCACCCCACCACCACCACCAGGTCCTGGTCGGTGGTATTCCAATGCTAGAATAGTCCCGGAGGGCCTTTCTCAGGCTGCTCCAGACCCTCCCTCACCTCATCTGAGCTGGCGCCAAGCATCAGACAGGAAAAGGGATGGAGCTGTGCACTGGAGGGTACCAGGCACATCCTGCATCCCACAGCACTGGCTGGGAAGGAGTAGGCTTCCTCCTGGGCCACAAGCAGCTGCAAGACAGTACGATGGGGATTTGTCTGTTTGCAGGGTAAAATCAGCATGGCTCTTGGCTAGTGCCCGCCACCAATCACTAGGTACATACTATTTTTTAAAAACTAGGGGCCGAATACCCAAAGACAATAGAAATAAAGAAATGAAAAGTGGCCTTCAGCAGGAAACATGCCTTGAGGGGCCAGGGCAGTAGGAGATGGGGGGTGGGGGCAGTGTCTGTGGTGGAGGGATGCATTCAGCTGGGAGGAGGAAGTGGTGCTGAACATGCTCTGTATGAAGTGCTATCAGCAAAAGGACTGAAAACCACAATACAGAAACACACATTTTTTAAAAAATAAAAAGGCCTCTTATAGAAGCCAACTGGTGGGGGGAACAAATGGGGTTGGGGGCGTCTAGGAGGCACTGGTGGAAGGAAGTAGACACCTGGTGGAGGGATTGGTATGTTTGAAAATCATGAATAAACTTTGTAATAAAAATTTTTTTTTAGATTTAGAGGCCAGAGCAATCGTCTAGCAGAAAGGGCCTCTGCCTTGCATGCAGCTGATCCAGGTTTGCTCCCTGGCACCATATAGTCCTCCAAGCACTGCCAGGAGAGAGCCCAGAGCACAGCGGGGTATGCCCCGACCCCCCCCAAAAAAATACAAAAAAAGAAGAACCAACTATTAACCAACCATTAGTGGTAGAAATCTCATTTACTAATGTATTTTTTTTAAGTAGACAGATTGAACTGGACCCTGATTAGTGAATACACATTTTGCTATTTTAATGAGTAAAGTCAAATGTACAAATCCCACAGTGTTGGCCAAATTTTGCTGACACACAGACTGTTGCTTTGGACAGCAGCTGCCCAGCAGCTGAAGTGCTTTGACACATCATACCATGGTTTGTTTCATGCTTGCTGTCATGCAAAAGCTAGAGGGTCTGTGTGGTCAAAGGGAAGGGATGAGGATAAAGGGACTTCAGGCCAAAGAGATTATTTTAAATAACTGAGACGCATCATTGGAACTCTTTGCATGTTGCTCATTAAGCTACAGATGAGAATTGGCAGTGTCTTGAGTCAATTGGGTGCGCGGGGGGAGGGGACAGGCCACACTCAGCATTGCTCAGGGGTTATTCTTGGCTCTGCACTCAGAAATTATTCCTGACAATGCTCAGGGACCATATGGGATGCCAGGGGTTAAACCCAGGTCAGCCTCATGCAAGTACCCTATGAAAAAATTCCTAATGATTCCATATGTGTGTATAATATATTTGTGTGTATATATATAGACACATAAATACATATGTTAACTTTTCTATAATCTTATCACAACCAAGAAATGGAACTAAAAAGTCAGAATTAATATTATTATTAAAGCCCGAATCTCAGAGATTTACATGATGAAGGCTCTTTCACTTTACCTTGAAATTCCGTGGCTTCATTGTTTTCGCCACTAGCCCACAATGCTGTTATTTTATTTTTGTTTGAGCAAAGGAAAGCTACCTTCAATAAATACACAACTTGGGGATAGCCTCTGTCAGAATAAGGAAAAACTATGTTTGGTGTCTGATGCAACTGTTCTTTAGTGAAAGCATGTTAGTCATTCATCACTGTCCTGAAAAGGAAAGGAAATTCAAACAAGATTTAAGATGGATTCTGGTTTGTGTTTCACTAATTAAAACTGGCACCAGTCTTCTGAGGATGACACTTCTGATAAGCAAACAGGCCTGGTTAATTCTAAGTTGCCTTTATTAAATTGACCAGAGGGGATGCACAGCTTTCATTTCCCCGTGTTCCATTAGACAAAGGTCAGGTATAGTTTGTGGAGATTTCCAATAAAATCTGCAGGCTGAAGAATATTCCTGTTGAAATGGAGCATCCCAGCTCCACAACATGGAAGAGTCTCTGTTTTATGTCTCTATTCTGTTAGTAAACTGTCAGGGGACATGCATCTGATTTGTCATTTAATTATTATAGTTTAAGTAACCTGGTTACAATGGTGTTGGTGTTTTATGGTTATTCACGGGAGGTGATTTAATTGACAGCATTGCCTGCTTTAATCTCCTACATACAAACAAAGCCTGGAGGAAGTCAAAAATTTTCCTAACCTTGAAACTTAAGTTAAATTTTAAAGTTCGTTGTTTTCGATGCATAGGCTGCTCAACATTAGCAGTTTCACTGTATAGCATATGTTTACTATATTAATTACTGTTGCTTGTTTCTTCAGTGGTTAGACAATTGTAAGAGGACATTTGGTGCCAAAGAAGACATGTATAGGATAAACACAGACGCACAAGTGAGTTTCGTATTCTTAGTATTTCTATGCTTCTATGTCCAATAAAGCAATGCGAACATTTAAATGTACATACAGCCTGGGTATTTCTAGAAAGGATATTTTAACACTGTTCATTTTTGTTATCAGAACAATCTTTGTAAATGTTAGATTTAATGAAATAGTGGCTTAGTAATGAAAGATTCACTTTAATAAAATTGAACAACCAGCTTGTGACTGAAGCTTAATAACATTCAGTAGATAAGCTTGATGGATATCTGAACAGTCCAAGTCAGCTTTTAGTTGCATCAGCCTTGTTAAAATGTTTTGTTCTGTGTTTGTATTCTGCAGAGAAATGGTCTGGTCAGGAAAGTGAACCTAACACTAATATGTGCCTTCATATTAGTCTTTCTAAGGTATACCTCTGACCAGGTGAATTGTGTCTCTGGCTAATGGGAAATTTAGTGAGAATATTTTTTGTAGATAACATGCACATATGTAAGAAATATGTGACATAAGAATAGACCTACAAATTATTCTAAAAGCAGTAATGGTCCATACGCAGAAGTAGCATTCATTAAAATGAACCACCTCTGCATCTGACATCAAGATTTTACCCTCCTCAGTGGCACTGTCAGAGGTGAGGAGTCACCGTAAAACTCAGTATAGTAAAGAACAGAAGTTAATGTTGAGGAAGTAATATTATTACCATCAGTAACTATTAACTAGTTTTCAGGCACTGTACTAATAAGCATTTCACATTTATTATCTCTTTCCTTACAACTCTGTCTAGTTGATGCTATAATTACCCACATTTTGCAGATGAGAAAACGAGGCTCAGAGAAGCCAGTTTATCTAAAACCAGCAAGTAGTTAGAAAAAAAAAAGATTCAAATCTTGTACTGTGTTACAAAGAAATTGTCAGAACATCTGTGTAAAGAGAAAAATTAGGCAAGGTGAAAAAAATTTCCCTTGAATTAGATTTTTTGGGGTCTGATTCTGTCTTTGCCATGGCTTAACTGCATGGCTTGAGCAAGTATTATAAAACCCCTTTTCTTCGATGTATGTTAAGTGGTTAGACTAATTTCCTATGTCCCTTCTATCCCGAAGAAAATGAGTGCTGTCTCTAGGCATCTCAGCCAGTTAAAACTGCTCAAGTTTTTCTCAGAAAGCTGTACATTGAGAGCTGTATATCTTTTCTAGCTTTTCTCTCCTTTCATATTTAGCTCTAATGAGCTGTGAACCCATTTGAAAATACATTTGCTACTGTGTTCCTTGCACCAGTGTAGTCTTTTTTCATAATAAGCTGTGTCTTTTTTTTTTAATTACTATGATTTGAAAAGTAAATGGAGAAAATACAAGCTAATTTCAGTAAACATAAAAGGTGGTCACATCACATGTGCAAAGTGATCAGTAGTGAAACACTTGCTTCACAAATTATATAATATGAGCCCTGGGTTCAGTGCCCGGCACCAAAGTCCTAAAACATATTCGGGGACTAGAGCAATTGTACAGCAGGTCGGGCGCTTGCCTTTTGATCCCCAGCACTATACCTGGTTCCCTAATCCCCACCAGCAGTGATCCCTGAGCACAGAGCCAAGAGTAAGCCTTGAGCCCACCAGATGTGGTTCAAAAACAAAACAAAACCACACCCAATATGCCGTGTTGCATAGTTTGAGGAATTGCTGGTAATTCAGGGCTCTAGAATGTTTTTTGTTACTTCCTACAATTTTGATTACCATAAACTTTAACAGCAGTTTCTTATTACATCCCCAAGCAGAGATTATGGATATACACGTCTCCAGCCCTTTTAAATTTTTTTTATGCTAAGAAAAGCTATTTATAACTCAGATAGTTTATTTTCATAGAAAACTGTCTAACACCTTAAAAATTTAGATATGCTAATTGATTTGACATTGGATTGTGTCCCACTAATATTCACTGAATAACTATCCATATAATTTATGGTAAGCAGTAGGAAGCTAAAGTTCACATTTGCTTAGCAAATCCCTTCTAAATTGGTAGGAGTAAATGTTATACAGTCCTAGTTCTTTGGAGGAAACTAGAAAAACAAGCTTCAAAAAGACCTTCTAGGAGGATATTTACATTATGCCAGTTTCAATTTTAAAGTCATTCTCTATTAATAAGGATAGGTGCAAGTTATTATAGCTAATCAAATATAAATAGATAGCCCATAAGCTTAATGTTCATGTTTTTTATGCATAGTACCTCATTTCAGTCAAACTTGGGTTGAATTTTTTTAATCTAGTAAGTACATTTGGAATCCAGTTTAAAACATTCACCCACTTTCAATATTTTATCTTCTGTCTCAGCATCAATTACGGGCATGTAGGTCCTAATTAGACAGTAGTGGATATGATCCTAGAGTGCTCCTCACCAGAGTAATCTTCTCATAGGCAAATCTGATATAAGATTGGAAGCCAGGTATTTCCTGAGAAAAATTCACTTTTTTTTAATTAGAATTTTCTGCTTTATTAATGGAAATTTTATTACTTTGGGTTTAGTTCTAAAGTAAAGGCCCTCCTGTTGATCATCGATTTGCTCGAGCAGGCCCAGTAATGTCTCCATTGGAGACTTTGTTGTTACTGTGTCTGGCATATCGAATACGTCACGGGGAGCTTGCCAGGCTCTGCCGTGCGGGCAAGATACTCTCGGTAGCTTGCCGGGCTCTCCAAGAGGGGCGGAGGGATCGAACTCGGGTCGGGTTTAGTTCTTCTTAGTTTGTTTTTTGTTTTTGTTTTTTTGGAAAGGCTATAAAAACTAGGTAAAAGATCATCTGTTGTAGTCAAATTCCCTAGCTTATATAGTTCGATTTTATTATAACTTTATTTGCACAAGTAATACACTGTAGCCTAAATGTCACTTACTTATTTAGCAAAGAATTTTTTTTAAAGCAACACCCTGAATTGTTACAGAAAATGTGTCCAAAATTTTATTCTGGAAATAGCAATAAAAAATTTTCACTCGGGTATAAGTATATGTTCTTCAGTTTGCCTGAGACATCTGTGACCCTAGTTAAAATTATTTCTTACACTAATTCTTGGTCTTTTTTCTTCCTTTGTATTTTGTTGTGTGTGTGTGTGACCTGATCACCTTCTTGCTTAGCAAATGGAAATTCTAGCAGTAAGTGACCTGTCTTAATTTATAGACTACTTATCCATGTCAGACAAACTGGTTTTTATTTACATGTGTGATCGTAGCAATGTTTTTTCGTGGACTACATTAAGACTAGTATGCGTTTAAATATCGCATAGCCCTATGTCAATGTTTGTCTCATAAAAATGAGCTTGTATCATTAATATGTAAACCAGTAGTCTGTTTTTTGTACCTCCATAACTAACATGTCTCTTTAATTTTAAGACTTAGAGTATATGTTAATTCCATTGTCTCATTTTAATGAGATCACGAGGTCCCTGTTTTTTCTTTTTTTAGAAAAATGGATTTTGGTGTTATTTTTAGGAAAGAAATCCCATTTCACTTTGTTTTTATCAAGCACTTATTGATAAAATGCAAGAGCTGTATACATCAGTGTGGCAAAAGTACGTGCATATTTGCAGATTCCTTTCATCATGACTTCAAAGGACTCAGAGTCCTTTTAAATCATCTTCTCAACTGCCCACTGAAAAATTCGCCTTATCTGTCAGTGTGCTTAAAATGAATTTTGTAACCAGTGATCTTAAACCTCTGTGTTTTAATCCCAGTCTGCAAAGCATCTTCCATCTCCCTTCCATCTGCTTCATACCACATTAACCTGCTCACTGTAGAAAAGAAACGTCAGGGCATTTTTAACAGAACCACTTACAAATCTTTATTGGAAATAATGCTGGCTAGTCAGATACCATGGAAAACAGCACCTAACTTGAACATAATGTTATTTGTTTCTAGGAACTAGAGCTCTGCCGGAGGCTATACAAATTGCATTTTCAGTTGCTACTTCTATTCCAAGCCTACTGTAAGCTTATCAATCAAGTAAACACAATAAAAAATGAAGCAGAGGTAAGTATTCACTTGTACCAAGGCATCGATAATTAGTTCTAGAAAATTGAAATATTTGTAAGCAAGTTTATCTCGAGTCATCTTTTGGTTTGTTTCTGTTTGGAATTTTAGACTTTTGAAATGATACGCTATTTCAAGGCCTCTGTTAGCAGAGAGCCATTCTTAAAAGGTTCAGGCCCACAAAGGGTACAGTAGCGGCAAATTACCTATAATCAGAAGTAAAACACTTTAGACAGGATTCTGCTGGGTGGCACAAAGCAACAGTACAGCAGATAATTCACTTGCCTTGCATGAAGCTGACCCAGGTTCGATCCCCAGCATTACATAAATGTGGTCGACTGAACACCCCCGGGTGTGGCCCAGATCTCTTCTCTCCCTCAAAACAAAATTTTTTATAGACCTCCCCAACATCTTGCCCATAGTTTTTGTGTTTATGGCACCTGAGAAGATCCAAGTCAGAAATACTTTGAATGTTGAAAATCACTTAATGAACAGATTCACAGGTGGGGAGTTCTAACAAGTAATGAGCTCGGGGAAGAGGACTGAGCCTGGTGTGGGAGGCCAGGGTTGGATCCCTGAGCCATGACAGAAAAAGCGGAGATCTCAGGAGAAGTGGCTATTTTAAATAGTTAAGGTTTATATAAAATACCCTTGTTAACACCTTTTGTTATTGAAGACTTTTCTTTAGCCAAAAAATTTTTCATGATCCTACCATTTTTAACTATATTTTATTTACTATATTTAGTTGATATATTTTTACTATTCAAGATGATGTAGCTTTATATTATTATAAACAGCATGCACTATTATATATAGTACTATAAACTAATGATTAATCAATAAAATGTCTTTTTAAAAGAGATAGTGCAGCAGGTAAGGTATTTGCCTTGCATGTGGCAGACACAGGTTCACTCCCCAGCATCGCATATGGTCCCCCAAGCACTGCCATGAGCAATTCCTAAGCACAGAGTCTGGAGTAACTCCTGAGCATTGCCAGGTGTGACTCAAAAAAAAAATAAATAAAGATAGGAAAAGAGGAGCTAGAGCAGTAATATATCAGATAATACACTTGTCTTGCACACGACCCAAACTGGGTTTATCCCAGGCATCCCACATGGTCTTTGAGCCCCACTGAGAGTAATTCCTAAGCACAGAGCCAGGGGTAGCCTCTGAGCATTGCCAGGTGTGCTCTCTCACCCCCTCCCCGGCAGAAAATGAAAAGGATAGGAAAGAGGGCCAGAGAGAAAGTACAGGAGTTCAGGCATTTGTCTTACACACAAATAACCCTGGTTTGGTCCTCAGCACGCCATATGGTCTCCCAAGTAGCGCCTGAAATGTCTTGAGAGTCGGGTGTGATCCTTAAGTGCTGCCAGGTGTGGCCCAAGAATAAAAAAATCAAAAAAGAAATATCAGAATGGGAGCATGATCGAATCCTGTGTCTAGAAGGCTTTGTATGCCAGACGTGGTAAAGCATATGTTGATGTCAGAACCAATATAAATGTTATTTTATCTTAAAACCTGTTTCATTTATTTGGTTTGGAGGGTCACATACTGTGGTGTTCAGGACTCACTTCTGGCTGTGCTCAGGGAACCATATGTGGTGCCTGGGGTCCAACCCAGGTGGGTTGCATGGAAGGCAGGAGCCTGTTTGTTGTATTTTCTTTCCAGCTTTAACCTGTTTTATTTATTACAACTTGCGGTTTTATCAAGTTGTTATTGACCTTGTAGCAACTAAAATTAGCTATCCCTAAATTCAGAGCTTGATGTATTAACCACACTTAACATTTGAAATCCTCAAAACAATGGAAATTTATTTATGAGACTCTGCATCATGGCCATTAATGAACTTATATGAAGCCAGAGTCAGTTTGTGGGCGTGACTGCCAGGCTACTGAAGAACTGGGAGATGCAAGGAGGTCGCCCAATCCTGAGTCGATGAGAGCCTGGAGATTTCAGTCACAAATCCTGTGTATCTGTGTGTTTCAGCAGATTGATTCTCATGCTCAGTGAGGCTCGTCCCAAGCCAAACAGATATTTTAAGGTGTGTTTGTTTTAGGTCACCAACATGTCAGAGGAACTTGCCCAGCTAGAAAGGATCCTCAAAGAAGCTGAGTCTGCTTCAGACAATGAAAAGATTGACATTCCCAAAGCTGCACAGTTTACTATAGAGACTGCCATTCATTCGCTCATCGAAACTTTGAAAACTAAGGAGTTTATATCCGCTGTAACACAAGTCAAAGCTTTCAGGTAAGAGGTGAGGGGATTTGAAGGCAGTAGAAGCCTATATCGGCAAAGTAGTTTCCAATGACTGGCTTTGGTTTATCTTTTTCTTTATCTAATTTTTGGGTCTTTTCGCCACACCCATCATGTTTTTATTATGTTTATATTTGGGGGCCATCCCTGGAGTTGCTGAAGTCTTACTCCTGGCTCTGTGTTAAGCGGCTCACTCGTGGCAGTGCCCAAATCGAACAGGAGTGAGCACCTCTATTCTTGTTCTTGGCCATCCTGGCTCTGTGCTCTGGAGCAACCCCTGATGGTATTAGGGGGAACTCTTTGTGGTGCCAGCGATTCAAACTGGGATCACTTGCATGCATAGTGAGTGTCGAAATCTCCTGTACTCTCTCTCTCCGGCCCTGGCTTCAGTTTCCAGCTTGCTCTTTCAAAGTCCTGCCCCTGAAACAGGAAAACATGACCCTGGTTTCTGCAGCCCTCACTAGCAGGACAGCCTGTGTTGGCTATGTTCATGCATTTTCAGTCAGATATTTGCTCAGTACCCAAATCCTCAGTCCGCACAAGGGAACTTGGTCCTTACAGGGTTAAATCAGATTGCAGTTTGTCTCAGCTCCTGCCCACTTGGGTCTCAGGACTTGGATGTTGTGTGTTTGTAGGTCCCTCTGGCCCAATGACATCTTTGGCGGTTGTGAAGATGACCTCGTGGAGACTCTGTTGCACATCTATTTCCACCACCAGACACTGGGCCAGACAGGAAGCTTCGCGGTGATCGGCTCCGACCTGGACATGTCAGAAGCCAACTACAAGCTGATGGAGCTCAACCTCGAGATCAGAGAGAGCCTGCGTGTGGTGCAACCCTACCAGCGCCTAGCGCAAGCCAAGCCCATTGGGAATTTGGTGAGCACCGGATTCTGAGGAGTTGGGACCGAAGAGGACAAGTACTAATAAGCACCTTCTAGGCACCCTTGCAAGTCACCCGGGAACCCTTTGTGGCGGCACCCACAACCCTCATGTAACCGATGCCTAACCTGATCAAGAGAAAGGAAGGCTGGAAGAGCAAAGGTCTGAAGGGGGAAAGGGAATCATTTAGCAGCTGCCAACACCTCCCATGACAACTGTATAGAAGAGGAGTTGGGTTATTGTTTTTCTTCTCTTTAATTAACCTATGTGAAAAGACAAGGGCTACAAGTGATGCAAATAAAAACATTACTTTCTGGAGAAAGCAAAGAATTCTAAGACTGTTTGCAATAATGGCCTCTAATACTGAGACAATGGAAAGCAGGTGAGATGAGGCTGAAATTGAGGCTGGTTCATTTTAGCTGAAGACCTGCCCAGCTACTTGGATTTCTAGCAGACATAAGCAGCTTAGTCATCTATATGAAGAACCTCCCGTCGGATAGATACATAGAAAGACTGATTTGCAAAAAAAAAAAAAAAAAAAAGATTTTTTTTTTCCTTGATTTGTGGGATAAGGGTATGGGTGGGTGTTTTTGTTTTTGGTCTGATGGTTTTTTATTTGTATTTTTTGGTCTGTATAAGGAATTATGTGTGTGTGAGCTGAGATGTGTGAATATGTGATAGTCCTATTTTTCAAGGTATGGATGTTCGGTGATGTCTCAGCATGCCTCTAAGAGCACTGCAAGATTATTTTTGAAGAAATTTTATTTTATTAGCGCTAACTCTTCATAGTGTGTAAATGTTAGAACATTTTAATAATATTTTGAAGCTGGGCTCTCCCAGTATTTCGCAAAGAAATAATATATCTGTTAACGTATTGGGCTGCTGCTCAGTTCTCTGATCAGTGCTTAAGACACGATTGTTGATAACTAACCAAAGTAGATGCCTGCAGAGACTTTAAAATGTAAAATAAAGACATATGCTGCCCGTCAGCTATTCTCATTAGAAAAGTTAACTTATTTTACTCCATAATTATAGAAACTGTATAGATTAAAACCAGTATTTTCTTGTACATTTGTGCACGGCACTGTTATACAGGAATGGGTGTACAAAGCTAAAGCAAAACTTGTGGTCGTTGATGATGATCGACTGTATGACTTGCAGGCCCCGAAAGTCTGCAGAATTCCAGAAAAGAGATGCAAATACATTTTTTTATATGTTTGTTCAGGACTCACACGTTTCACCCTGAAAGGAGCCTGGGGCTCAAGGCGGGGGGGGGGGGGGGGGGGGGGGGGAGGGCCAGAATGCAAGGAAGCCTGAAGACCGCCTACCAAAACATGCAATACATGGACTCACTGTCCAAGTCTGGAACATATCACGAACTGGAGTCTCTGTCCTTTTTTAACTAGCATTTTATATAAGAAATGAATGTAGTCCCACGATTCCTCTGATTTGAAAGGAACACCTTGTATTTTTTATATGCATCTCTAATCCACTGTGACTTTCCTTGGAAGCTGGGCTCTGGGGTGACAGAGCTGAGAATGTGGACATGAAATGCAGAGTGGAGGCCTCTCCCTGGGCACATGGACGCTGCCGGAAGCACAGTGACAAGCGCTTGTTGGAGACCCCCCGCACCCACCGCTGAGCTGCTGGCAAGAGCGAGGTTCCTTGTAAAGTTCTGTAACTGGTCACAGCACATTCATAATCACTGTATTTTTTTGACCCTGATAAAATTATTTTGATGGTGTTCTGGTACTGTAAACGGGAGTCCTTTAAATTATTTAATAGCCTTTGGGTGTGGGACAGGGAGAGAGAAGGGACGGTGGCCGAAGTCGCACCCCACCTTACAGCCTATCTTACCGTCCCCATTTTTCTCACCCTCCTTATATCCTTTTTGTTAAAATAAAAAGCATTGTAGCTGTTGGTTTGCTTTGTATTTTAAGAAAGGGTGGTAGGGACTGGAGCAATAGCTCAGCGGGTAGGGCGTATGCCTTGCACACGGCTGAGCCGGGTTCGATTCCCAGCATCCCATATGGTCCCCTGAGCACCGCCAAGAATAATGTGAGTGCATGAGCCAGGAATAACCCCTGAGCATCGCCGGGTGTGACCCAAAAAGCAAAAAAAAAAAAAGTGGTAACTGAAGTGCATCTGTTAGACACTTCAGGTCTTGGCCTATACTAGTTTCAAATTCTCCTTAAAGAGTTAAGAAAATCTGGGGTGCAAGTGATAGTACAGCAGTAGGGCATTTGTCTTGCACACGAACCCAGGTTTCATCCCCAACATCCCACCATATGGTACCCGAGCATCGCCAGGAGTAATTCCTAAGCATTGCTGTGTATGAGCCCAAAAGTTAAAAAAAAAAAAAGTAAGAAAACTGGTGCTGGGACATGTGACTCAGCTGTGCAGCACATATTCTGCTCAGCTGAAACATACTTTTCATGTCACTAAGTTTGGTTTTTTTTTTTAATGTCACTAAGTGTAATAAAAATACCAAGAGAGGGGCTGGAGTGATAGCACAGTGGGTAGAGCGTTTGCCTTGCACGCAGCCAACATGGCCAACACAGGTTCGATTCCCAGCATCCCATATGGTTCCCGGGGCACCGCCAGGAGCAATTCCTGAGTGCATGAGCCAGGAGTAACCCCTGAGCATCGCTGGGTGTGACCCAAAAAGCAAAACAAAAAAAATACCAAGAGCATTTTTGACATCCTGCAGGAAGTAAGATGCAACATGTCATTCGGCTTGCCCAACTCTTTAACAAGGTTTTCCTTGACATCTTTGATTAGTTCAGCTCCCATGAACTTCAGCTCAGCTGAAGTGTCATTTACAGGCCACCCTGCCCACCATCCCATGGGACTCATTTGACAGTCTGTACATCTGGAGTTGTCTGACAATGCCTCTGCCTCCTCCACTTGGAAGCTGCCAGACGCAGCAACTCTGTGTTTTCTGCAGCCAGTGAAAAGTGATTTCTACACAGTTCCCAAAAACTCATTCCAGAGGGGGCCAGAGTGATAAGGTGTTTGCCTTTGCACAAGGCCACCCAGATTCTGAACCAGCACCCTACATGGCCCCCAAAACCTGCCAGGAGTGATCCCTGAGCACAGAGGCAGAGTTATATAGCAGGTAAAGCATGTGAATGTGTGATCCCTAGAACCACATAGGGTCATCCCGAGCACTGTCAGGAATGATGCCTGGGCACAGAGCCAAGAGTAAGTCCTGGGCACAGCCAGGTATGACCCCAAAACAAATTAAAGGCAAAATAAAGACAAAAACCACTTCATTCCAGAGTGATCTAGCTGGTAGGGCACTTGCCTTGTTTGTGGCTGATTCCAGTTAGATTTCTTGAACTACATAGGGCTCCCACTCCTGAACACTACCATGAGTGATTCCTGGGCAAAGAGCCAGAGTTGGATGTGAACCCCCACCCCCCGAAAATTAAACAAAAAACTTATTTTGGAAAGATAGGGAGAATCTCAATGGACCGAGACACACTTTGCATGTGGGAAACCCAAGTTCTGTTTCCAGCATAGCGCCAGAAGCCAAAGTGAACCTTAAGCACAGAGGTGGAAGTAGCCCCCAGCTACCGAGTGTGGCCCCCAGACAACAAACAACTCATTCTCCTTTCCTCAGTGCCTCATACTTATCTGTTAAATTCACTTGTTAAACTGACTCTTCTGAAGATGGAGCAATAGTACAGCAGATAGGGCATTTACTGCACACGTGGCCAATCTAGATTTGGTACCCAGCACCTCATATGGTCCCCCAAGCCTGCCAGGAGTGGTGCCTGAGTGTAGAGCCAGGAATAAGCCCAGAGCACTGCCGGGTATTGCCCCAAAACAACAAAACCTGAACCTTCCAGGGAGTCAGGAATCATTGAAATTGTCTTAAACGAAGTTTCCTTTAGCTCTTTCACAGGCCCCAGCAGAGCCCAAGAGCATCCCCTAAGACTCAGAGCCCTTCCCTGTTTTCTTGGGAAGCAAATAGGACATTTCTGGCTCAGGAGAAGAATCCCCGAGGGCCCCAAGAGTACTCAAAGGCCTGCATGGGGCCCTGGGTTTCAGCCTCAGCATAGCAAGACTGACCCGGAGCAGCCAGCCACAGTGACCTACTCCCAGGAGGTCCTTTACCAGGGGGGAAAAAAAAATCCCTGGGGCTGGAGCAATAGCACAGCAGGTAGGGTGTTTGCCTTGCACATGGCTGACCTGGGTTCAATTCCCAGCATCCCATATGTTCCCCAAGCACCGCCAGGAGTAATTCCTGAGTGCCCGAGCCAGGAGTAACCTCCAAGCATCACTGTGTGTGACCCAAAAATAAAAATAAAAAAATCCCCAAGTTGGACTGCCTTGAACATGGATCCCAGTTACAGAGCTGCATGTCAGTAAAGGCAGGGCTCCAGACAGTCACATGAAATCAATAGTTTCCAAGGCCACAGCAAACCAGTGGTCACTGCATGACCCCTTGGGAGAAGTGAAAAATCTCAAGATGCCCTTAGCCATCTTGTTCCAAGCCCTACCAGGCCTGCACTGAGTCCCCTTCACAGGGCACCAAACACTCAGGCCTCGACTTCGGTGTCACAACTGTCAACTCATACACACGGGCCCAGCCTCTGCTGCCCAGGATCTGGATATTTAAGGTGACATTTGTTTCTTTTGGATTTTTTTCCATTAAATCTTGCTTGGGGGGCTGGAGCTATAGTACAGTGGGTAGAGTGTTTGTCTTGCACCCAGATCCCCACCATCCTATATGGTCCCCTGAGCACTGCTAGGAGTGATTCCTGAGTACAAAGCCAGGAGTAACCCCTGAGCATCACCGGGTGTGACCCAAAAAGCAAATAAATAAAACAATTTTAAAAAGTCTTGCTCCCAGGGGCAATGAGAATGGTGGTTCAAGGTAAAGTGGCTGGCTCAAGTGTTAGCATGGGAAAGATTCCTAGACCTCTGCTTTACAGGACGAGATTTTATGCAGGTAATTTTGCCTCGATTGTTTTTGCAATACCTTTATTCAAAGGCTGTCAAAACTCCAGGCTTCCCCGGGAACTGGGCCACAGGAAGGAGAGGGGACCCAGCTTGCTGGTCAGCTCCCAGGTACCTGCCCCCTGCCCGAGGTGCTCTTTCCCTTAAACGATATATTTGAAGCTGAACGTGCTGTCGCAAGACAGGCGTTTGCCTTTGCATCTGCCACACAGATCTTGGCGATGAGACCTTTTGGGGTCAGTGTGGCGGACCCTGATGGAGCAGGAACAGATCATCTTTTTACAGCTCTGAAAAAGATCAAAGCGAGAGGTCCATGTGTAAGGTTAAGCCCTCGGGGGGGTCAAAGGGCCTCATCCTCTTTCTCGCCCAAAGACTTCCTGAAAGAATTCCTGGCAAAGCCCTGGGTTCATCCTGCTCATCCGGGAAATGTTAGGGATCAAGGATGTGAACCAAAAAGGTCAGGTGATGCAAAGGATTTGATTCTGAAATGGTTTGGGTTGTTTAGTTGGTTTGGGTTTGGACACCATCAGGAACCTTATGTGGTGCTGGGGATAGAGTCAGAGTTGGCTGTGTGCAAGGCAAGTGCCCCACCTGATCTGCTATTCCTTGGACCCAAAACTGGTTTCTTGTGAAAGCATTTTCTTAAAGGATCTTGGCCAGCAGTGGAAGGGCAAAGAGCAGGGGCCCCGGGAGGCAACGGCAGGAGGTGGACACTGAGCTCTGCAGATGACTGTGGCCCTCCCCAACATCTTCAGCTGTGGGTCCTAACCTCACAGGGGTCATTTTCCAAGAAGTTCATGAATTACTGTCAGTAAATGTCTGCTTTTTATACCAATTTTATATATCTGGGGACATGTAGAAATTTCTCAGGTGAGGAGTGACTCCCTGAACACTTGACAGGCCCCCGACTGAAAATAATAAAAATGAAAAAACTTACTGGGCCAGAGATATTGTACAGAGGTCAGAGGTGCAGGTGCTTGGACACAGATGACCCCAGTTGGATCCCAGACACCATATATGGCCCCCCAAGCACTGTCTGGAGTGACCCTGGAGCACAACTGGATTTGGCTGTGCTCAAAGAAAATAAAAATCCACTGTGTCAGAGAGATAGTTCAATGGGTAGGGCACTTGCCTTGCACATGGCTTACCAGGACTTGAACCCCACCACCCCAGAGAGTCCCTCAAACCTTCTAGGAGTGATCCCTGAGTTGCAGAGCGAAGGGTAAGCCCTGACCACAGCCAGGTGTGGCCCAACCAGCCCCCCTCCAAACCCCCCCATACACAAAAATATCCTCAGGTTAAAAGGGGTGACTGGAGTGGACAAAGTTTAACACAGTGTCAGTTGTGTTAAGAAGCCTCTGGGGCGACTAGCTGTGTTCCAGACTTTGCATCTCTCTGCCTATCCCTGGGTTATGACTTCCAGTGGCCAATTTAAGTCCAGGGCATTAATTGGGCTCTCAGCTGACCAATCAGGCTCCACCCTCACTGTGTGACAAGGTACTGGGCTAGTTAATTCTCTCACCATGATATCCATTAATCCCATCACACTAGGCCAAAAATAAAAATAACAACAACAACAAAAAAAATCGTGTTTTAGTTTATAGTTCTGCCAGAAACGCAACTCAGGGCTTTATACGTGCAAGATAAGACAAATGTCTTCCCTTTGCAAGCTCTCAGGCAAGACAACTAAACTTTGGAAGATGGGCACACTGGTGAGGAATCTGGTGTTGGAATTATGTGTGTAGGAAACCATCATGAAAGTGTTGTAAATTACAGGACTTCGGTCAATAAAGTTTTTAAAATAAAAAGTCATGCTTAGGGACCAGGAAATAATACAGGGGTTAAGGCCCTTGCCTTACTTCCAGCTGACCCCTGTTTGATCTCCACAACCACAACCCCCAGCACACCTAAAGCCATCTCTGAGTGTAAGACTAGGTATGGCCCAAAACCAAGGAGTGGGGAAATGCTTACTCCTGCCTCTGCAGATAGGGGTCACTTCTGGAAATGCTCAGGAATTGAGCCATATGTATTCCAAGAATTAAACCCAGGTTGGCTACATGTAAGGTAAGGGGACCTGCTGTACTGTACGTTCAGCCCCAGTCAAATACTTTAATCAGAGAGAGATAAAGAGAAAGAGAGAGAGCGAGAGAGAGAGAGAGCGTGCCATAGAAACAGGCTGGGACAGTGGGGTGATGGAAGGGAAACTGGGGGCGTTGGTGGTAGGAATGTGCACTGGTGGAGGGATTGGTGTTGAAATATTGTATGACTGAACTGCCCGACCATGAACAACTTTGTAACTCTATCACGGTGATTCCATTGAAAACAACAACAACAACAAAAAAACAGCCTTTTGGCAAACATATTCAACCTTCAGCACTTTGCATTTGCAGTTAAGACACTGCCTTATTCCTTTTGCTTTCTCACATTAGGCTGAGGCAGGTAAGTGAATCACCCTTCCCAATGACAAAGCCTCAAAGACATGAATGTGACCAAAACTTGCAAGAGTAGAAGAAAATTGATGCCCAAGCCTTATTTCTGGGTGAGAACTATTTCTGCAGCTTCCCAAATCCAGTCAAAACCTCAGGCCACCCAATCAGGAAGATGACTCAGCAGTAAAGCTCTCACACCTTGAATATATGAGGGGCCCCAATTCTGAATCCTGGCACCAAGTGCCTTTCCCCATCCCACCCCACGCCCCAAATAAATCACTGGGAGGTTTGTCTCCTAGGAAACATGCTCTAGTAAGTACTAAACCCCTCTCAAACTCTCCCCATCTCAGACAAGATGCAAAGTTTACTTGACAGGTGATATCCTCCACCCGGTAAGGATTGTAAGACTTCTGACAATTTCTGCAAAGCTGCTTGAAGTAAACCTGTGACAGAGAGAAGGAAGACTTCAAGCCGAGCCCTCTTGGTACCTGGGTCAAAGCAGTGCCCGTTGCACGGGCTCTTACCTTATTCGTGCCCTGCACACACCACACATAGGCGCTTTCCCACCGGATGTTACAGTCCTTGCAGTGGTAGAAGCCATATTTCTGCTCTAAGAACTGAACAAAAGGACACCAGCTGTTCAACCAACATCATGCCCGACTGAGGCTTCGTTCCAGAAGCCACAGCTCTGCAGTAGGTGAGTTTGCTATGGGGCCTCATCCAGTGTTGCCCTAGAATTGCTCCTGGTGGTGTTGGGGATCAGCCCCGGGCCTTCTACATGCAATCCCGGACATGAACTAACTCCCTACCCTGGTATCTGTCATCTTCCTTCTAGTTTTTTTTTTTTCTGTTTGGGTCACACCTAGCAATGCTCAGGGGTTACTCCTGCCGGTGCTCTGGGACCATATGAGGTGCAAGGGATTGAACTCAGGTCAGTCGCATTCAAGGTAAAAGCCCTACCTGCTGTACTGTCATTCCAGTCCCTCCTTTCTAGGTCTTGAAGGACAGTATGGTCAGGTTGGAACAAAACTATAATTAGATGAGCTGAAGGATGTTAAGCCCAAAGTTTATATGCAGGATAACTTGGTTCATAAAGCACATTGATGACAAGAATCAGATTTAAAGACCTCATACATGCAAAGCATGTACTCTACATCCAGTCTAGCTTGCTGTCTTTTTTTCCTTCAGTAAGATGCAGCCTCAGAGCATTCCCTTAAGGACATGGCAAAGGGTTAAGACTGCATTCTGAAACTATCTTGCTGTTGACACAAGATAGTTTCCTGTTTACTTCTATCAGACAGCAGTGCCAAGAATTTAAATTGAGGGTGAGCTAATTCAAGCAACACATCCCAATTCAGGATGTATTTTTTATTTCATGGAGTTCCCTCTTCTCTCACAGGCACTCTAAGTAAAACTTAATTGTAGTTTTTTTTTTTTAAGAAACAAATTCATTCAACTTTAATTAAGAGCCAGAGTTAGTATTGCTTTTTTTTTCCTTTTTGAGTCACACCAAGCGATGCTCAAGGGTCACTCCTGGCAGTGCTCAGGGGGGCATATGGGATGCTGGGAATCCAACCCGGGTTGGCTGCGTGCAAGGCAGACGCCCTACCCGCTGTGCTATCTATCCCTCCAGTCCCAGTATTGCTTCCTTCTTAAGTTTCTCCTCATCCTCCCCTTGGAAAGCAAGTTTAAAACAGGTGTTTGGAGTTAGGGCTATTCGATGGGAATGACTCCCGAGAACCGCAGGGCACCTCACAGCTGAGCCCCCTGAGATCCAGGAGAGGAAGATAGCTTACAGAACCGTGTGACTGCCCCCCTCCTCTTGGCTTCATTGTGTTCATTCCTGCGGCCCCTCCCCAAACAGTCCGGAGTTGGAGGGAGTGAAGTCCCAGACCAGACCATTCCTCCTGGGTCCTTGCCCCTTTGAGAATCAGGAGCATAAACTAGCCACCGCCTCCCAAAAAGGGAGGCACTCCGACAAGGCACTCAACACCCGGTCTCTAGTTAGTATTACTTTTTCTGAATGGGGGCGAAGCTGTGGGGGACAGGGGGACGTCTGGGGTGGGGGGGGGGGTCTTTTCGTAGCTCCACCTTCTGCTAGGAACTTGCAGGAAGGCATGCACCGATGAGGAAGAGGTGTGCGGGCTTCTGCGTTGGGCAGTGGGAGCTCGGGCCTTGCAACCGGCGATCCCGCCAGCGCTCACCTCGCCGCGCGCAGACCCGCTTAGCATGCGCGCCCCCTCCACTGCCAGTTGCTGCTGCATGAATGAGCGTCTCCGCTACCACGGTCCGGTCCGTGACACCCAGGGTTCTACAGTCCTCAAGCACCAGCCCCTGGTTTACGTACGATGGAGAGGAGCCCGGCAGCGGCGCACGCCCCAGGCTGCCACAGCTGGTCCTACCAGCCGGCGCTGGCGGCGGGTCAGACGCACGGAGCCGGAGCCGCATCCCTGATCAGGGTCGGACCCTTCCCCCCCATCCCCAGGACCTCACCTGGAAGCGCAGACGTGGGCTCGCCTCGAGGTTCCGGTGCTCAGTCTCCTCGCCCGAGGCTTCTTCGTCCTTCCCCTGTGCCGGGGGCGGCTCCGGACTCGTGGGCGCGTCCTGCGGGGGAGCCACGTCCCCTTCGGCCTCCTGCGGCTGCGGCTGCGGCTGCGGCTGCGGCTGCGGCTGCGGCCCCGGCGAGTCCACCGGCCGTTCGCAGCTGGCGGGCACCGCGACGGGGGACCCGCGCTCCCGGGACTGCAGCCTCTTCCTCGCCGCCGAGCCGCCTCTCCGTCCCGCGTCGGGGTTGCGAGGCGGGGAGGGCTGGCCGTCGGGGGTCTCGGGCCGCCAGGCGCCGTCCGCGGCCGCCGTCCTTTTCAGCGGGGCGGGGACGCGATGCGAGGTGAAGGGCGAGTAGAGGGCAACGGAGCGCGGGAAGCGCACGGAGCGCCGGGTGCCGTTCGGCGGGCTGCCCTTCCCGGGGCCGTTGCAGGCTGGCTGCTGGGAGGCCAAGCCGCCGTCTGGGCCGCCCGGGGGGGGCGGGGTCGCGGGTCTTGGGCGGCAGCGTGCGGCGCCCCAGCGAGCACTGCACCGAGGCGTCGCAGCGCGGATTTACCTGCACCGCCACGTCGCGGCTGCCGGCCCGGCGGGGCAGCGGCGACAGGCCCGCGATGCCCTGCGACAGCAGCGCCATCAGCTGCGCCCGCTGGTAGCTGTCGAAGTACGCAGCGGCCTTGAGCTGCCCGGGCCCGGGCAAGAGCGCTGGGGGCTCCGCCGCGCAGGACCCGGGGACACAGCCCTGCTCTCGGGGCCGTCGGCCGCCCCCGCCCGCCACGCCCTTGCCCTTAGCGGCGGGCAAATGGGGATAGGGGCACGGAAAGGGAGCGCAGGCCGGGTACATGCAGCCGTCCAGCACTTCGCCTCTCGGAGCCACCGTGAGCGCAGCCCCAGCGGCTCTCCGCGCTCGGAGCCCTAAATAGGCGCCCGACGGAAGCGCGCCGCGGGGCACCCGGCCTGCCCGCCCCCGCCCGGCCGCCCCTTCCCGGCGGGAAACGACCCGCGGCTGCCTTCGCTCGGGGAAGGGGCTTCCTTGTGTCAGGGTGCACTGAGTCCCCGGGGGATCTTGCCGTGGGGGCAGGGAGTCTCCCCGGGATCCACCCGGGCCCAGACGATTCCAGCGAATCAATCGCCCAGGGTAGGAACCAGGGGCGAGGCGGAGTGAGCAGAGGGCCTTGGTTTGGAGGATTAACGGACTCAGGCCGGTGGCCTCCCATTATCCTGTTTCATCTCAGAGCCAGTGGAAGGGACCCCCCCCCCCCACCATCTAGGCTCATGGTTTGCTTCCTCCGAACCCCGGCCCACCCGCGTGCTAAGACTCCCTACCCACTTCTAAGGGGGAATACTCTTCTCTGAGATTCTGCCAATCTGCATAACCCGATCATCCCTCGAATTGGCATCGATTTGTGGGTGTGTTTACATCCACATAGATCAATTCAGTTCTCAGCGGGAAAGCTCTTGTCCACTGGGAAAATGTGAAAACCCAACCAGAACAAAAAACAGTTGGTTGCTCATTTCCCATAACAGTCCCACTCAGCAAAGACCCTAGTGCAGTTTTCTCTGATCAGGTACATTTCATTGTTTAATTAACCTATTTGGGGATTTTTTTTAAACAATTACATGAAACTCAGTTAGGCTTTATAAATATAGCTTATTTTTACTCTTAGGTGATAGTGCACCAAAATTCTACATTTCCAAGACCCTGTTTTCTAAGAGTTTACATATTTGAAAAAAATCATAGAAATTGGCAAATGGGGGGGGAAACAAAACCACATTTAACTTGTTCAGGCCACACACAAACAGTCCCAGGTGCAAGTGATATTATGGCACTGATGTGTAATTTGTAAAAACACTTGGGGAATACATCACCGCAGGCTGACAATGAAAAGATTGGGAGTGTTCCATGCGGATCTTGAGCCCCCTGCTATCCTGTAGGTAAACCAGGTACACTACCACAGGTACAGACCATAAATACGGAGTGATAGCTCAGCAAGATGGGAGCTCCCCTGATTCTCTCCTGATGTTCAGAGAGAAGTCTGAGCGGTTTCCACCATCACTAAATTCTCTGCATTCACTGTGCCGTAGGAAGTGTCTGCCATTTCCTCTTCTTTGAGTTTCTTGTACGAAATATCTGTGTCTTCATCTTCATCAAGGGACTCACGCTTGTGCAGTATTTCAGTTCCGTACATTTTATATATTAAGACGAACACCCCTGCTTCAGCCGACTGGAAGAGGGCATAGAGCAGGGGAAACATGTACATACTCCCTATAAAGCGCGGGGGGAAGGCCAGCTTGAGGATGGCGGTGCAGAGCTGCACGTTCTGACTCCCCGTCTCCAAGCACACAGTCCTCTTGCAGTTGGGGGGCAGATGGAAGAGGGTAGCCAAGCCGTAGCCCGAGGCATAGCCTGCCAGGGGCATGAAAATGGCCACCACGTAAACAGTCGCAGGAATGGTGGCCAGGAGTTCAGGCCCTAACATGGTGCCGGTCAATATGAACAGGACCACCAGCGTCACTAGCAGAGACCACAGGGAAACCTAGTGGTAAAGAAAAAGAGATCCAAGCCATCACAAATCAGAGCATTGCAGTGGAATTCAGGTAAGAAAGCCTGGGCCCTTGGAAGAAGAGACCCATCTCATGTGACTTTATGCATAAAATAGAGGTATTCGCCATGAATATTCTTTTTTTGTCTGTTTGGGGGCCACGGCTCAGAGTGCTCAGAGGCTGTTCCTTGCACTGTGTTCAGGAGAATCCCCGGAGGTACCCAAAGGACCATATGTGATGCTAAAGATTTGAACTCAGATCAGTGGCGGGCTAAGCAAATGCCCTAAGCTGTGGGTTATATCACCAGCCCCTAGTATTTTCTAAAATAGAGGGGCCAGAGAGATAGTACAGGGGTGTTAAGGTATTTGTCCTTTTTTTTTTTTTTTGCTTTTTTTTTTTTATCATACCCAGCAATGCCCAGGAGTTACTCCTGGCTCTGCACTCAGGAATTACTCCTGGCAGTGCTTGGGAGACCATCTGAGATGCCGGGGATTGAACCTAGGCCGGCCACGTGCAAGGCAAACGCTCTACCCGATGAACCATCGCTTCAGTCCCTAAGGTGCTTGTCTTGCATTTGGGAGACCCCAGTTGAATCACCAGCATGAGTGTAAGTCACTAAGCACTGCCAGATATGTAACCTGAGCCAAGAGTCAAAAGTAAGACATAGCCCTGAACACCACTGGGTGTGGCCAAAAGTAAAGATGGGGAGCACCTGTCTTTAGGAATCTCAGCAGCTCTGATTGTTTGAAGTCCTCTTCCTCTATGGCAATTTACTTTCTTTAACATTGTCTTGAAATAGGCTCTTGGGAGCAGCACAGAGCAGCCGAGTGCGGCCAGAGAGCTCAGAAGCAAACATTTCAACATCCGGGCTGGGGAGCAAGACTGTTCTCCATACAGATTCTTCTAGACTGGCCGTGGAGCCCTGCTCGGAGCATGTGCTTTATTTGTGGATGGTCTTTTACACCAAGGAGCACTGAGTCTGAAGCCCGAAGTTTAGGTTGATAAAGAGAGAGGGCAAAGGAACCTTTTTTTTTTCCTGCTTTTTGGGTCACACCCAGCAATCCTCAAGGATTACTCCTGGCTCTGCACTCAGGAATTACGCCTAGCAGTGCTCAGGGGACCACATGGGATGCTGGGACTCAAACTCGGTCAGCTGTGTGCAAGGGAAACACCCTACCCACTGTGCTATTGCTCCAACCCCGCAAATGAACCTTTTTAAGTCCCTCACAGGACCCAGGTTTTCTGCAAGGAATCAGTTCCACTTTTATGGGAGATGGGTGGCTACTGAGATGGAGGGCACTGGTTGTGAGATACTGGTGTCCTGCAGGCACTTTGTACCTCGAGAAACTGCTAAGAGTTTCACGAGAAACAATCAACAATCCCAGATTAGGTAAGGGGGAAGCACATGGGAATATCAGGAGCAAGACATTCCTTGCAATTCTACAATTCCCTCTCTTTTTCTTCTATCACAAGAAACCTGCCACTGCTGTATTTCTACTGATACTAAGGATTTCTATACCATGGGAGAATCTGAGACACAGCGCAGCTGTAAAAAAACAGTGTCTGCATCTGACTGGTACATTTTACTCATTCTGATAAGGCAGGCTGAATAAGCGGCGAGGTGGAAACCTAAAAACTCAGTTCTCCAGATTGGCAGTTAGCATAGTCTGGTGGTTTTTACCAACCATGCCTTGCGATACTCAGTGTTTACTTCTGGCTCTGTGCTCAAGGATCACCCCCAGCCGTGCTTGAGAGCCATATGTTGGTACCAGGGATTAAATACAGGTTGGTCACATTCAAGGCAAGTTCCATAACTCCTGTACTATCTCTTTAGCTTTGTTTTTCTTACAGGAAGGAGGAGTGTGTTTTCGAGGGGTGAGAGATCCTGGCAAGCACTCTAAGTGTTGCTCCTGATTCCCTGGCCATTGGGAGAAAAAGCCCTGTACTTCTCCCAGTACATGGAATTGGGAGATACTTTACACAAAAAATTATTGAAGATTCATCTGGGCTGGTCAAAGGTCTACCTTAGGGGGCTGGAGCGATAGCACAGCAGGAGGGCGTTTGCTGTGACCGACGGGGGGTTCGACACCCAGCATCCCATATGGTCCCCCAAGCACCGCCAGGAGTAATTCCTGAGTGCATGAGCCAGGAATAACCCCTGTGCATTGCCGGGTGTGACCTAAAAAGCAAAAAAAAAAAAAAAAAAAAAAAGCCTACCTTAGAGGATGCCAACCTACTTTATAGAAGGTAGTCACATTACAATCGACAGCTATCGAAACTTTTAATAAATTTCTCGGGGTGTCTATATCAAAGACTTGGACAAGGCAACTCTACATTGTGCAAACACTGGTTCCAAGGCATCTTTTACCTGTTTGTGAATAATAGATTAACATTGATATTGATATACATTCATATTTATAATATGTAATATCACTGTAAAATGTACTCTGTTATATTTTATATTGTATCAGTTATATATGCAATATATATAATTGTAAAATGTAATATATGTTATATTTATATAATATATGTAAATAATATATTTGTATTTACCAAAAAAAAAAAAAACATCTTTCACTCTTTCATTCCACACTCAGCAGTTTCTGAGGAACTGTGAGAACTGTGCAATACCAGCAAACCAACCCAGGGCTCCTCCATATGCCTTTGTCCTAGCTGCCCTGCCTGCCAAAGCCTCTTTTAAACTATTATCAGTCATTTGGGGAAGCATCAATATTGAATGTCAATGTCAATTTATTGGGTTTTGTTTTGTTTTTTATTTTGGTTTTGGGGCCACACCCAGCATGGGTATTTATGGCTCCTGTTCAGTGCTCAAGGAACCATATGAGAGGCTGGAGAGACAGTACAGTGTGGGAAGGGTACTTGCCTTAACTCAGCAGATCTGGGTTGGACCCCTGGTTTCACATATGGTCCCCTGTGTACTGCCAAGAGTGATTCCTGAGTGCAGAGCTAAGAGAAAGCCTGAGCATCACTGGATATGGCTCAGACATGAAAATATTAAAAAAGAGACCACATGAGGTTTCAGGAAATTTGAACCTGAGTCATCCCAGAAGCAAGGTAAGCACCTTAACTCTTGTACTGTTGGTTTGACTCAATATCAATTTATTATTATTTTGGTTTTGGTGCACACCTGGTGGTACTCTGGAACCATATGCAATGCTAATGACTGAACCAGGTTCAGCTGCGTTGCAAGGCAAAGGCCTTAAAACCTGTGCTCTCTCAGGCCCTTAAATATATTTTCTAAATATACATATATTTATATATAACAAATATTGTTTACATATATAATGTATTTCCTTTTTAGGTCACACCCAGCAATGTTCAGGGGTTACTCCTGAGTTTGCGCTCAGGAATTACTCGTGAGATGGAATAATGGGATGCCATTGATCAAACCTGGGTCAACCTTGTGCAAGACAAACACCCTCCCCACTGTACGATCGCTCCCAGACCCATGTTTATATGTAGCACTATAGCACTGTCCTCCCGTTGTTCATCAATTTGCTCGAGCGAGGACCAGTAACGTCTCCACTGTGAGACTTGTTGTAACTGTGTTTGGCATATCGAATACGTCACCGGGAGCTTGCCAGGATCTGCCGTGTGGGTGGGATACTCAGTAGCTTGCCGGGCTCTCCGAGAGGAATGGAGAAATTGAACCCGGGTCAGCCACATGCAAGGTAAAGCCCTACCTGCTATGCTATCGCTCCAGTCCATGTTTATATTTATGTATTTACAATATATATATCCCTCCCTCACAGCAAAGCCTGGCAAGCTCCCCATGACCTATTCCATATGCCAAAAACAGTAACAAGTCTCACAATGGAGACATTACTGGTGCCCGCTCGAGCAAATTGATGAACAACGGGAGGACAGTGCTACGGTACTATATATAAATATATTTTAGTATGAAAATAGCTTATTTGACTTTCTCTTACTATTTATAAGATTGCATAGTAAATGTGTTTAAATTAACAATGTTAGCTTAATGATTAAGTCTAGATGCTTTTACCGACGCACAAGATTTACTCTGGGTATGTCTTATAATCCATAAATACATGTATGAATATGTACGTTATATTTATTACATTCAAGATATGTTGGTTAGAGACACACTTTCTTTCACTCAAGGTTGAATATATGTACATAAAGGAACCGTCTATTTTCATATGAATAAAAGTTAACCCCTTTACACTGATTCCTTTAGACAACAAATTAGTGTTAGTAGAACACAAAAGACTGTCTTTTCAAATTTACACAATTGAAACACTGGAGTAGCTCTTTTTTTGTCTAAAGGAATTTGCCTGCACATCTGATAGAAATGTTATGTCTTTCATCCTGCTGACTTCCTAAAATGAGAATCCTGTTCCTGGTTTGCTCTTATTGACCATCGTTTCTAAGTTTGTGAAGAAATCTTAATTTCTGGTGCTGAAGTGATAGTACAGCACGTAAGGTGCTTGCTTTGCATGCAGCCAACCCGGGTTAAATCCCAGCTAACCCATTAGGTCTCCTGAGTACTGCCAGTAATGGTCCCTGAGAACAGAGCCAGGACTAAGCCCTGGGCACCACTGAGTATACCCCTCCTCAAAAAATAAACCAAAATGATTTATTTTCAAATACTCAAATATTTCAAAGTTTTTTTTGTTTGTTTAGTTGGGTTTTTGTTTGGTTTGGGGGCCATAACTGATGGTGGTCAGGACTTGCTCCTGGTTCTGAGGAGTCACTCCTGCTGGTGCTTAGAGGACCATATTGGGTGCCAGAGATTGAATGGCTGAGTTGGCTGTGAACAAGGCAGGCACCTTACCTGCTGTACTATCTCTCCAGCCCTTAAAAAGTATTTTCTTAACTATTACAAAATCTTCTATTTCATTTTTAGAATAATAAAATATTTCTACAAAAATTCGAGGAATTCTATTTCACTTTTAAAAAACATTAGCCAGGTATTTCTAAAATACTGCATGAGCTTTAAAAAATAGTTTTATCTCAGCTGTTTCAAATCTTAGCATCTAAAAACAAATCTTGAATCGAGATGTTTCCAACTGTGAAGATGAACTGTCTTACTTCCCATCTTTCCTTCTCCTTCCTTCCTTTCCTCCTTCCCTCTCTAGGGATCAAATCCAGTGCCTCATTCACTCTACCACTGAATTACAGCTCCAGCTCCATGATTTAATTAAAGCTGTAAGTTTTGAAATTTCAAACCCTAGAAGTAATTTTTGTGACTGAAACATTATTTTTAGCTTCTCCACACTCAAGTGCTTCCTTCTCTCTCTCCCTCATTTCTCAGCCTTGCAGCTGCGGGCCAAAGACCCCGCCCTGCCGAAGAGGACGCATATAGGTGCCCGGACCACCTTACCTTCACTATGTAGTCGGCCACGCGGTTGTATTTGTAGCGAATGAAGACGCCCAAGCCGATGGGGATGAGGGTGCTGCAGAGAGTGAGGGTGACAGCCCCGAGCGGGAGAAGCTGCACCAGCGGGGTGTTTATCCACGCACGACTGTAGATCCACAGGCACACGGGCATCAAGACCAGGGCCAGCAGCGTGGAGGAAATGGTCATGATGATGCTACGAACAGGACACACTAGTCAAAAAGGCTTCGAGCCACGGAGCCTCTCCCGCATTTTGGGTGGTGGAGAAAGAGGAAACTGCAAATGCGCCCCCCACCCAACCGCGCCCCCAACCGACATCTGAACCCAGAGAGGGAACACAAGCAAATATCTGGGGGCTGCTGCCTCCGGAGCTTTACCATCCATGCAAATAGACATGGATGCATTGATTAGGGGGCGGGGGCGGGGGTGGGGGAGGCGGGGGGGGGGGAGGCGAGGGGGGGGTCTAAGGAATGAGGTTGCAGGGCTCCAATGATGCGGGCTGAGCGCTGGCTTGCCCGAGGCTGACCCAGGTTCAATCCTCAGCATTTTAACTGTGGTCCCCCGAGTCCTGCCCGGAGCTCAGTAGATCTTACTTCCCCAAGATCCCCGGCAGTAAGCCCTGAGCATCGCGGTGAGCGACCCCAGAAGAAGAAAAAGGGAAACAAAAAAAAATAACAAGAAAGCAAGAAAAACAACGTTGCGTTTGAATCCCCCCAAGCACCGAGTTAGACGCTGCAGCGTTGCAGCGTCTAACCTGTTGGAAGCATCTCGACTGTTACTTTTTTTCCTAGAGCTGGGCGGATGCCGGGCTTTGCTCTCCGATGTCCGGCTCCTCGGGGCTGCAGACTTGCCAGCGCGGACGAGGCGAGGGAACTGAGGGGCCAGCACTGTCGATGGAGCCCCCGACCCTCCCTTCCAGGCGCCCCTCGTACACCTCCCGGTCTGGGAGCGCATCCTTGCCCTCTCCCGGAGCGCCTCGATGTCTAACCCCGGGCGTCCGCATCTTTTCCAGCCTCTTCTCCCCCTCTTCCTCCGACCTCCTCCCCACTGCCCGTCCTTCCTCTCTCCTAGGCTCCCGCGACCCCGCGGCAGAGGGTGTCTCGGGTACCTGAGGTTCATGTCGCCGTCCACCAGCAGGGACATCAGGTTGGAGAGGTTCCCGCCGGGACAGCAGCCGCACAGCAGCACGGCCACGGCGGCCACCTCGTCCAGCGAGAAGATGAGGGCCAGCAGAAAGGCCAGCAGCGGCAGGAAGCCGAACTGGCAGAGCGCGGCCAGCAGCGCGCCCACCGGCCGGCGGACGTGCGCCCCGAAGTGGTTCACGTCCACCGTGCAGCCGAGGCCCAGCATGGTGATGCACAGGGCGGCACCCACCAGGACGTTCAGCCCGTGGTTCAGCGGCGTGTCCCAGAACGGGGCTTCGTGGGTCTCCCAGGAGCGGGGGAACGAGGAAGGGGCCAGGCTGGCGGCCGCCAGGCTGCTGCTGGCACCGACCGCGGGCGCGGGGCTGGGCGTGGGGCCGGCGCTGAAGGGCACCAGGGACCCCGGGCTGGGCGGCGCGCTGCCCGCGGGCGCCAGCGGGAAGTCGGAGCCCGGGCTCAGGCTGCTGGCGTTGGGCGACAGCGTGTAGTTGCCGGGCGGCGGGGAGGTGGGCACGAAGAACTGGGTGGCGTTGTCCGAGCCGTCCATGGCTGCGGGGCCGCCGGGTGCGCTCCCTCCCGCCGTCGGTCCGCCGAGCCCCGCTCCGCTCCGCTCCGCACCCAACGCCTGACGTCTCCGGGCGGCGTCGGGGGGCGGCGGGTGCGTCCCCGGCCGCGGCTGGCTGGGGGTGGAGTGTCGGGGCAGGGGGGTGTGGACTGGGCTGGCCCCCGAGGTTCTTGGAACCCAATCGCCGCGCCCCCCTCTCCGCCCCGGCGCCCCGCAGGCCCCGCCCCGCCCCGCCGCCGAGTCCCCCTCCTTTTAATCAGCGGTAAGTGCATCTGCGACTGTGTAGCCAGCGGCAGAACAAAGACCTGACAAAGGACCAGAAGCAGAAAAACACCGCGCCTGGCAGCGCATCAAGTTCACGGATGGGCGCTGCCTCTTGGAGAGTGCGGTCCGGAGACTCGGAGTCGTGGGGAGAAGGAAAAATGGGCAGACAAAGCTGTCTCTGCACGCACGTCAACGGCGTCTACTCTGTGCACCCCTTATCGTGGACAGGGATGCCTCAATAATAGGTGCGGGGTTCTGATAGCATGACCCAATACCTGGTTTTGGTTCGCAGTTTGTTTTGTTTGGGGTCACACTCAGCTGTGCTCGGGGGTGCTCATGAATCTGTGCTCAGGGATCAGTCCCGCATCTGTGCTCAGTGGACCTTCTGTGGTGCCGGGATAAAAGCAGATCGCCGTGTGCAAAGCAAGTGCCTTACCCGCAGTATGATATCTCTGGCCCTTGCAAACACTTTTTAAATAAGAACTTTTGTGTTTGGGGGCCGGAGCGATCGTACAGCGGGTAGGGCGTTTGCCTTGCAAAGCAGCCGACCTGGGTTCGATCCCTGGCATCTCATATGGTCCCCCCGAGCACCGCCAGGAGTGATTCCTGAGTGCAGAGCCAGGAGTAACCCTGAGCATCGCCGGGTGTGACCCAAAAAGTAAAAAAAAAAAAAAGGAAAGAAAAAAAAAAAGAACGTGGTGTTCAAAGCCTTGTTTCCCTTGGATTCTGATTGCAGAACCGAGGTTTGGCAGCAAGGGAGAGGGGAGCAGGGTTCAAAGAGGAGGAGGCCACTGGATGGTGGAAACATCTTAATAGTGTATTTTGACAGACAGCTCTGAAATTGTACCCATTGAAAATGTTGTCAGCCTCAACTAAAATATTTATTTACTGGGTTTTGGGTCAAACCTGGTGGTGTTCTAGATACTCCTGGCTCTGCACTCAGGCAGGAATCACTCCTGGCAGTGCAGAGGGACCATACTGGGGCATCGGGGATCAACCCCAGGTTGGCCGTGGTGTGCAAGGCAAGCGCCTTATCCTCAATACTATCTCTCTGGCCCCTCAATTAAGAATTCAAATAAACTGTACTTAGAAGCAAAATGCTGGCAACACAGACTTATGGATTTAAAGTGGAAAAATGAGTTTTATGTTTAAAGTAGAAAGTAAGAATAGGGGCTGGAGTGATAGCACAGCAGGTAGGGCATTTGCCTTGTACGCGGCTGACCTGGGTTCGATTTCCAGCATCCCATATGGTCCCCTGAGCACCGCTAGGGGTAATTCCTGAGTGCAAACTAGTAGTAACCCCTGAGCATCGCTGGGTGTGACCCAAAAAGCAAAAAAAAAAAATCACTAAGAATAATACTGGGCTGGAGCGATAGCACAGCGGTAGGGCATTTGCCTTGCATGCAGCCAACATGGCCGACCCGAGTTCGACCCTTTTGGAGAGCTCAGCAAGCTACCAAGAGTATCTCGCCTGCATAGCAAAGCCTGGCAAGCTCCCCGTGACGTATTCATTATGCCAAACACAGTAACAACAAGTCTCACCATGGAGACTGGGCCTGCTCGAGCAAATCGATGAACAATGGGAGGACCGTGACCGTGAAGAATAATACTGATGGGGTTTGGGGTGGAAGAGTTAGTGCAGGGGATAAGGTGCTTGCCCTTTCTGTGGAGACCTCAGTTCGATTCCTGTGTCCATAATTGTTCCCTGTACCCGTCTGAGCACAGAGCCAGGAGTTCGTCCTGAGCACTGCCAGGTGTGACTCAAAAACAAACCCCAGAGTGGAGGAGGTTGAGCTCGGTCTTCCAGAGGCCTGTGTGCCCTGGTTGTTCCCAGCGGCAGCCACTGGGGAGGAATAAAACCAATGCATACCTGGGAAACTGAAAGGCAGGTGGGACCAGGAGGTTTTTGAGGACCATAGATTGATGAAGTTCTGGGAAGACAGCCCTGGCATTAAGAGGAAAGATCTGAAAAGAAATGAAGTGGTGAGATTCCCTTCTCCAGACAGGTTTATCCCCAAACAAATCAAAGTCAGGGTTCTTGCAAAGGCCGACTCTATGCTTTAAATCAGTCACTAGACGCCTCTGTACAAAGGAATAGCACTCCCTCAGTCGGGGCAGCTGAGCTGTGAGACAAGGCTGTAGGCTGCGTGGCTGACCCGAATGCCACCAACTGAGTGGGGATGCCAAGAAAGGTACTGAATATGAAATGAAGGAGCTCTTCTGCATGCAGTGAATTCTTTTTTGCTGGGGACCTACCCTGTCCCTGTTTCCCCATCGATCTGGGGAGCTGCCAGTACCCAGCATGGACTGAGCCCATGAGCTTCTATTTCCTCCCCAAATCTTCTGGAAAAATGATGTAAACGATGAGTCTAAATTCAAAGCATGTTTTATTCTTGGTAACAAATCATGTATTTCTTTTCTGTTACATTCCATTGAGGCAGAGTTTCTGGAATGTGCATTTAAGAAAATGGCATATTCTCAAGCTTTTCCCCAAACACAAACCCTACCTCCTCCAACATACCACGACAGTGCAGTAACATACAGAGAGCTTCCAAGGACATGGGATGTGACCCAGATAATCTGCTTTCATTTAAGTTTGTACAGCAGAAGAAGACTAGTCAGATACGCCATGAAAGCTGGGACCCACACATCCTCAGTAACTGAGCATCCAGGGATACACACATGGTAAAGGAGGAGCTGGGATAAGATGAGCCACTACTGGCAGAGTGAGCTGATGCCCAGTTCCGTGGGTGTCATTCCCATTTGCTTTCTCCTGGTACTAGGAGAAATCTCCAACCAAATTAAAGCAGCAGTAATTTAAGGCAGAATAACTTCTTCTAGCTTCTCAGTTTGGAGAGGCGAGGGAGGCGAATGGGCTTAAAAAGCACAACAGGCAAAGAGCAGAAAGGGATAACCTTGGTTTGTACAATCATAGAATCACCCTAAAATTGCAGCCTAGGGGTCTGCAGACCTGGTGTCTCTCCTGCTCAGGTGATTAAAGAGGATATTTGTGTCCCATCCCACCCCCCTACACACACACACACAGGTACACATATCTCCTTCACTACTTAGAGGAACTTGATTATGAAATATCCTTCCATGATGCAGTGATGTTGATGGACAGGGTGGAGACCCTCACATAAAACTGCAGAGCAGATGGATCAATAATCTCCCAAGCGTCACTTAATAGACCCTGCCACAGACCAAAGAAAAAAGGGGGAGCCAGAGAGCAATAGTACAGCGGGTAGGGCATTTGCCTTACATCTGGCTCGAACACTACCAGGAGAAATTCCTGGGTGCAGAGCGAGGAGTAACCCCCAAGACTCATCAGGTATGACCCAAGAAGTCAAAAGGAGAAAAAAAGTAGAACAGAACAAAGTGTTCCAACCCCTTGAACTATCTCCCGAGCACCACCAGGAGTGATTCCTGAGTGCATGAGCCAGGAGTAGCCCTTGTGCATTGCTGGGTGTGACCCAAAAGGCAAAAAAAAAAAGAAAGAAAAAAAGAAAAAGAAAGAAAGAAAGAAAGAAAGAAAGAAAGAAAGAAAAACTGTCAAGGTAGGACACTTACTTGCCATGCATGCAACCAACTCGGGTTCAATCCCTGGCACTCCATAAGGTCCCCCTAGCCCTGCCAGGAATGACCCCTGAGAACAGAGCCAGGAGTGAGCCGTGAGCCTTGCTGAGTATGGCCCCCAAACCAAACTAAAACCAAAACCCAAACCTAACAACAACAACAAAAAATGCCAAGTTAAACCTGGAGGCTCTAGAACACGACTGGTGGGTGTGGCCCTGTGATCCCCAGATGGTGGGCTGCAGAAGAAGCTCTACCTCCCAGCATGGCTCCTCCCCTCCCACACTCCTTAGGCAAACAAGACAGCAGTGGAAGAAGACCCTGAAGAGTAAAATCCTGTCACTTCCTGGAAACACATTGGCATTCATCAGTCATTTTCCTGGGCTGTTTAGAAGTCAAAAACAATTGTTTTATTTCTTTCAGTATGAATCACTTTCTAAGATTGCATCCCGAATTCTTGCCACTAGGATGAGAATGGCAACATTTAATTTTGTGTGTGTGTGTGTGTGTATGTGTGTATGTATGTATGTATTTATGTGCAGGTGTGCTCTTTATTTGTTTTGTTTTGCTTTTAGGGAGGGTTGTGGGGAAGACTCTGCAAGGCATATGGTAATAGTCTTTCTGCACTTGGATTCAAATAGAGAAAGAAGGGGCTGGAGGAAGAATACAGGCGTAAGCAAGTGCTTTGTACTCAGGAATCACTCCTGACAATACTCAGGGGACCCTATGGGATGCTGGGGCCAAACCTAGGTTGACTGTGCGCAGGGCAAGCTCTCTATCTGCTGTGCTAAATCTCTGTCCCTTCGACTTTTTTTGTTTGTTTGTGGATCACACCCAGCTGTCTCAGAGCTTTTTTCTGAATCTGTGCTCAGGGATCACTCCTGGCTGGGCTGGGCTGGGAGCATATGCAGTGCCAGGGATTGAGCCTGGATGAAACACATGCAAGATAAATACCATTCTCATTGTACTAGCTTTCTTGCCCTATTTTTTGTGTTTATGTGTTAATTTGGCGGAGCGTAGTCACATCTGGCAGTCACTCCTGGTGACATCTAGGGACCCATATGAGGTCCTAGGAATCAAACTGGGGTTAGCTGCATGCAAGACAAATGCCTCACCCCTTATACTCTCAAATCTATTTGTTCCGTACAATCAGTAGTTTTTCATAGCATTTTCCATATAGAGAAGTATTCTTGCTGCTATGAATACAGATAAGTGATTTGTGATTCACCGAAGCTCCTAGGTTGTAATGATCTTGGTACCGCAAAGGCAGTT